GCAGCTGTCAGTCTAGGTGTTCTAAATAATTGTGTCACCAGCAATCTATCTGCTCCATTACTATCCTTTCTTTCAAAGCATTTATATCTGCTATGGAACATATTTTATCAACATCTTCACATGGAAAGATCTGTTGGTAGGTTCATTCTGTTCTGAAAACTGACCATTTTTCCTGTATCTGTTTTCCTGGTTTTAATCTGAAAACTTTTCTTGCATATGATTATTGCATATCAGCTCCTTTAAGAAAATGAGAGAGATCATTGTAGGATTTTGAAAATGTCTGTGTTACATAAATGTATGACTTTTAGCTGGTTTTTGATGCCTCATGGAGCTCCAGGGGGGTTGTGAAGCACTACTTGACAGAAATAACATCAACCCTTGTACAGACACACCAGATCTGTAGTACAACACCTCCCAGTCTGACACAGCAGTCACATTTAATGGTGTGTAGTTCTTTGGGTCACTCCTGAATTCTTTATTTTTTTCCTTTTTTGTTCTCCTGACATTCAACATAGTTTAAGCAAGTAACAAATTCTCACATATAATTGCAATTTCAGAATTTCATAGAATCTGTTTTCTTTAAAGTAGGGATGAAGTTTCTATCTCTTTATACTATAAGAATATGTACTTTTTTCAGTAAGGGGAAACAACTGGATTGTCAGTGGTATATATTGTTCTCTTCTTTGTAAAAATCTCTGATTATCTTCAATGCATTTCTTCCCATACTTGTAATGAGGGAATAAGTGCCATCACTGTTGTCTTCTGGATCAAATAACATTTTGGATTTTAAAAGAGATTAGCAGTTCAAATCATATGAAATGCTAGTTATATACATAAAGTTATCAACTCCTTAATCTCATTCAGAACTTTGAACTTCTAAGTGTAATACAGAATTGCACTTAAAGTGGAACAGTTGTCATTGAATTTGAGTATCAGAAATAGCAAGGATTTGATATTAAATTCCACTGTAATGTACAGTGACCCCTGTGTTAGTAAAAAAAAATAAATTAATAAATCCTCCCAGATTTACTGAGAACCTTTAATGATGCTCCTTATAGATATTGACAGTATTAACATTACTGATTGTTTTAAGCACAGACACATGGAATTGTTTAGATTGGAAAAGCCTGCTGACATTACTGAGTTCAGCCCTTCAACTCTTTTCATGGCTGTACTGTGTATAAGGCCTTCACATTGCAAAGAGATTTCACAGAATACATTCAAACATATTTTTTGGTTTTTTTGTAGAAGGATAGACTTAGGTGAACCATTAGAATTCTTTTTAACAGTTATCTATGATTTTCTGTGTGATAAGATTTTAATTGCACAAGACTGTACTTACTTTTCCACTGGGATTCTTGCTGATTCATTCAGTAAGAGTTCACTGGCAAAAGCTGCTCTAAGGATGAATTGGCTGTGTGCCTTATAGGAAGTCTCTGTCTTTTGAATATTGCTTCAATGGCAGCAGAAGTTGGGCAGTGTAGAGTCCATGCAGCAGGAAGAATTGGGGAATAAATCAATAAAAGGGTCTTCTATTCCTACACCTGCGGAAATTCAACTAAATATTTAGACTAACATCTTTGTCAAGTCTTGACCTCTGGTCTCAGCAAAGAGTTTCAGTTTTTTGGGACAGAAATCAATAGAAAGTCAGGAGCCCTGGTGGGATTTAGGAGTCTCAGCATCTATTTGGATATGCTTTAACTGCCCCACTCCTGCTTCTATTTAAATTAATGATTAACATCTATTGATTCCAATGAGGTAAGAGCTACTTCAGTGTTCTTACGTGATCGTGAGCGAGCCACAGAAAATGAACTTTTCTACTGGCCTGAGTAATTTTTGGGTAGATTCACGCAGCTCTCTTCTGGAAACAGTCAGTGGAAGTGCTACAGCAGAGTACCCTGACCAAGGCGGAGCACTGAGAAATCATGTGCTCCTGATGGTTTGACTTCAGTCTTTATCATCTGTCACATGGAATTTGTCAGTACCACTTCTCAGATGATTGAAAACTGCACTTAAGGGCATTGTAGGAGTGGATTATTTCTTACGATTTAAATTATAAGTGGGGCGAAAGGTATAGGAGTTGCACATTGAATGATATTAAGGGAGATAAGTACTGCCCATCCAGCAGTTCTGTAATCACCATCCATCCTCACAAATGTTTTATTAAACTTGCCCTCTCTCGGCAATTTCAATTAGGTTCTGGTGCTGTGGTCTCCACTATTGAGTTTGAACTGATGCAGAAGAGCCCATTGTGTTTTTTATGTACTTTCCTGGGCAAATCTCCTTGTGTCTTCTTCTCAATGTCTCTATAAATCTTCCTCCTGTTTTTCCAGTTCATGTGTTTGAGAGATCAGTCTATTCAGTTACCATGAATTTAAGGTACCACAATTAATCCTCCTTTGGCAGGAGATTGTGGGCTTATTTCATATCCATTCATGTTGATCTTGAGCTGCAATTTTCCCACTGCTTTTCTTGCAGATTACTCAGTGTGGGCAGGTGGTCCAAAAGAGAAGGAATGAAATTGTTGTATGGCTTTGGTGAATAAAGGTCCTTGTGACGAAAACTGACCATAAAGTATAGGCAGTATAGCATGTAATAATTCATGGCATATAATTAATTACCATCAGCAGTTCAGATTTCAGGAGTAAGTGACTGTACATGGGTTCCTAGAGCTGATGTTTCTCTGATCCAACTTTTCTTTTCTTATAGAAATCCCAGAGCTGCCCTGTGCAGGAGGCATTGGAGTGTGGTACTTGGTGTGGTGGTGTTCCCTGATTGCCAGCAGTGGTCAGTGCCAGTGCCTCCTGTTTGCAGCAGGAAAGGCAGTCATGGGACCACCCACATCCCAGGAGTAACCCTGTTTAACTCTGGGTAGTGAAGGCTGGTTGTTGCTCAGAGTCGAGGGCTTTCACATCCTATAAAGCTCTTGGAGATCTTTATTGTTGCTTTGCTTTTACAGGCCTTACTAATAAAACTGGTTATTCTTCTCACTCTAGATACATGTTTTCAAGCCACTGAGTCCATGGTATGTTATATCTGCCAGAAATACTATATCTGGTTTTGTACACAGTTTAGGGTTTTTTAAGGTGTATTCATCCAGTTTTGTATAGTCCCCTCTAGTCTTTCTCTTCTCTCATTGAAATTGTTTTGTGCTCTTTATGGGTTTTTTGTTTTTACTCTTAAAGGCCCTGTTGGGTGCTGTGATTATTGAGAAATTATGTTGATACCTGTTTTATCTGAAAGTCAAACTGGAATTTGGTAGTTAAGGAAATATATGTCAGTGAGAAGACTTTTTAAAACACAATGTATGTGAATAGGTTTTAACTGAGAACTTAGTCCTGAAGTAAAATAGGCTTCTTAATTTTTAATGGATTAAGACAATTTCAATTATCTTCACTAAATACAGAGTGAGGGCTTCGTGGCAGAAGTAAAACTCAGCTTAGAAAAGGACATGAAGCAACTTGAGTAAGGAAAAGACTTCAGGGATGCCTGTCACTCCTCAGTTGTACTTTATAGATAATCTGTTACATATTAAGGATTCACCTGAAAATGGGAAAATTTTGCTTTTCACTAATCATAAAAACTATGGGTTTGAATAATGTTGACCACTGCAGTGCTGAAATGTGGTGTCACCATGAAATCTGAGCAAAGCCTTCGCAGCATACTTACAGTGTTAAATGAGTTTGCCAGAAAAACAAATGGGGCTGTGCTGTGGTTGTGGGGGAGAGGTGGTGGAAGGAAAAGCAGTCAGGCCAGAGCCATTGCCTACTGCCAGACAAGCAGAAACACTCCTTGTGCTTTCCATGACTTCTGTAAACTGGATCCTGAAAAGTGGAGGAAAGAATGGGACAGGACAGTGGGTAAGAGCTGGGTAAGTGTTCTCCACTCCGAGCGCTTGCTGATGCTCCCTTGGCAACCCTTGGAGCTCTTGCTCACCCTGGCAGCCCTGGAAGATGTCAGGAGTGTGTCTCATGGTGTGCACATCCTGCCTCCTGGTCCCAGCAAACTGCACCATTGTTTGTTGGAAGGTGTTGGAGGATCTCCCCAGGCTCAGCTGTGGCACCTCTGCGTGGGGATCAGTGACACGCTCCGAGTGCCCGGGGAGGGATGGTGCTCTCTGGGTTCTGCTCATGCAAGGTAAACATGGCCATGACTGTGGAGAAACTGAGGCTATGGCAGGTCATTAGAAGAAGCCATAAATAGATAAGAATAACATTAGAATCAGGGCTATAAACCAGTAAAATAGCAAAGGTCAGTGGATTCTTCTTTGACTGAGGGGCATGCTGCCAGTGAGAAGAGCAGCAGATAGCAGCATGCCGTGAAAGAAGGGCATTCCTGCAGCAGAGGGGGTTTGCAGTAGTACCTGTCCCCTGCTCTGACACATACTGGGAAACTACTTCATTTAGCCAAAACAAATCCTTTCAGGATTGAGGGAAAGATTAAAATGTATCTGCATGTGTAGATGATTTCCAAGCTGAGAAAATATTTTTTCAACTGTCACATGGTAGTATTCTCTTGGGTTCCTGGTTTTATGTTGATATATTGCATTAGTAATTGTTTGTTAATGATATGGAAATTACCATGCACTAATTTAAATTGCCATTGTCAGAACTGAAGTTTGACAGTATTACCCAGTATGAAATAGATAACAAATATTATTTCAGGAAGAGGCAAAAAAATCAGTATTTCATTTGCTTTGTAAAACTGTACCCATACTAACATAGAGGGACTTGGTGTGCTCTAACTGTGCTTGCATGTTTTGAAATGCATATATTTCTAGTGCTCTTTTTTAAGGAATAAAATACCACATGAAAACATTTGCATAATATTTAGTATATTTAAATTATCTTTATTTATCCTTTGTAGAGTGACTAATACTGTTAGCTGTTAAGCTGCTTCTATTATGGTCTCAATTTTTGAAGCCATGCAGTGGATTTTTAATCCAGTTGAACTTTTTGCAAAACCTGAGAGACTCTTTGTAATATTAATGATGTTGGGGTGGATTTTGTAGCTCTGCAGTTTACTTAATCTTTCTGAATTTCCTCCATTAACAAAAGAAGACTGTGAAGTGATGAAGAGAATATCATGCAGCAGCACCAAAAAAAAAATCTTTATGTTGCCCTGGGTTGCATGGTTAGATACTTAGGTAGTGTCTAGTTGCAGAGGCAATAATATGTCAGAATACTTTATTTGTGTACTGATTGAATTTTGATCAAGACACAAGAATTTTCATTTATACCTATTCTGTTCTGTTTTCAATTTTGTTAGCTTTGTTTGATTTACAGTGGAAAATTAAACCTGTCAACTCCAGTGTTCAGATAACAAGAGTGGAAGATCTTCATTAAAGAAGCATTAAACAGCAATACAGTTGCTGCTTTTGGTGCTGAGCTGGCTCACATCTTGGCTGAGCCCTTTGGAGCCTTTGGGTGTGGAAAGCGTGCCTCAGTCAATAAACCATGCTGGTCCTGAGCTGAGCAGTGTGAAAACTCCCAGTGGGTGCATAGAGAACATGGATATCTGTCCTGTCATCCAGGGCACTCGGCATGGAAAGTGCAGAACCACCAGGAGTGGCTGTGAAACTGAAAGATGGTGCTCATTGGATTTTGCAGACAAAATTGAAAGCCTTGGACAGCTGCAGACATGACACGAGTTCTCCATGGTTATCACTGCTTTATCATTTCTGCTTGGCTGTAAAGAATGGAAGGATGGAAAGTGATACTAATTCCTTGTTTGAAAGCACATTACAGGACAGATGAGTTCTCTTTCCCTACTTCTTCAAGAGACAGGCTTTTTCAAAGCATTCCTGTTAATGTTGCACTCTGCATACTCTTGTATGTATCACTGAGCTGCTTGTTTAGCAGCAGAAAAACATTGATATTTTGATGTAGCAAAACCATGTTGTATTCATTTCTTTTGTTCTTTCATTTCATTACAGGTACGGTAAGAATTGAAATGTTCAGGAACATGCAAAATGCAGAAATCATAAGGAAAATGACAGAAGAATTCGATGAGGTAGAGTATACAAATAGTTATTTGAAGCATTATGAACTATATTACCATATATTCTGGTTTAAATTAAAAATGCAGTGGGCCAGTGGATAACTAATGTCTCAATGTGGGAAACTGCACTCACAAGCAAAGCAGCAACTTCAGCTGTTGGAGGTGGAGTAATAGGGCAGAGAGATGTTCATCAGAGCAGGCAGGAAGAGGAACTGGAGAACCCTCATCCCATTGAGAGTGGCATTCTGGGGGCTGAACTTCAGCTCTTGGGGATGCCATGATACAACAAAGAGCTCCAGATTCCTGGCACATCGGATTCATGAGACAGGATTTTACAGCATCCTGCTCTGTTTTCTCTGTGCAAATTAATGTTTTTTGCATTTTAAATGGCAATTTAAACCAAATAGAAACTTGACATGAAAATTACCATTTTGGAACAGTGATACAGAAAGAAATACTCTTTCAAAAGATCTGAGCATTTTATTTGAAAGAAGTAAATTACAATTCAGACTGGGTATCTTCTGTCACAATAAAAGTGTTCCTAATGGTGAATGCTTTTTAGTCTTGAGATTTTTGAACTGTGTTTTCTTTTATTTTTGGTGTATCAAAAGCTGAATATTCTAAGCATTCAGTTTGTTTAGTGAGGAAAACTAAAGCTGGAGCCAGAACTTCTGTAGGACAGCAGTGTCTCTGACCAGTTCTAAATGAAATGCCAAAGCTGTGATTCAGAAAGTTAAGCAGGAAAACAATAAATAGAAGAAATTTTCTTGATGTATTTATACACAATTTCCTTCCTTATCACAGCCTTGATCAACAAAATATTTCAGTTAATGCCTGACTACAGCCATAGGGATGCTCCTTTTGTTGAGTGATTGTCCCATAGTTGATGAAGGAAGTATTTTTCAAAAAAAAACCTTTTTAAAAACTGTCAAAGTTTTTTCTCACAGGAGGAAAAAACGTCTTCCTATGAATGTACTTGAAAGCAACATCTCTCAAAGAGTTACAGTTACTGGTACATAGTCTTTCTTTTTCCATTGCCTAAAACTTTTCAGAACTTCTGTAGTTCTAAAAAAAGTTTCAGTTCTAGCTTCTGCCTTAACATTTGAATGGATTTGTGAGAGAATTTGTGGGGCTTAGTACAAAAGCATAAAATTCTTAGTCCTAGGCTGCAACCCAATGAATATTTTGAAATCTGGAATAAACTGTTGGCGTTTCACCTGTAGTAACTCCCCCAGTACCCCAGAAATCCCAAACTTCCCATTGTTCCATGAGTGCTGCAGGAATTAGCTGGCTGCTGGCCTGAATTTTGCATTTATGGCAGGGATTGAAGTATTGATTTTCCTCCTCATGAGCGGAGAAATGCTTGTGCGGCATTTAAACGATGGAAATAACTTTGTGAATAAAGTTCACTTTGGGACAGGGAATTCCATGGACATCCTTTGGCTGCGCTGTTTGGCTTAGGAGTACAGGTGTTTTGTAGGTGAATTCCCTCATAATTTTTGTGCTAGAGCTGGCAGGTGAACAAAGACTTGGTTTACTTAGAATTTTCTAAGCACTGGGCCATGAAGTATTGTGTCAGTGTCACAAATGTATCCTGTTTTTATTGGTATTCAAGAATAAAAGATCCATGAAGTGACCATTGTAAGTTTATTCTTCCCGTTTCAGCCAGATGAGGTGGTCATGGTACAGTCTCCATAGGCTTTTCAAAAGAGTTATCTGATATGTACTTGCAGGTTAAAAATGCACTGCACAGAGGTGAGTATTTACACACAGCACTTCAGACTATGAAGTTTTGTTCCAAAAGACTGAACATACACACACCTCAAGGAAGCATATGTTATGTACCAAAGTTCACATGTAGAGATCCATATAGGTTATTTTGGTGTGGTTGAAATGGGTGTGATTTAGTTAAATGTGGTGGCTAAAGAGTTTTCTGTAGGGGAATGTTTATGAAGTTCAGGTTCAAGGTTGTTTGCTTGCAGCTCCTCTGTGCTGACATTGCTGCCTTTGCATGTTTCAGTCTGGGTGATAAGTCCTGAGGAGGAAAGTGTTTGTTCCTCACAAAACCACAGAATAAATGTGTACAAATGGATGTAACTTTGGTACTACTGACTTCTTATGTTGGCTGAGAGATTCATGGTGGAGCATTACTGCCTTGATGTTTTGGATACTCTGGAATTGGCTTGCAAATCAGGTGGTCAGGGAGATTTATACTCAGGCTTTTTCACTGAGAGGGGAAAAAGCATTTTCTGATTGTCAGGTGGCAGTATATATAGTGAAGGTAGTAAGAGCAGATCTGGAGAGGCATTAAATTGACATGCCTAGTCCAATCTTGTAATAATTTTCTGAAGATAAAGTGTATGAATCTATAGTAGAACTTCCATTACTGCTATCAGAAGGCAAGTTTTACCACTAGAAAAAGGCTCCATTTACAAGATAAAACAGGGTGGTGCTTGCTTTCTGATAAGGAAACTGTAAGCTTGAGTAAACTATACTCAACCGTAAGCTTGAGCAAAGCAAAGTTTGGGGAGAAGGGCAGCCAGCTGATTAGAATATTAACCTGGAGTTGAAGTGGGGATGGAGAATGACACAAACTGTCGATCACACAACCCTTTTTTCAGGTTTTGACCTTAAACACTTTGAAATATTCCTGTCTCATCCTTTCCTCCCACTTCCTAACCAAGGATAGAAGGAAGAGAATTGAGTCTTAATACTTATTTTGGACTATACGGAGCCAATACTGCAAGTAGAAAACAGTTACAAAGATGTCTTTGCAAAAGTGGTTTCATGCCAATAAGCCTCCCTGTTTATTGAAGAACAATGTGTTATTTATATTTGTTATTTTCCCTTGGCTTGAAGGAAGAAGATGGTGTTTATTTTAGAAGCACAGACCACAATGGGTACACCAACATCAAAATAAATTAAATAGGGACACCTTTAATACTTGACCTTTTTCTTCTGTTGTTCTGCAGGACAGTGGTGATTATCCCCTGACCATGCCTGGGCCTCAGTGGAAGAAGTTCCGCTCCAACTTCTGCGAGTTCATCGGGGTGCTGATCCGGCAGTGCCAGTACAGCATCATCTACGACGAGTACATGATGGACACGGTGATCTCGCTGCTCACCGGCCTCTCCGACTCGCAGGTCCGCGCCTTCCGGCACACCAGCACGCTGGCTGGTGAGTGAGCTGCCCGGGGGGCTCTGTCACACTGCCTCTACTGCTTATCCACTGCCAGGAGTACTTGTAATTTGGATTGAGGTGGACCCTGACCAACGTTAAAACTGTGGGAAGCTTCATCAAATCCAAGCACCACATATGATGCAACTATACTTAAAATACGCCTTTTTTATTTGGAAAGTGCTGAGGCACATAGAGATTCCTGCCATCCCCAGGGCCTCCAGTGCATCTTGGCAATCAGGCCATGCTTATGTCTTGTATTTTGTTATTAATTGTTCACTTGTTGTACAGAATGTTGGAGTAATTATATATTTTAGAGTATAAATTTATTCTAAAGAGGTATCAGGCAGTTGTATTATCAAAGAGTTTCCATTCACCAGAAAAGATAATCTGTGCCTTAAATTTGGGGAAGCATAAGGTTTGGGATTACTGGGCCATGGTTGTAGGGCTCCCCGTCCTCTGCCTGCAGCCACACCACCTTCAAGTGCAGCTGCCTCACCTAAGGAAAGCCTTGGCTGTATCATTAGTTAGAAATGGGCTTTCCTTGTGTATTTCATCACACCTATATGAGATGTCTCCTCTAAGAGGAATGAATTGCTCTCCACAAGGAACTATTTTTCTCAATTACAAAGCACTGCTGGAGTGGCTGGCTTGGGTGTAGGTGTCTACAGCTGGTCATGTCAAGTGATAAGAAATCCATCTTATTATAAGGTTCACAGATCATACCAGATCTTTGAAACTCTTACAGCAGACATTTGTCATAATCTGAATGTTTCTAGGGCCAGTATTTATTACTATTTAGTCTTTCCACAATCAGCCTCATACACATTTTTCAGTTTCAAGTGTACCAATACTCAGCGTTAAACAAATACAAATAGAATTTAAAATTTCATAATTTGTTATGAATCAAAGAAAGAGGCAGATTTCCAATGATATTGAAAAAATCTCCAGATTTGAGTGGATTTTGAGTTTAAAACTGAAGCCCACACCCTTCAACTCACAGTGACTGAACTCCTTTGGAAACACATTCCCTTGTGTTCTTCACCATACTTAGCAATGGGATGGTAAAACCGTGAATTATGCAGGTTTGGAGTTTCCTCTTCAAATTCAGTATTCCAAGGTGAGCACTGTTTGAGCCTAGATAACCTGCTGGAAATCCATGCCTGTTATTCCTTTCCATCTGATGTTGTCTGCAGTTCTGGGTGGTTTTGATTTGCTGTTTGGTCAGACTGTGGCTGGTTGGTTCATAGGGAAGAGTTTATGGAGTGAGGTTTGCACTCTGGTCCCTGGGATTGATTGGTCCATCCCTGCATGGGGTGGATGTTTGGAAAGTATGAGGAGCTTGATTAAAAGACAGGAAACATAAGCACTTATAACAGTTATTTCCCAAGACCTATGCTCCGTAGAATAAAGAGTTTCTACTGTTGGGAATGGATTCTGTAGCTAGAAGCTTGCAGCAAGAATAAGCTGATGCTAAAGCTGAGGTTCATCACAACTGTCTGCAGTTATTTCAGCCACTGCTGACTTCTTGCATTAATGACACATTTATCTAACATTGCATCACAGATGGGAGCTGCCGAAGATCTCAGGATTTACCAGTGACAGTACATGCTATTTATTTACTTACTTCCTTGTTTTAAGAAAGCTTGAGGCTTTGCTTTGAGTCTACAAATTTCCTTCAAGCTGTTTTTAGCACATTTAATTGTGTTGCAGTCCCAAGGAGCAGAGGTCAGCATGATGCCATTGAGCTCAGTCTTCATAAAGTTTTTGAAAATCTACCTGTAGACTGGAATTTCTGAAGGAATGTTTGTAGGTCCTTGTTTTCAGTTTTCCTCTGTGCTAGTCAGTTGGAATGAGAGATGATTCACTGTAGGAAGAAGTACCTCTAGGTTACCAGTTTTGAGCTGTAACAGTGTAAATCCATCCAAGTAGCCTCACTTCTCCATTTGTGTGGTTGCTTTTCTACCTTGAAGCAATGCTGCATGTTTAGAGGAGCATGCAGAGAGGATGTGATAGTTTGTTGCATTATTTTGCTTTTTTTTCAATATTGTAAAATGTGTTGTACTATGTAACCATACAGAACCTGGGAAAGACCCTTATTAATGTTTTCTGTAAAAATAAATTTTAGTACCGAAAAGCAGACATGAACAATATCCTATCCAGCATGTGTGAAAATAAAAATTGCATTTTTATATGGCTGTACAGCTGACTTTAGAGCAGTGTCAGACCTGCATTCGGAGAAGCTGTGCTGTGGTCCCTTGTGAACTGAGCCATCCTCAGCAGCCATTGGTTAAGGCCACCCTTAGTATGGAGCCATCTCTGCTGGCACTCTTCTGTGCAGAAATGGCTGTAACTCCCCAGCTGCTGCCTTCTTGGTGCCCTGAAGCTGCAGGCTCAGGTGTTGGCTCCCTGGTGCACTCAGAGTTTGTCTGGAGAAGACAGCAAGGAGCACTGCCTGCAGCTCAATGTGGGGACTCTGCTTTCTGACCATGGGCCAATGACCTGGGTGTTGCCTGAGTGGAAGTGCCTATCCAGATGGCTGTGCCAGGGTTGAGAGGCTTTTTGCTGTGAGTATAGATCTGCTGAGGAAATATTTTCTGAGCTCTGACTACAGGTAAAGAGTCATAATCTGTCTTGTGCCTTTGCAGCTATGAAGCTTATGACTGCTCTTGTGAATGTTGCCTTAAACCTGAGCATTCATCAGGACAATACACAGAGGCAGTATGAAGCTGAGAGAAACAAAATGATTGGCAAAAGAGCTAATGAAAGATTGGAGCTGCTGCTTCAGAAAAGAAAAGAGGCAAGTGAAAAGACAATTTTTTTTTTCCTGGTTCATGTGCATTCCCTCCAACAGAAAGCCCAGGGTGGTTTGTGACTCGAGTACCACAGTGAGAAAGAGCTTAGTTCTGCAGTGGTGTTCGTGTGATCTCAAGCAGACTACTTAAATCCTGTGCTGCCACATTCAGTTGAGTTTGTGGTGCTGTTCTGCACGCAGAGGAGAATTCTGTTCTCAAGCTTCTATGAATGACCAGGCAGGAAGAGTCTCAAACTGTAAGCAGTCACTGCTCTGGTGATGCAGAAAGATTCTGACAAGAGGATCACACGTTCCCTCCCTGCACTGCCCAATTTTCCCCTTGATCATTGCAGTTATTCCACAGTGTCTCATTACTACTTCTTTTTTAGCTGCTTTCAGGAAACACTGTGGAGTTGAGGCTATAGCAGCTGTTCTCAGGGAGAAGGAGCTAGGGAGACATTAAAGTCGCCTTTAGTAAGTACCAGCCTGGCATTAGGTGAGAAAAACCATTAGAAGGTTGCTGTAATCATTCCCAAATAAAAGTATTATATCACAGGATATCGCAGTTTTAGAGGTGTACTTAAATTTAAAGATGATAAGTAGAAAATTAATACGCATACATCCAAACAAACATAATGTGTAAAGATGCCCAGTAAAACTCATAAGAGAAATTGAAAAATCAAAGTTTGTATTAGATTTAAATTTATGATTTTTAGTATATTAGTTTTGAATTTTCTCCACCACTGTTTTACTCTGTGGCAGTTAAGATTGTCTGGATGCTTTGCTTGTGTGCACCTTGAATTCCTTTAGGTGTAACTTTAACTCAGAATTGCTTGACTTTGTAGTGTTTGTCTGGGGATAATTACAATTACATATTTTTATTTTACCCCTATGTAGCACAACTTTATTTAGTTTTCATAATTCTTGAAAAGCGTGCATTAAGGTACAAGGCAAGAACAATCTCTCCTGCCTAAACTGCAAGAGAAACATTTTAAATTAAATATTAAATTGCATGTGAGTTCTAAATAATTTTGAAAAGCAAAATAGCTGGAAGAAAGTTTGTATTCCACATTTGTTGATTGTTGCTTTGAATTTGCAGAGAACAAAGGCACTAATTGCACTGATTACCTTGGGCTGGTGTATTGTATTTGCTGGGCCCCCAGACAAAGGAAGGAATGATGAATCTGACTCCATGTTCTCAGAAGGCTAATTTATTATTTTATGATACCATATTATATTAAAGAATACTATCCTATACTAAAGAATATAGAAAGGATACTTACAGAAGGCTAAAAAGATAACAATGACAATTTGTGACACTCTCTCCAGAGCCCAACACAGCTTGGCCCCAATTTGCCATTGAGTCAAAACAACTCACAGCAGAAACCAATGAAACAATCACCTGTTGGATAAACAATCACCAACCACATTCCAAAGGAGCAAAACACAGGAGAAGCAAATGAGATAAAATTGTTTTTCTTTTTCTTGGAGGCTTCTCAGCTTCCCAGGAGAAAAATTCTGGGTGAAGGGATTCTTCCAGAGAATGAGAGTTGCCACACTGGTGGCTCTGTGGCTGGGACTCCTCTGTGCCCGTTCCCCCAGCTGCTCTTGCAGAGCTGCAGTACATCCTCTCTCTGGGGAGCTGTAGCAAGGATGCCCAGGCTGCACAGGGCTGGAGAGCCTTGGCAGGAGAAGGAGCATTTCTTAGTCCTTTGGCTCTGTATTCAGGGGCTCTCATCTCACTGCTCATGACAGCTGAGCAATGCATTGCCTGGGAATTGCCAGATCGAGTATGTCCATGGGGTTAAGCACTCCAGGGGCACCTGGGCAGAAGAGATCTGTTAGGATTAAATGGCTTAATGCTCCGTGGAAGGATTCCTGACATAATACTGTATATTCCCACTGTTTAAATACATTGAATTGACAGTGGCATTCTGTGCTGGCCCTTCCTCACTTGATTCTTTGATGAAGTGCCATCCTAACAACCCCTCCTGAGCACATACATGTGCATGTGTTGGTCTTCATGAGCTGATAGAGGGACAGTTCACCAACTGAGTGTGGCAGGTTAGTCTGAAGCAGAGGAGATGGAGCACTTCCTGAAGTGTCTCATGCCATCATCTGCAGGCCTGGTGGGAGAGCCATGTATGGAGATCTGTCTTATCAATGAGATTTTCAGCTCAAGTGGAGGATTTATGTTGCAATATGTATGCCACATAGCGGAGAAAGTTGTCTTTTTAGTATCTGTCCATAGTAATTCAAATTTTGTGCTTGTCATACATGTCTTTTTGATCTTCCAAACCTACTTGCAGAGTCAACAAGAGAATGTTTCCCTCATTTTTTACCTCTGTTTAAGAGGGGGAGTGTTAAATCATTTTTGCTTTGGTAAGAGTAGGAATTCCAAGACACAGATGCTCTCTCAAGATACTTGAAGTTAAGCACTCAGATTCAAGTGTATGATTTAAAAAACTTGAAAGTGTAGAAAGCAGTTAGAGTTGCAGAGAAAATTCATTACTTGAATCTAAAATATATTTGAGAATTATATCCTTTAAATGTTAGTACACAGAGGTAAAAGCAATCTCACATGGAGCTACTGAATCTCTGATTCTGCTTCCAGACCAGCTGTGCCCCAGCACCTGGATAGCTGTACCAGATGGTAATTTACCATGTTTATAGTGAACTGTAAATTCTGTGCGGAAGAAGAGGGAGGAAGCAATTTGTGCTATCCCTTCATCTGTGCTGCTCAGGCCTCTACCGTGCTGCTTCACTTTGCACTCAGAGAGATGTCCAAGTACACTTTTTTCAGAATGTCAACTTTCTCATGGCTCAACAAGTCCATTCTCTTCTACCTGTCTTCTATGATGTGGTTTTATACCAAGAAATCATTCCCTGAGTTCTCTGTGAGCTCTGGTAGCCTTTCAGAAAGCCTCCTGAGGCTTCTTGGTGCATTCCCATCCTCATTTTACTGCACTAGGCTGTCTCTACCCCCATGTTGCTGTGGATGTTTCCCTGCCTGTGGCCTGTGGAGTCATCCAGCTGAGGAGTGATTAGGAACTCACAGCCCCCCTTGGGTTATGAATTCTCAAACAAGAATTTAGTCTGTGCATATTTGGGTTGAGCTGATGCTGCAAATAGTACTTTTCCCAGAGGCCATGTCTAAATATGCTTGGTTCATGTGTGCAGAGCTGATGTGGACCCAGCTCTTCCCTTGGTATATAATCCTTTTTACTGTGAAATTAGTTTCTTTGGCAGCCTTTTGGTAATTTAGTCAAGAGTCCTCAATGCCTTGGTTTCTCCATGTGCAAAATTAAGACAGCACCTCCTTACACTTCAGTGAACTGGGAGGCTTCACTCCCTGAGTTCTGAAGCTACTTCAGCTCATACCTGGAAGATGCAGTAGAAATATTTGGCTGAAAAATGGAAGCCCTTAGGTGAAAGTGTTTCAGAGCTCATGGCATGCAGGAGGTCAAACTAGCTGATCACAATTTTGCCTCTGGCTTTAAAACCTTTTATCTGTTAAACATATACATCCATAATTATACAGGTTTAATTATTTTATGGATATGTGCACTCCACCAGCAAGGCTCTGTTGTGGTTTTCCTACTGTGAGAGTGTGGGCAAATTTACATTCCCACATTGTGGTGCTGTGCTTGGACTGTAATGAACACCTTGATGGAAGAACGATGGCTGCTCCAAAAACTGATTGGATAAAATTGGTGTCATCTTATTAACAAAGCTGCATTTAGGTGTAATTAAGTTATACTTAGTTTAGTACAAGGTCTGACAGTATGAGAATACTGTAATTAATTCCAAGTTGTATTAACATATTAATTGACACAAGGTAAGCTTCCCATAATACTTGCAGAATGTGCTCATATTACCCAGGAAGTGAAAAGATTTTTAAGAAAATGCTCATATTTATAAAAGCATGCTCATAACACCTTTTCATTTGGAATTGGGTTTGGTTTCTTGCAAGCTAAGGCCTGGATGTCACAGGTGCTCTGGTCCTGGAAATCTTCCTGCTTCTGAAACCCAGTTATTGTGGGTGCTGAAGTTCAACTGACAGTCTTTTACTAAAGTTTGAGAATGTCTTCAACTCCTTTCCTTAAATAGAACATTAATTTTTTCAAACTAACCTGTGGCCAGCTTTGTTTCTGCAGCTGTCATTCATTCAGCTCTGTTTCCCTGTGAACACAGCACTGCTGAAATTACTGCACACATTGTCTCTACTTGTCTCATTTTCAGTAGCAAAAGTTTATGATCACTTCAAAGAACTAATTTGAAAGACTAAATTGATGTTTGTAGTGAATGTTAATTGTCTTTCATTAAGATACTGCATATATAAGGTAAATATTTGTATGTATATGCACACAATATAGGCATGTGCTGGAAAAGCAGAAGTTGTGAATTTACTCGAGTGCTCTTCCAAGGTATTCTGAAGTTTCCCAGTAGGGAGTTGTAGAATACCAAATTATAATAAACAATGATCTTTTATTTATTTTGTGTTTTGTTTTTCACAGCTACAAGAAAACCAAGATGAAATCGAAAATATGATGAACTCTATTTTTAAGGGTATATTTGTTCATAGATACCGGTAAGAAAATGCATGTTCCAGAAGGCTCTGCTAACACAGTGTGATCATAAGGAAAGTCAAGGGCAGCTTCTGGGTTGATTTTCTTCTGATGTAATATTGTAGATGCTGCAGGATCACTGTCAAAAACATTTGAAGTTATGGAAGAATATACAAATTGTAACCTCTATTAATTACTCAGTACAGCCATCCACACAACTTTAATTCAGTAGACAGCTTTAAAAGGTTGTGGGAGACATGGGCTTTGAATCTTTGCATTTTGAAAAGAAAAGTTGTCCATGCTGGGAGCACAAAAATTATATATCTTAAGAATAATCAGATAATTACTGCATGTCGTAGGCTAGCAGTTGTCCTCCAGCCTGCATTTCTTTTTGTATGTCTTGGGTATAAACAGCAAATTTGGAATATGGTTTACCAGAGAGCAGTAGTCTTTTAAAATAGACGGGTTGTTGTGCATCACAAGATGTCTCAGAGCATCTGCATCACCTTGGTGCAACCAGCTCTTTAAATGTTAATTGACTTGCTGAAATCAAAAGATAAAATTCCAGGGTACCAAACTATGCAATTAGCCTTTCAGATTTCAGTTCTGCTTTAAAAGTTTATAATTGATGGAATCTTTTAGGAAAACAGCAGGAAAAAAGGGTGTATGAGAAGAGAGTTAGAAGGTGAAGAGGAACCCATAGGCCAAAACCATTGGCCAGAGGGATGGATGATTGTAATTTGGAGAAAAGTACCCAGGAAACTGGGAAGGTGCTTGGGCTGACAAATGAGTGTGAGCAGCACAGTGGGGTTGGAGAGTGTCTCCTCAGTACCTGAGCATGGAAAGAAAGTTCATGGTTTATGGCCAGGAAGCCTTGAGCTGCTTGGCAGCAGGAGGGATGGGTATGCAGAGCCAGCAGGTACATGATGTGCTAGATTAGTGTGGCACTCACACCATTTTGTAAGGAGAGCAGCTTTCATGGCATATGTAAAAAAGCTGAAGAAATTAAATTCTAAGAGTGTTTCCATTTTTATCCCTTCAGAACTTAGTGTATTATATCAAACAAAACATTGCTTTAAAATATCCTCTTAGTAGTTCATGCTCTTGTGTGGGATTGGAAAAAGCCTTTTGGTGGTCTGCATTCTGGTGCTTTTGCTTTTTCTTTTGAAGTCTTCCTTTTGTAAAAAAGTTTATTTTCATGCCTCCTGCCACCACTAGTAAAGATTTTGCCGATGTTACTGTAAAAAAGGAGAGGACAAATCAATAAACTCCATTTATTGAAAAAGGTGCCCATGGTGACCCTGTTAGACCCGTGGGGAATTAACTGAAATCAGACAGGTGGTGGCACCACTTGTGCCACTGTTCAGAGGGGTCAGGAGGAATCTGTTGCCACTCTGCCCCCAGAGCCACCTGTGTGAGCTTGAGCTGTCCTTGACCTTTTGGGGAACCCCAAAGAGTCTCTTAACAACATACAGCAAACCACGAGTAATGGTTCACAACAGAGAGCACAGAGTGACACTCCTGCACTCACAGCTGGATGAGAAAATAGAGAGGGAAAATGTCTCTGTGAAAACCAGCTGACAACAAAACCCAGGGGGGATAAAATGTAAAGGATTGTGAACTATTATCTGCTTTCATAACTTCTTAATTTCTTGAACCTTCCTTCTCTCAAATAGTTCAAATTATTTATAAACTTCACATGATTTTACAGGCCTTAGACCATGCACAAGTGGTGATGATTTTGAAAGAATATTATTTTAATTATTCTCAGAGAGTAAGTCCCATCCTTCAGTATGGTTCAGACTCAGCCACAGTGATTCATGCTTAGTGACCTTTGTAGCTTAAATAACAAGTCCTTGACCTAAGTAAAACTCCCAAAACTGTTTCATTCAGAATGTGTCTTTTGACAAGTGTTGCAGGGAGATTACATCTTTCTGTAGATTGGCTTCCAATTTACTGGAAGATTTCAGTTCTTGCTTTTCTCATCAAGATTTAAAAAAAAAAAAAAAAATTTGCAGAAATAGCTAAATAGTTTTCTAGGTTTAACGCTAGGTAGTGTGAACAGCAGATTTGGTCAAAGCTGACAACCACTCCAGCAACCCTGAGGAGCACACTGCTCTGCACCTGGTATTTCCCAAATATCCATTAGAGACTCTGTGGCTCCGGTCCTGAATATGCTGGCCTTAATCACAATTCTTGTGTGTACTTTGGCATGAAAGGTACACTGAAGTGGCACTTGGAATGGCACTGGTAAAATCTGTTTCCTGACACTGCTGTGGTTTGTCCTAAGGTTTATGGGCCTGCCTTGTCAAGCCAAAATTTCAAAAGGAAATGCAGAATTTCTTACCTGAACCCCTTTTGTCAAATCCTTTCAGAAGTTGCATCATGGAGGATCTCTTTACCCAGAGTAGGAACTTAGGCTGTGAATTGTGCTGCGAGTATTTTCATCTTGTAGACCTTTCTTTGCATTTTGTGCTGAAACAAGGGTTAAATATATTTCATGTATAAGATCTGTAGATGCCACATTAGTTTTCATCTCTGTGCTGGACCAGATTCTGTTTCTTTCTAGAAGCATTTGGCGAGTAATACAAGCTTACATCACTAATTTATGATAATAAATAATGCATTCATTATTCCAAAAACACTTCCAGTGCAGGTATAATTAGTATTTATATGTTCTTGTGTCATCTAGAAATAATGTGTATTTTCAAAAAGCTAAACAAATCATAGTGACCAGAAGCTAAAATGTATTTAACTGTGTAAATATTAGAAGAAAAGAATTATTGTTTAATGACAAGCAATTACCACATTAAAAGCAAAGGTTCAAAGATTTTTTTGGCTGTATTGAGTTTGATACAGCATTGTATGGGCATGGAGTCTGTGTTAATGATTCCTTCAGGAACACAAGTGATTCTGATCAGTGATAGTTGCCTGGAAGGTGATGTGGAGTGGGAAGTGGCATCTCACAAGTTCCCTGCTTCTCTGGCAGCTTGAGTCTGTTTGCTGGTCTCACATCCTTGATTCTGTCTCATTTTCAATTATACTGGAGATGTTAAATTGTTATTGTATTATATCTCCTATTAAGCTGAATAGCTTTCTTCTTTTTTTTTTTTTTTTGGTTTTAAGTAGCAGCTTGGAGTGAGTGTCTGTAGTGCTGAGGGATCCCTGAGAAGACTTTTGAATCAAGAAGCAGTTTTTCACTTTGCCTAGGGAAGCTTGAATGCACTCTTAGAGAAAACATGATTTTTCCTGCTTTTTGGCTGGCAGTGCTGCATGATTAAATAGTTGTTGACATTTAGGTTCTTTTTGGGATTGCCATTAAATCCTTCCAAATCCTCTACAGTTAGTAAATTTATAAGGTGGTGAAATAACTTACTTGGATGTGAGGACTCAGGCTGTCATCCCCTAGTAAGAATGTCTTCCTCACTACTTTGTGTTGCTGCAGATGAGGCTCCCAGTTTTTTCTTGATTTATGTTTACTAATCTTTCAGTTTTTCTGTAAGTCTTGCATTCGTCCACCTATATTTTGCTTTTAAAATAGTTTACAAGTAACTCCATGTAAGAGAATTGCTAATCTAATTAAACACACACACACACACACATGTTTGTGAGTGTGTGACTATAGTCATAGTTTAAACTAAAACTTGTCTTCATTATGGCTGCCTTTCCCATAAGGAACACAGTTTTTAACCCTTGAGTGTGATATTTAGCACGTTGGTCCTTACACTACTTAAACCTGTTTGAGAAATCCCTGGTAGGAGGAACTTGTTTGATGCCCTGCCCTGCTCCTAATGCACCTTGTCTCCATTGTGGATTGCCCCTTACCTTGGTTCTGAGGTAACAGAGGCTTCAGGAGGCTGGACAGACCAGGTTTACTGATGCTGTTGGGAAGTTGTTAAAATTAATGTTTCTCAAAAGCAGAGAGAGACAATGGCAGTGGTTTGGTGGCATTTCACACAGGTGTCCCCCTCATGTTATTGCATTAAATGCATTACATGCTGTTTATACTTTCCTGCTGTTACAGCAGTACAGTTTCCTCCCTGCAAGTTCAATTCAAACACTGAGACCTGCCAGGAGAAGTTCCCCTGGCCACGTGTGATGCTGGGCTTGGTTCATGGTCCCTGTGGGACCTGGGGTTCCAGCTCAGGGTCTGCAAAGTCAGGGGCAGGACAAAGGCACTGGATTAGCTGGGACAGCCTGCAGGAGGGAAGTACATACTTCCAGTATGGAGTCACCAGGGGCTTGCTGCTCTAGGTTAGGGCTATGAACCTGTGCAGTGCCTTGAGCGGAAAAGTGAGTGCATTTTATTTGTATTTTGTAAAATTGATTACTTTCAGAACAGTGCAATTTTTCATTTTTGCAAATATTCTCTTGCTTGAAGCTTGGAATTTTTATTTCCTTCCCATAAATTAAATTTCATTCTGGGGCTCTGTTGGTCTGGTTTAGAATTAAATTGATGTTTATTACTTTTCCAAAAAGATTTTTTTTTTTCATAAAAATACAAAACAAGGGTCTCAATTACAAGCAAGTTCCAGTGTTTGCAAAGCACCAGACATTCCCTTCTTCTGTGCAGTTACTCTTTGTGTTCTTCTTGTATTACAGCTGAAATTTGGAACTGTGAGGCAGTGCCAGCTGGAGTGGCACAAGTGATTTCTCATGGTAACAGATGTCCCAGAGATGGAATTACTGAAGGGACAGATGGCCCCCATCCCTTTTCTCGTCATTTCATTATTAGTAAAGATGCCATGCTCCATGTCAGGCAGGCAGGAAAGTGCCAATCAGATGGAAAGCATTTCCATCCTGGTCTCCTTAGGTGACCTCTCCAGTTTCCTGCCACCCCTCCTCACTAAGCAGTTGATAAGTCTGCCTGAGATATGTCTTTGCTGACTTGCCACAGTCAGAATGTAGGATAAAAGCAAGAAAATGGGAAGAAACCAATGCTGAAGTGCAAATCTCTCATGGGTTTTGTTGTAGGGGTGTTCATGGGGAATATGAAATGAGATCTCTGTGTAGCAAATTCCATTGTGCTCCTCTGGCAGGTGCCTTTGGCTAAACCAAATAGCTTCTTCCACCTTGCAATGGTTCTGCACCTCAAGCTGGAGACAGCTGGGCTGCAAAGCAGATGTCAGTGATGCTGTTTCAGAAATGATTGCCCAGAGGAGGTTTGTAGCTTGGGTTCATAATTCTCTTTGAAAAAAGAGAGGTTAAAGATGGAGTAATAGACTAAGAAGCAAACTAGGGTGAGAATTTCTTTACGTAGAGGAAATGTAGGAGCATCTATAAACACTGAAATTATTAGATCAGTGAGTTCAAGGATGTACAGGAACATCAGTGAGATGGCAGTAAGAACAGTGGCAGGCCTCACTTAGTGAGGTTCATGACCAATAAAAGCAAAATATTATAGCTATGGCAATGGGAATAAGAAGGATATTTGTCTGTAATGTGGCTAATCCTTTTCTTTTCTTTTTCTGTATTAGTGATGCTATTGCTGAAATTAGAGCTGTCTGTATTGAAGAAATTGGTGTCTGGATGAAAATGTACAGTGATGCCTTCCTGAATGATAGTTATTTAAAATATGTTGGTTGGACACTACATGACAGGGTGAGTATTGTGTATTCCCACACACAGCAGAGTACACTGGAGGCAGCTGCTGCTGTGCTGCCCAGCACAGCGTTATCCTTGGCTTACAAAGAGGTTTTCTGTTTCCTCACCTGGTATCTTTCAATCAGGTCACTTCCAGGTATTGGCTTCAATTAGGAGACAGTACTCCCAGTCTGCTGGTCTGTGTGCTTTTCATGTGGTCAGTCTCTGATGAAGTATCTTGACAGAAATCCTTCCGTGGGGCTTTTCTGTTGATTACAAGAGAAAGAGAAGTCTCTTCAGAGCATCCTTGAGAGCCTCTGTGTCTGAAGCAGAACGGAAGAGGGATTTCCATGTGTCTTCCATTTACATTGCCCAAAGGTTAGAGGAAAAAAAGAGATCTCTGGGTCCTGAATAGACACCGCTGGTTCCACAACCATGTTCCACGAGTGAAGTGCTCATCAGTTCACTGTCCCTTCCTTCCTTTTCAAGGTTCTCTTTAGCTTTTTCTTCAGAAAAATGTTGAAACACCAGATAGAAGGAAAAGAGGTGCTTTTCTTACTCAGCACAGTTCTTAGTACTGATGGTATCCACCTAATTCTTGCAGCAAGAGGAGCCCATTGTGGGTGCTGACAGAGGGCTTTGCACTTCTGCCTGGGGACTTTTGTACACCAGCACTGGCTGTGCTCCCACTCACACAAAACCACTGGAATCACTTGTTTTACTCTAAGCTCCCTTGCTAACACTATCCAAGGAATACAACTTACAGTACTGTTGAAATGCTCATCAAATTCCAGCATCCTGATTCAGACTATTCTCCTTTTCTAGGAGCATTGGTGGAAAAAAATTGTCAGTCTGCAAGTTCATTTGGATTACTTGCATAACTGATAGTTAACAGCTGATTCTTGAAAAATATTACTTTTTTCAGTAATTTCAAACATCATCTTAATATTTAGGATCTGACGTGGTCACTCTTGTGCTGAATTCTGAACAACATGAGTCATGCAGATGTTGGCTTTCACTAATTATAGAAGTCAGCTGCTGCTGCTGGTTCTTTTAACTACAGCTGCCAGGAATCTGCCTCTTGCCTTCATTTGGATGAGCAGTTGACTTGTTAAGAGTATCCTCTAGACATGGGATTTCTTTCCAAACCTGTAGTTCTCAAGCTTTCCCTTTACAAATTTTCCCCAAACTATTAACATTAGATCTCACTGGGCAAAACTCGGTCAGGGGGAAGATCCTGCTTACTGCTCCCATGAGCCATGGCCACTTGTCTGCCCCAGAGCCACTGCACTGTGTCTCAGTGAATACTGGACATGGAAACACAGCCATGGCAGTGCCTGGAGGGACAGAACTGCTGCTCTGTGTCCCTTGTTGGTGACATTGCTGTGCCTCACTAGTTGCCATGCTCCAGGAGAAGACATCATTGTTCAAGTTAGCAAACCAGTGGGCAGGTTAGCTGAGGTTGGAGGATTGGGATTTAAGGTGTGTGGAGGGCTTTGTTTTACTAGGACTCGTAATTTAAATAAATTATTCCTTGAATAATTGCAGTGGATTTTTGGGAGCACATTCTAAACCTTGTAGAACATTTCCACAAGGTAGCACCTCCGGAATGCAGTGGGGCTGCACTTCACAGCTCTCAGCCCCCTCCTAGTGTCTTTGAAGTCCATCCATTTCTCACATCACTCCCTTTACCCATCTGTGGAATCTCACACTCTCATCTGTCACATCCAGCAATTTCTCATATCATGTGCAGTATTTTCTCACACCCTCTTCTGTTAGTTTAACCTCAGGCCAGGGTCTAGTCATCTGCCTGCAGCCTTAACACATATTTATACCCCAGCTTTTTTAAAAATCAACATGTTCTTTCATAGCAGAGAAATTTTGAATTACAGTGTTAGGATAAAAAACTAGACCATTTGGACCAGGCACAGCAGAATTCTATCAGACTGCTCTTCCTCTGCTTCATAAAATTTTTTTGTTGCAGGCCACAGAAGTACCCTGGGGTTCTAAGTCTTTAAATCACTAATGTGTTTAATGTCCCAGTCCACCTGATAGGTGGTGGGGTTTTATTGATGTTGTGGATGTGTCATCTACAGAGTGAGACAGACTGTAGGTAGAATGGGGAAGAGTCTGGGGCAGGTGTCAAGTAATGAAAAGGGAGGAGAGACATTTTGGAAAGCACAGAAAGGAGGGTGGAGATGCAATAGGAAGAATATATTGGAAAAAGATGGAGTAAGAGCCAACTGAAAATGCAAAGCCTCCAGAAGTACAAGATCCCTTAACAGCATGGTTTTCATTGGCACCGCCTGAAAAACTGCCAGCTGGTACCCAAGTTTCTTGATTTTGCTTTGCTTTGATCAGGAGATAATTTTTGCTATAATTGGTATTTAAAAAATGAAGGCTGAGGCAATAGCCATAAGCTATTTTCACTTCACATGAGCAGCAGTCACCCCAAGATTATTAACTTCTCTGGAAGTTTGCTGCTGCAGAAAGGAGAGAGCAGTGCAGGAGATTCCTGAGCAGTTTCATATTCTACTTCAGAAGACATACAAATTAAACCACAGGGAAGAACAGTTCTTACACTTCTTTGTAGTAGCTCCAACGTAGTCTTTCAGAGGTAGAATACAAAAGTTTCATGGAAAATCCTTATATTTTGTATGTTAATCATGTCTCCCAGATTTCAAACAAATGTCTGTAGGGATTTTTGGTTTTTATAGATTCTCATTTGAATGGTGCTTTCAAGTTTTGCCTTTCTCTGCTTTTAAGCATCTTTTTTATTCCCATGTATCTTGGAGCATAAATAAAAGTGTATAAACTATGATATAATTGCATTAAAAAACCCTCTTGAAAATAGAAGTGTTAAATTAGACTGTTCTGTCTTGTCACCTACTTCATTGATGTGTGGAACTGTTTTGAAACCGTAATTGTCTCTAGATACCTGGACAGTCATGGTTCTTAAAACCAGTTCCTAACACATAAGAACGTGCTTTTTTTCTTTCTTTGCATTCCTCTTACTGTATTTATTGTCTATTTCTGTGGAGAGGATGAACCCAGGGTCCTCTGAAACAGATGTTCCTCTTGTGCTTGACCTCCTAATTAATTAATGAATGAATTAGGTAAATAAGTTCTCTCTTAGTTTACTAAGTCTCTTGCTGGCCTTCCTGTCCATCCCTGTTTGCAGCTTTTATGCTGGCATGTTTCTTAAGAATCACCCTAACAAGCATTCACACCCAATTACTTCCTTGCTAGAAGGTGTTAGGGATGTTCAAAGCTCCTGTGAGCTGGATGATTCTCACAGTTATGAAGAACCATCTCGTGTGTGGTGTTGAGGGTCCGTGGCACATTGCTGCTCCTCCACTCTGGACTGGAGTGCATCCACACACACCTTCACCCTGGCCTTCTTTGCTTCCTGTCCAGCTCACTGCCCTTTAGGCTTCCCAGGGCGTTCCTGCCACTCATCTCCACTGACTTTGTTTTAAAACCTCCTTACCAGGATTAGCAAGCTGATGTGCAGGAGCTCTTCCCTCTCCAAAGAGGTGAATTCCATCCTTGACTAACAGTTTAAAAGACAGACTCAGATAAAGTCCTCCTTCATCATTCTTCTGCCAGAGGGGCAGTCATTTCCAGGGTTTGCCTCTGTGTCTCCTGGTCCTGCTGCTAGCCAGAGGGACCAGATGTAACATAACCTTTCTCTCTCTCTTCCTCACCTGCTCCTGCAGTCCCTTCTCCTCAGATCTGGTCCAGGACACTTTGGTTAGGGCCTGGCTGCAGTTGTCTGGCAGGGCATGCAAGGAGCCATACAAGGAGCCTGTGCTCAGGGTGTGGTTCCTGCCTGCCTGGCTCCATTTGCTGGCTTGAGCTTTTCAGAGAGCCCAGTACAGGGCCTGGACTGAGCTCTGGGACCATGGATCCATGGAGTCTGGGGAAGTCTCCAAGGGCTTTGGGCTCTATGGGCCTAAACAGTCTGAGCCTGCTTTGCCCAGGTCTGGGGTCCCATTGTGGGTGAGTTTTCCATTTGGCAGTGGGCTCACAGGTAGGACAGGCTCCAGTGCAGCTGTAAATAGAGCTGCTGCCTTACTGTGCCTTACAGTGCTCATGCAGGCCAGAACTGACCTGGTCCTGATCCTCTGGGGCTCAGCGAGCTGAGGCCATCAGAGGCCTATGTCCTGTGAGTGGTGATGACTCCAGACATCCTGGGCATTCTGAGCACCACACAGCAGAGGAGGGCATCATTTCTGGTACTGCCACATAGGTGCTATTAAAAAAAGAATGTCAAGCAGCATTTCTCTGGGCTTTTTTAGCAGCTGATCACATTCATGTAATTTTTCTTCAAGCAAGTTCTTTTCTGTACCTTGAAAGAGCCTATGTCATATCCCTTTAAACGTACCTTACACCTCATTGACTTTCTCTGGAGTGGTAGTCAGAAAGATCCCTAGAAGAGAGCACGATTGCTCAGAGACTCCTCATGGATATAGAGAGATGATTTCTCAGGAACAGTTGTTTTTCATGGAAGTTCTTCGGAAAACCCAGCTTCTGTGCTGCTTTTGTGTTCTATTTCAAATTTTGAAATAGGTGTGAAGGAGGAAAGAAACTTTAAAATTTGGATTTATATCTTCTGCTTTTATGTCAGTCTGTGAATGTTCTTTCAGTTTTTAATGTGATCACTTTTTAAGTACAGACTGGATTCTGGAATAGACAGTTTCAGAAATTAAGCCCTCTGGGTATGGATTTTTATTGATGAAGTTCAATAGTTTATTTTAGTTCTTGAGCAACTTAAGGCCTTTAAGCAACTTAAGGCAGTGAACTCTACAGAGTATATTTGAGTAGATTTGTGTTTATAACCTTTTGGCTATCCACAAATATTTTACAGCAAGAATTTATAGTTTGCCAATATGGTACAGTTGAGTTGCCCACCTGCAGCACAGGGGATTCAGTCCCTCTCTTCATCAGCAGTGTTCCTGCAGGACACAAGCCTTGATCCACAGGCCCTGTCCTGTGATGCCCACATTTCCTGCTGCAGCCCACCAGACCAAAGCAGTCCCCAGCAGTTGGGAATGAGCTGCTGCCACCAGCACAGCTCAGGCGCAGGGACACAAGCCACCCTTCTTCCCACGGGCTCCTCGGGCTGTGGCTCAGATGTGTTGTTCCTGTGGCAGCAGCCTGCTCCCCACTGGAGGATCTCTCACACCTTCTGCATCCTTCAGCCTGTGCTGTCCTTCTGTGAGAGATGGAATGTAAAACCTGTGGGGGTAACAAATGCAGCGTGTGTGCCCTGTGTCCCCACGAGCTGTCAGCCGTGGGCCTGTGGGCTCCTTCCTGAAGACAAACAGCCACACTGCCTGCACCAAGCACCTGGACATCCGACATCCTTATTTTGGATTTACTTGTTGCATTCTTTATCTTTTTGTGGAGTCACTTGAAAGGGAAGCACTAACAGACATATAAGTGATGGCACATTAGTTCTTTCTGTATGCAAATAGGAAGAAATTTAACATTGTAGGTGACTGCATGTGGATTTTGGTTTTTAGTAAATTGCAAATTGGCTTTGGTCATTTGCATAACATTTTAAGTGTACATTAAACAAATTACAGTATTATATTTTTTAATATTCATGTGCATTTGGTTAAAGTATTCTGACAGCTAATCTCAGTGTTTTTTATTTAGCAAGGTGAAGTGAGGTTGAAGTGTTTGAAAGCTCTTCAGAGTCTGTATACCAACAGAGAGTTGTTTCCCAAACTGGAGCTGTTCACTAATAGATTCAAGGTAAGAGGAAATGCAGTTTTTGGAAGGAGGACAGAAAGTAAAAGTGTCATCATCCTGTTGTGGTCTTAGAGTCACGTCTATTAAGAATGAACTCATTAGATTGTCACAAGGCTTGTAACTGCAGTACTGAAACTGTGTTACTGAATGCTGAAATTAAGCCAAATCCATTTCACAGCGTTTATGTTGGGAGATTTGTCAGACTTAGCCAGGATGATTATTTGTCTGTATGTGTTATTTATAGCTTATATATTGTCCTTATTCAATCTGCCTGTACTTAGTTAATTTTAGATTTATTGATTTTAAAGGATGTATACTAACACAATCTAAAATGTAGCTGAAAGTAGCAGCCAGTGAACTGGCCTTGCTGCAGAACAGGAGTTCACATTGTGCTTCCAAGCCCCTTGAACCACATTGGCCCTTCAGGAGAGAAGTGTTGGGGCAATATTTCATGGGGTTTTTATTAGCACAAACTTTTTGTGTAATATCTGGATAAGAATGTGGCTGTTAATTCACTTTGTGGTCTGACTGTTTTATTGTACAAGTGAACTATCTGGAGAGATGGGTGTGGAAACACTGTCCCTGCTCTTGTTTGGATGCCTGCTGAGGGGAGCATTCAGGCACTGCCACCATGTCAGCTGCTGCCTCTCCCTGTGGCTTTTGTGTTCTGCAGAATACCCTACTGTGGGAAAAGCTACCCCCAAGGAAAAACTCATTTATTTCATTTAAATCTTTATTAGAATGATGATGAAAAAATTTGTTTAGAAAAGAAACAGAGCTGACTGGTTTATTTTAACTTAAATCATTATTATAATGCTGATTAAAAATTCTGTTTAGAAAAGTGGAGATTTACATATTTATAAATATGTAATGTAATACTGTGCACAAGACTTAAACTTCTCCCTGTAGATTCTCCCTGTATGAAAACAGTTTATAAAAACATGATAATCAGCTTTTTTCCACATTCACTTGAGATACAGAAAAAAGATGCTTAGCCTGCAATAAGCCTAGATATTAAGGAAGGCTTTTTTTCCAAAATTATAATTATATAATAGAGCAGACTCTTTATTAATAGTCTTCTTCATTTAAGATAACAGTCTTAAAGGGCAGATAAAATAAATGTCTACCAGAAATGAACTACATATAGTTGACTAAAGTAGGAGATAAGACTTGATCATTTTAAGACACTACTTAAGGGCCTGCATTCTTCTAATTTTATAAAGCCAGTTTCTTGCACTGTTGCAGTAAAGACAAAATTTCCCCTTATAGGAGAGAACCTGGTAAAGAGGATCAGACTCAGTTACTCTCTAATGCCTCCAATAAGTCTGCTTTGCTTTATCCTCACAGGACAACCAGAAAAATGGACCCTCCAACTCTGCTGATTTTCCTGTTCCCTCTGTGCTGATTTAGATTTATTTATATTTGCTGCTTCTGTAATTCCATTTTTTAAAAGATTGTCACTAAAGCTCTCATGGGCTTTTATCTACTTCTCTTTACTAGAAAATGTGCTGAATGCTTCTTTGTCATGATCCCATAATTTGTAAGGGAAAAGACTGCTTAGAGGCTGAACTGTCCCATGCACCTGCAAAACTTTCAGCATAATTGGAGACAGTTTGGGCAATAGTTACTCTGTAATGTACTCCAGAAAACTACAGGGACATGAAACCTCTAAATACATCCTGCTTTTCACAGCACAGACAATTCTCTTAAAGGAAGCTAGGTTAGCCTGTGCATTGCTGCTTGGCTTGGAATGGTACAAGGAGTTTTCATTTCTGTCAAAGAGGTTCAGAAGGAAGGGAGCCTTGCTAGGAATTCATCTTTCTTCTGTCCTATAAAAGCTGGTTTTACTACAGAAATATCTATCATTATGAAATAAAACAGAGGAAAAGGTGTGCTCCAAGTCTCTGGGAGCCCAGAGAACAGATTTCTTTAACGTAATGATTAATCACTTTCAGTTTCTGCCACATCAAGAGAACAAAAAGCTGGCATGGCCCAAATGCCTGCACTTGGATTTACAGCTGTGCTGTCAGGGATGTGGCCTTTGGCACCAGGATGGAGCAAAGTTCCAAGTTAATGCTTTTTGAATCTCTGATACATTAGCTAAATGTCTTGCTACCACAGACTCTACCACCACCTCTTTGAAAAATAATTGACCTAACTGCCATTTTCAGTTCCATGGCTGCTTATTTATATTTTTTCATCAGAATTTAATCGACCTGCACAGTTCAGCTGGTGTTCAGTTCAATCCATTCAAACTGAGAGAAATCTCTCTAGAGGTCTTCTAGCTGTTTAAAGAATAAATTAATTTGATCCAGAGTGCCTTGTGCTGGGTGTTAATATTTCATCTCCTTCCAGAGAGCTGTGACAAGGATGTGATCCTTTCCCTTTTTCACAAAAAAATGCCTGTTCTTTCCAGCATTTGTGTTTCTAAGAGGAGATGATATGCTGGAAAATAAGCTTTGTCCATCAAAACAAAAATTTGCCCATCAAAGAGAAGACTTCTGTTTTCCGTCAAGAAGTCCTGTCTGATACAGACATTAACTGACCCCATATGGAAAAACTGTGAATTAACTCCTCTGCAGGCAGTGCCAGATCCCTCATCCCTCACCCTGTGCTGTCTCCACAGCCTGGGAGCACAAGGAGAGATTGGCTCTTCAGTCTGCTTTGTTCACAGCCTAATATAGAATGGAAAACTTCAGAGACACTCAGAATTAGTATTTCAGCTCAAAAATCCAGGTCTGTGCCCTGTTCTGCTGCTGTACAATGGCACAGGGAATCTCTCTAAATGCAGATTGAGCAGATAGGTGTTGGAACTTCCTCAGCCACTGCAGTTACACCTTCAGAGGCACTGGGGGTGTGAGTCTTGCTGGGGAAGCTCTTGGGGCCTGGCTGGCAGGTGCCACCACACAGAGGTGCTGGCCCCAGGGCAGAAAATTACGCATCCATGCTGTTTATTTTAAGCCTGATATTTTTGGGGACCAGTCTTGTAGGATAAGGAAACCTTCTCACGTTGCTTGGTTTCAAAGTCCGAAAGGACTCCAGATTCAGAGGGTACCTCCTGCTCTGTGGACAGGAGAGGGGATTCCCTCCCTGAGCTATCCTGGGCTGTAAGATAAACTCTGAGAGAATACATGAAATTCTACTAAGACATTTAAGATCAGGATCTCTGGCTGTTCTTTCTCATGGTGCTGTTATTGCTGTTCCTTGGCCAGGACCTTAGGAAAAGTTGACAGCAGTTTTTTTGTCTTGTTTATAACAGTGTGTCCTCTGTGGAAAGTTGTTTCTTTGGGTCTCTTCTTGGACTTCTCACAGGCTTTTAAACTGTTTAGATCTACATGAAATGTATCAAATTCTCCAGGAGCTTAATAGTGATTGACAGAGGCTCCTTCAGTCACAGTGACAAGAAGTGTCTCTGCAGACTTGGTTTTGTTGGGAAGTAACAACTGAGACAGCCATGCTACATTTTTTAAGTACTGATCTGAAATTTCTGTATTGAAATAAACATCAGTTTCTTGATGTTTGCCTTCAGCCCTTAAATGCATGGAATGGTAGAGAAGAAAGGTGAAAATGTTTATTTTGCTCTGGTTTGTTCTGGCTTTCACTGGTGTTGCCTTACACTTCCCTTGTTTCTTTTCCAGTTCCTGATTTCTATTTTTTCATATCCTAAAATGTCATAGAGTACCTACTCCTTGCTGAAGCAGGTTAAGCCAGCGAAATCAAGTTTTATTTTCAGATGGCCTGATTTCTCTACAGTAACTTGCTCAGTCAAGCAAAGAGCATTGAGACATACGCATTTTTATGGCTGGATGGAAATTCTCCCCAGATAGGAAGGACAACATACACCAATCACAGCTATTTTTGCCAGTAAGCAAATGGAACCTAAGGAGAAAGAAACCCTTAAAAGACTTCTCATAGCTACAGGGTCCTTAGAAGTTAGAAAATCATTAGATTTGACAGGAGAATTATGTACTTGTCTCCATTAGAAAGAGTATGAGAAAATGCAAAATCAAACCATGGAATTCCCCACTTTCCTGGAGAAGCTCTGTAGTGTAATTCTTGAGATCTGCTTCAAACCTTGAGATATAGACAGGGAAAAGGTCACAACTTTACAGGCAACCTGCAGATGCGTGATCTCAGGTGTGATTTTCTTCACGTTTCCATGTATGCAGCATTCCTTCCTCTGAAATTATTTGGTTTCAGGGGAATGAAGTGGGGCAGGTTTTCTGCTTCATTCTGTCCAACCCAAGTATGTGACTTTTCAGGAAAGATCTGTTAAATTGATCCAACCCAGAACAGTGCTGTAGCTCCCAAGTCTCTTCCCTCCCTTTCTGGCAAACACACAAGGATAAGGACTGTTGAAGCAGTTGTCCTTTTGTTACAGCTCACAGCGAAGTGGTACATTAAAAGGTTGGGTAATATTGAGGGGCTCTCATTGTCAGCATGCGGTTGAAACGTCTTTCTCCCCTGAAGTATTTCTTTTGTAACCTGTAGAATTTTCCATCTGCTGGCCTTGCTGTGTTTGTGCCTGTGACTGACCTCAGTTGCCTTGCAGGACCGCATTGTGTCCATGACCCTGGACAAGGAGTACGATGTCGCTGTGGAAGCCATTCGATTGGTCACGCTAATCCTCCAGTGAGTGCTGCTCCAACCCCTGCACTCCCTTGGAAAGTTCCCTAAACCACTACCATTTGAGGGACTTGAGTGCTTTGCTTGTGTATTGAAGTGAATGTGCTACTTTACACTTAGTAGGAAGGTGAACTGAACATATAATATGGACATGAAGCTAAAGTTAGGTATTTCATTTCATGGAAATATGGGAGACAAAGTGTAAGAATGTGTGGATGTTTTGGAGTCATTAGTGCATCCATTGTGTGGAACAATGCCAAAGGGCATTTCTACCTTTTGCCAAGGGCAGAACAACTGTCCTCCCAAAATGAATGGCTGTGGGTTACACTTGCTAGAGTAACTCCAGCAGTAACACAGATCCAGTGTAGGGAGAGTTCATTGATTTCCTGACACAGCTGAAAAGAGTCACATGGAAGGACACCTGCTTCCAGGCTTTTCCATGTGGGGATGCAATGGGTCACCTGAGGTAAGCATCACCTCAGACATCCTCCCACATGCTGATGTGGAACCAGCCTGTTCCCAGCAGCCTCATGAGTGTGCACCTGGAGGGGCACTGCCAGGCTTTTATAATATGTTTATTAAAAGCTGTATGAAAGAATGTCTGGTTTACAAGCAGATGCAGAGAATTTTTGCTTCATATTTTATATCCAGTGGCTCCACTTTGAAGAATGTTTTTGGACATGCAGAATTTGGACAACAGATTGCACTAGTCTTTCCTTAGTAACAAAGTCTAGAATTCAGCTTTTTATTTATGGATCACTCTGTTTTAAAGAGATTAGAATTATAATGTTAGCAAGATATGAAATCTTACATCTACTGTTATATTTTTAAAGTAAATATAACAAATATGATCTGAAATGTCATGCAGAGCACGTCTTCCCTGTACTATTAGCAATTTTTGGGAACACAATAAGTTGTAAGGTCAAAAATTACCCAGTGCACTTTTTTTTTTCCTGCTTTCCTTTTGGTTGCCCATTGAAAGCACAGGAAATACTAAATGCATTTAGCACCAGAAGAGGCTGGGTCAGCTTGAAGAGCACAGGGCAATATTCTGGCAGGTAGGAATTCCAGAAAGGTGTCTGGAACAGTCCCGATGGGGAATGGCCAATTAAAATAATGTCTAGTATGAAGCCAAATGATTTAGAGTCCTGGTACATAAATGTTTCTGATGGATGCCAACTAAACAAGGATGGAGGTAATATCCAGGTTGTGACAGTGCTGGTATTTTTATATCATTTTTGCTAACATTCTGGGACAGGCTGCCCAGGGAAGAATTCAGAAGTGGGGACATGGATTAGTGGTGAACACAGAGGGCCCAGGTTAATGGTTGGACTCAATGAGCATGGAGGTCTTGCCCAACCTAAAGGATTCTGTGATTCCAGGTTTTTAGTTTATGATGTTTAATGAGTGTTTGGCATCTTGCAGTATGTGAATGGAAGTTTGTGTGATGGTCTAAGGAATAAGCAGGGGAGGGTTTGTATGCAGTCATTCTGATCTTTTAATACTATTTTATGTCTACATTGATAAAACGGGGGAAAGGAAATCAGAGAAACTTCCGGTCTTACAGGCCCTTTAAATACCTCTGTATTTTCAAGTTGAACCAAAGGTCCCTGAAGTCATTGTTCAACTATGTAGCATTTTGTGGGAAGTGAACCAACCTTGTAGCTGTCCCAAGTGAGCTGTGGGAGGTGAGGGGATGGAGGTGAAACCTCTGCTGTAGCTGAGGTGTTATTGTGACTCTTTCAGTGGGAGCGAGGAGGCTCTGTCCAATGAAGACTGCGAGAATGTTTATCACCTGGTGTACTCAGCACACCGGCCTGTGGCAGTAGCAGCTGGGGAATTCCTCCACAAAAAGTAAGTCATCGGTTGCCCTGGAATAAGACCAAGTTTGTGAATGCTTCCTAGAAAGGTAACATCAAAAAGCAAAGAAGCAGTGGAGTGAAATATCCCAGTTTAGCAAATCAGGTATTTCATTTAAACCAGAGACTATATTCTCTTGTTTAAACAAGATCTGAGAACTTGAAGAAACTGAATGTACATTTTTCTTGCTCTGCAATTCAGATAACATTTCCCAACTCCTTCAGGGTTAAATATACAAAGGCTGCACAAACTTCTGAAGTTGGTTTAAGTCCTGCAGCACTTGCTGAATTCCTGGTTGTGGTAAGATACATATATTAGGCTTGTAGTCTGGGCTGATCTACCTGATACATCAACAGTCATAATTTCTAGCAAGTTTTAAGCCAGTTTCTTTCTCTGTTGTGAACTTGGGAGGTTTTTATGTAGCAATAACTATAAAATTTGTTTCTAAACTCACTGTCTCCTCCTGAAAATATATTCCATTATGAGTTTACAACTTTCATGTCCACACTATGCCAAGGGACATGAACCAGTTTTTCTATGGATGTGCGTCACACCACCTCAGTAACTGTGACCAGGGCATTGCCACATCATAGGAGTTAAACAGTTCTTTTTATTGTTTGCAGTTGAAAATCTTTCAGCAGGAATTTGTCTTTTTCCCCTCATGGGTTGTGACATTAGAGTTTTTTATTCCATGTATAGAGCATTTATATTAGAACCCAGGTTATCTAATTTTTTCATGCCAAGATACAGATAGGAAAAAATACACAAAGACATCTGTTTTTCTTTGTCAGTGTTCTAATTTTCTATGGTCTATTAAGGATTTACAACTCCACATTGTAACTGTAAGCTTTCATTGGTGGATTTTTGGAGTTCCAGCCTTGTGATCAAGCACTACCCATTTCAAGAAATATATGTGCAGATTTCCATTAACAAGACATTGTACTAGTTGCTGGAAAGGGTTAGGTTCTTATTAAAAACACACACTAAAATTCCTTTATTAATCATCATGTGACAGAATACTTTTGAAAAATGCCTCAAAGGTAAATGAGGACACACCGCAGTGCACTTAGGAAAAAGACAAAACTTCATTTTGACTTCTTTTACAAGGTGCTAAGCTCTGTTCTGTAAATGTGTCTCAAGGCTAACAGCATGGAGACAAGATTGTCCCATTCTTAACTAGTTTTTTCCTGGTTTCCGCAAAGAAAATCTCCAGTTAAATAAGTTAGAATCTATTTCAGGCATTTGAGGTGTGATTTATCTCACCTAATTTAATACATTTCACTATCACTTTCTCTGTGATAATCATCAGACATGTTCTCTGTGCTTAGCAAAGGAAAGCAAATAGTACAGAGGATATAAAGGATCCCAAATACAGAGGATCACTGGCTCAACCCTGAGGTGCAGGTTGTAAGGTACCTCAGCACCTGCAGAGGTGCTCATTGCTTATCTGTTAAGATAAGCAGGGGGGACGAGGTAATGTTTTTAGCTAAAATACAACATTTGTGTGTAACTTGTCCTTCTCTTCAGTGAATTACAGCAGTGAAATCAGAATTCTGTGTTTCATGTGTTAATCTGCTTTGTGATTTCACTGTTAAAGCCAGGAACAGCTTCCAAACTTCTCAAAGTTAAACAGTCATTGCTGTAACAGTAATACTGGCACATCAGAGATCTCTTGGAAAATTTGAGCATTGAAAGCAGTTTGGGATGGGCCATGCATCAGGGAACTCAGTGCAGAGTGTGTCACTTACCTGTAAAACCCAAAATAATGAGTAGGAGCTGGTTGTATCTTTGATGCTGCTCCTGGTACCTGAGGTTGGCTGTTTGATGGTTTGTTTTTACCACGTCCCAGCCAGGGTGATACAACCTTCGCTCCCAGTGCACTGGTGCAGTAGGTGCTGCCTCCACTGCAAGACCAGATAAGTTATAAATGCAAAACTGTACAAGTGATGCAAATATTTGAAACTGTGCAAAACCTTCAATGTAAGTAGGTTTTGGAGACCTTTTTCCTGTGTGAAATTCTTCCAGCTTTGTGAGCTCAAGGACTGAAGAGAAATTCATCTCTTCAGACAGGCAGAGGTTGTGGCCTCTTTCCCTTGAAAGAAATAGCTTGAGATACTTGCACTGTTTTGTGAACAAATTTACTATATCTAGAATGAATGCTCATCATATTCTTGCAGAAATGAGAATTGTTGTGATAGCCATGAGCTCCTTCTGCTTATTTTCAGGCTGTTCAGCAGACACGATCCCCAAGCTGAAGAGGCTCTAGCAAAGAGAAGGGGGCGAAATAGCCCAAATGGAAACCTTATTAGAATGTTGGTTCTTTTCTTTCTTGAAAGTGAGGTAAAAAAGTAATTTTTAACCTTTAAATGTTTTATAAAACCTGGAACTTAAGTAGTGATTTATCAACTTACAGTAATAAATTGTCTGTCTTTTCCTTTTTATTTTATATTTTCAGAAATACCGTAAGCCCTTTTCCCTGCCCCTCCATTTCCTTGTCCATTAAGGAAATTGATCTGAAAATCTTTGTGGTTTATTTAACTCGTGCATGTCCCCACTGTACTCACACTGCATTGCTCTGCTGTGGTGGCTGCCAGGGTGCATTGCTGCACACAAATGGAAATGGTTCTTGCTTACATAACCATGCAAGGAGAATACCTCTGGAATTATTATTTGTGGAGTAAAATAATTTGAATCAGGACGGGACAAAAATTGCATAATATCTCCAATTGTTATTAGAATCATAGATGAACTCAGAGTGGGAAGGACCTGAGGGGTCCTTAGCTCAGAGCAGAGTCAGCTGTGAGATGAGTTGAGGTCTCTCAGGGCTTTATGCAGACGCATCTTAGAAACGTTGGAGGATGAAGAAGACAAGCACAGATGTGGTGACATGAAGTGTTTGATGAACACACCCAGGGTGGGATTGTGCCTATGATTTACAGAGACAGCATCTATGGGAAATTGTGTGGTACCTGTAGTAACACTAATAGAGATGGGGAATGGCAGTGGAGGGAGGAAAATTTGAGAAGATACTGTTAGGTACAGGATGTTGTTAAGATAGAGGGGGAAAGGGTCAAAATTATTAATTTGATTTGATAATAAGCAGATTTAAAGAAAGGAATGACAGAAATGTTTCTCTAGAGAAGGCAGCATAGTATATTTTGGGTAAAAAGCAAAAGTAAAGATATTACAATTGGTTATTTTAATTGTTATGAAGCCCTGAACAAGAGACTTGACTGTGAGAATGAAGAGAAACACTCAGAGTTGCTGAGAAGGAAGGACAAAATTTTGGTACAGTGTTCTTGGTTTTTAGAAACACCTCATAAATCTACAAATTAATCTGGATGAAATGTCACTACCTGTGTGAGCCTTCAATCTGACACCTGAATGGATTTTTAGTTCCAGCTTCTTCAAAACTTAAATTGTAAAGTTCATTGTGTTTTACAGTGTAAAACATGCCTTAGATGTGAGTGTGATGAGTTGCTGAGCACTGACCTTGTCTGTTCTTCTGAGGAGAAGAGAAGCTCTGCTCCACTCCCAAAGCCAAGATCAGCAAAGTGCCTCCCATGCTGCTCCCTGAGGGTCACTTCTCTCTCGGGGCCAGTTTTTGCTGTTGTTGTTTTTGAGAGTTGTTAGGAGCCAAGTAGAATATCCTGACTCCAATTTTAGTAAAGAGTTGGAGAATTGGGAGGTTGCATGTGGGTGGGATGAGTTAACACTGCAGTCTGGGCTGCATTCAAGGGAGTGAACCTTACCCTGTGACATTTTGCCCAAAGCTGTCAGAAACAAGAGGGGAATGTACTGACACCTCCTTCTCTGCACTCAGGGATGTTTTCCAGCTAAGGAGTCAGTCCCTGGCAAGCACGAGTTGGGTGTTGTGCATGTTGGAAGTAGTTAAAGATAAGTTTAGAAAACAGCAGAAGCCTATGGATTATTTTTCTCACTTTACAACAGTTGTGTTAATTCACATGAAAACATTTTTTGCAGTTGAAGTTAGTGTTAAATCTGTAACCCCTGAAATCACCAGGATTTTTGCTCCTTTTTTTTCTGAGCACATAGCAGCATGTTTGAAAACCAACTGCTTGTTCAAAACAAATACATTACAACTCTCATGCCTCACCATCTCTCCTTTTTGTAATGCAGTGAGAAAGTGAGGGAAGGTAAGTTTACTGCTTCTGGGTCAAAAGTCTGGGAGAGATTTTTCTCAAACAGGTAGCTTTGTGCAAAAGAAGCTCAGTTTGGTTTTATTTCGTTTCTGTTAAAACATAACCCCACTGCACTGTTGTCATTCAGTTGTGAGAAAACCTTCCTGAATTAGTTTCAAACTCAATGTTCTGTCCAACTAACATAAGATACGTGCCCAGGACACTCTCTGTGGCCACATGATTATGGCAGTTGAAGAACTGGTGCTTATACCAAGAGCTGTACTGATGATTGCTTTGGATTTTCTAGTTGCATGAACATGCAGCCTATTTGGTGGACAGCTTGTGGGAGAGCTCTCAAGAACTGCTGAAAGACTGGGAATGTATGACAGAATTGCTCTTGGAGGAGCCAGTCCAAGGAGAAGAAGGTATTGGCTTAACCCTGTGCTTCCTTGATATTGCACAGTTTTGCTAATTATTCCTTAAATACCTCTTCCACCCATAGTGAAACATCTTTTTATTTTGTGGTTTGTTTGGCAAGCATATTTGAAGATTTTGGGTTAATCTATTTTTAATGTACTTTCCTTCAAAAGCAGCAGTTTGTACTCTATTTTTCCTTTTATTTGTACTCTGGAGGTTTTTTTTAATCAAATGTGCTGCACTGTGGTTCCCTAATATTAAAGGGAGTTTAGTCAAGTCTTAACTTGATTTTGTCTGAGTGTTTAAATAACAATTTCAATAAATTAAATAGCTAATACAATTTTGAATAAACAAGCACTTCAGGTGATGCTAGTTAATATGGGGCTTTTCCAGGCAATGTGAACACAATAAATTCTCAAGAGTAAAAACAAAGGGGATTCTTTCACCATTAGTTTCATATTTCCTTTTGCTGATAATAGACCTGGGTGCACAAAGTAGCCAGGGAGGCTGGGAGTAAAGTGTCCTGAGGTTAATGAGTGTCATTCAAGATCCTTTATAATTCCTCAGGATTCTCCTGCTTCAGGGACCTTCACAGGGCTTAGGTGTTTGAAAAATCAATGTTCCTGGCAAGGTGTGCTCATCATGTCCATGCTTCAATGGCTGGCCTTTTGGTATGCACCTGCTACAGTGTGGGTATTTATAGGGTAATTTTGTTAGGAAATTGATTCTGCTTAGCCTAGTGGGGTTTGAGCCTCCAAACGTGAGCAGAAGCACTTGCCAAAGAGCAGAGAATTTATGGGGAAGTGACAGTGAGTTGTCTGTCACTGTTTCTCCTCTGTCACTCTCCCTTATTTTGTAGATCTTCCTTGTGTTCCCCTTCATTGATCCTTTTCCCCAACCTACATTTCTCTGGGTTGCTTTTACTTCTGCCATGTCCATTTTGAGAGGATGTGAGTGGCAGATCAAAGAGGCAGCAGGAAAGCCTCAATAAATGTGACAGTGTACCTTGTGTGTGGTGTTCTGTGCGGCTGTGTGCTCCCCTGCTGTCCCACTCGTGTCCCCGTGGTGCTGCCTTGCCCCCAGTGATGCCCTGTTGTCCCCGCAGCGATGTCGGACCGGCAGGAGAGCGCTCTGATCGAGCTGATGGTGTGCACCATCCGACAGGCTGCCGAGGCACATCCCCCCGTGGGCAGGGGCACCGGCAAGAGGGTGAGTGGGGCTGCAGCTGCCTGCCTGTCACCAGAGCATGGAAAATATTTGTAACACCGCTTTGGACACTCTTGCAGTAGAGTTTTTTAATCGGTGCTTGCTGTTTCATCTGAACGCTTCTAAGAAAAATTCCATTTCTGGACACCTTTGGTTTTTTCTTTGTTTGATTTTGGGGTTTGCATGGGCAAGTTAAGCAATATAAATTTTCAGCATAAAAGTATTTTTTTATTATATTTTTGCATGTTCTTTTTATCATATCCCTGCCTTATATTTGTAATGTACCCACATCATCAGCCCCTGATGTTAAACCTAGACTAGAGTGGAAAGTGTAGGAGCAGAGCAGACTACCTCTGACTATCTTCCATAAAAATGAATGTGCTGCTATTATGGACATAAAAATTACAGAAAAGTCAAAGGATCTTCATCATGAGGGTGTTTAAGCACTGGAATAGGTACTGAGAGTTGGTGCCCTTTCCGTGCTTGGTCGTTTTTGAGACCTGACTGGACAAAGCCCTGATCCTACCAGTGTTCCTGGGAGGCTGGCTCTGCTTTGAGCAGGAGGGGTGGGACTGGGACCATTCTAAATGACCATTCTTTTAGGCATCCATCCTCTTAGGTCTCTTCCACTGAGTGCCCAGAAATTTCCAGAACTTTACATTCTGGCCAAATTGCCTTTTTAGTTTATTTTATAGGGACTGTTTGAGCACCAGTGGAATGCCATTCTTAAGGCTGGACATGCAGTTTTAAACACTTGATTCTAAGTCACAGGATCAGGGTCATGACAGGCTTTCAGCTGTATTTTCCATAAATACAGCATCCATGTTCCAAAGCAGTCTCAGCTTCTTAAACACATTCACTTGATTTTTGGTTGTCCCCATCTTATTTAGGATAGATGAAAGTGGAATAAACCCACGTGAACATACGGTTCTTCTTTTAGCATCCATTCTAAATAATCATAACTAGTTTGTTAAAGCCACAGATTTTATAGAGATAAAATCTAGAGAGTCTTGGCATTCTCTATTGCTAAAATAATTCAGTTACTTAACTTCTTAATTTTTTTATGTGCCAGAGCAGATTAGTCTCGTGTCCAGAAACAGCATCCCAGGAAAAGCTCCAAGAAACCATCAGTTTAAACATGATTTATGTACTTTAATTTATAAAGTGTGTTCTTAGGAATTCCTAATTTATTAAAACATTTCAGGGTTAAGGAGGGAATCCATGAAAGCACTTACTGAAATTTACAGAAGCATGTCTTATCTTTTGTTACAAAAACTGTATTGTAAGCACAACTTTTTTTGTCTCAAGCTGCAAACCTTTCTAGCAGTCAAAGTAACCTTGAAATTAAAAAAAAAAAAAATAAATCATGTGGTATTTTCTGTTTGGAGAACCAAATAATGTCAGTATTAATTTTCCAGGTATTTTCTCTTTCTCAAGAGATCTACAGGTGAATTCACTGAAGTTCAGCAAATTGCTTAGTCTTAAGTTTTCAATGTCTGTACTTGGAGCTAAAGAAAACAGATCAGTAAAACAAATTCCACCTTCTGAAGGATGATCAGAAGGGCCTGGAAGTCATGCGGGAACACAGATCAATTCCCAGTGCCAGGGAACAGCCGTATTTGGTCCCCAGAACACGACTGGGCTGTCAGGGTTGGGATTCTGATCTGGGTTTGCACTGCTCTGAACTTAGCTGATGTTGCCCTGGTGAGTGTGCAGGGGCTGAGGCTGCCCTGGAGCCATCTCTGCACCTTGCACTGTGCAAGTGGTGTCTTGTCCTGGTCCCTGATCCATTCCCCCCCACTTCCACGGCTGTTTTGGGTTCCTGCTGGCACAGTGCCTGGCATCCAAGCACCTGCCTTGTGTCCAGCTGCTCCTCCTCCTTTGCATAGCCGTGCAGAAGTGACACTTAGCTTTTGCTTCTTTTCAGTTAGACCATGAGTTGTGGCATGGTAACTGCAGGGATCTCTGCCTTATCCCTGGAGATTCATCCTGTCTCATGATCCCACCAGGATTCTTCTCTGAGTTGAAATGGGAACAGATTTCTAATTAAGCACTCACCTTCTTGTGAAATAGTTTCTCCTCTTTCTTTAGCTTGTAACCCTTATTGTGCAGTCTGGCTGATTGGCTGTAAGTGAATCATTAGCTAACTTGAATATTTTATTATCATTATTTGTTCTCAAAAGTATTCTTTTCTTTCCTGAAGCCAGGAAGCCAGATCTAAGCTTCGATGAAGCATGCTGGTTTGATTATTGTCTCTCTGGTTCAAGGGGGTTTTGTTCTGCCAGCATTAGTGCTACAGTACCTCACTGTGAACTTGGATGTACATTCTCACTGAGAATTCCATTCCATTTAGAGAGGAGGCCATGAATCTGCTAATGAAAATCATTGCTACAGTGTGGTTTGGTTTTGGTTTTCTTAATTATACTTCAGTTTGCCCTGAGGTCTTACATTAATGCTTGGTTTAATGTGTGAAAGCCAGAGTTCAGTACAGTTGGAAGCAGTAGCAAACATTCCACTGACTGGGGTTATATTGGAATTTCAATCCTGAAAAGATGTTGGTGTGTGGAGACAATGTCATGCTGGGTGATAATGGTATTTTCCTTTTCAGTCACAGCTGCTTAGGAGACACAGTCCTCCCTCTTTAATCACTCTTCAGCCCAAATGTGTTTTGAGTTTTTTTTATTCCCTCCTTGTTTGATTTATTAAAAAATACACTTGCATGGGTTTTTGTTTGTAATACAATGTTTGGAAAAGTTAATGAATGCTATATGCAGAAAATTTATTTACTGTAGTTATGCTTGATCACTTCCAGGTCTTGACAGCAAAAGAAAGAAAAACTCAGATAGATGACAGAAATAAATTGACTGAGCATTTCATTATTGCACTTCCCATGCTGCTATCAAAGGTAGAGTTTTCAACAAAATGAATCTTTCACTGGGCTTTACAGCTGTCTTTAAACTTTCTCATTCTGTAGTGCGGGAGTTTATTTTTACTTCCCTGTTGTTTGTTTTGTTGCCATGATGTTCCAGTATTCTGCTGACGCCGAGAAGGTTGCAAACCTCCTGCAAATCCCTCAGTACTTTGACCTGGAAATCTACAGCACAGGCAGAATGGAAAAGGTATCGTGCCTTGGGCAGGAAGTGTGGCTGCTCTCAGGTGTGACCCCTGTTCAGCCCCACAGTGCTGTGCCTTTGTTTGGCACGTGAGCAATGCAGCCTTGGTTGGGTGTTCTGGCAGTGGCTTTGCTCAGTGTCATTGTCCCATTGAGGGAAAAGCTGATGTTCTTTTCTGCTCTGCAGCATCTGGATGCCTTACTGAAGCAGATTAAGTTTGTTGTGGAAAAGCATGTGGAATCAGATGTTCTGGAAGCCTGCAGCAAAACCTACAGCATCCTCTGCAGTGAGGAATACACCATCCAGAACAGAGTTGACATAGCTCACAGCCAGCTTATTGACGAATTTGTGGATCGATTTAACCATTCTGTTGAGGATCTCCTTCAGGAGGTTTGTTTCTTAAGATTTTTGAACTGCCTAAAATATGGTAGGATAGGCTACAGAAAAACATTCTTAGCAAGCCATGAAATGATTCAGCTGAAGATGTAGTGCAGCAGCAGCTATTTCGTAATTATTTGGAGTCACTTCTCCCTGTGGAAAGTCCCTTACAGTAGCCATTAAACCTTCAAATAATTGATGGTGTAAAACAAGACTATGGGAAAATCCTGCTTCCGAAAATTTAGTTGAGTATTAAAACAGTCTACATAAGGAATTAAGTAGACAAATGGGTGAAAGATAATGAAAAATGCAGAGGAAGTTGTATCTACATTAATGTTTTTAGTGATTCCCATAGTCCCAGCTGCATATGTAGGCAGCAAAATCAAGATTGGATTATGTTTTGAATGAAAGAGAGGATTTAAGAAAATATGTTTAATGGCATATTAAAAGAACCCTGGAAAGAGTAAAAAATACAGGTCTGAAACCTGGAAGAATGAGAACAGCAGTAGCAAGGATTTAAAATTATGGCCTTTGTGATATTCTTCTTAAAGTGATATTTGTTTGAATAATTTATTTTAATAAGTCTGTTTCATCATTTGAAAGACATTTTAAATTTTAAAAATTGCATACTGGTGCCTAAGCAAGTATCTGGGCTGATAATGGGAGAAACATTGATTGACAATTGCATCTGAAGGCAGGAAGATGTTTTAATTGTTAGGCTTTTAGATGGAAAAGAAATTATCAAAGTGAGATGGAGAAGAAGAATTCTTGCAAGTGGGTTTCTTATTTTAGAAAATTGCTGGAAAAAATAGGGTTGGAAATACCTTATTTTCACTTGATTCACTAAGGGAATTTGCTGTTTAGTTTACAGAAAATTCTTAAATTGTGTTGTAGCACATTCATCAGCTAAATTAGTGATTAAAGCTGGTGGCTCAGTCCTTTTTATAAAATAAGATAGAACTCAGATTTTGGTCTTGGGAATGATTTCCGTTGCTAAAGGATACAGGTTTGGATATTAGCACAGTGATAATGCTGAATATTCTCAGATGATCTTGCTTGGGTTTTAGTGCTGTGCAGTGGCTACTTAAATATTATGGAATCTACCTAGAAGTCACTGGAAATTATGGAGACAATTTTCATATCAGTTTAAACCCCTAAGAAGCTGCTGCTGCCTGTGCAGTAATGTACTGGGCTGAATTGCTGGACTCTCCTCATGGATTGCCTTTCCTTTGCAGGGAGAAGAAGCTGATGATGATGACATATACAATGTGCTCTCCACACTGAAGAGGTTGACATCTTTCCACAAGTAGGTGGTGTCTTCCCTCACAAATTTGTGATGTTAATTTTGTCCTTTCAGCGAGTATCAGCAGTGTCAGGTGTGGGGAAATGAGAAAACACATGGCCTGAAATCTGAAGTGGAGATGGAGGTGGTGTTTGTCAGTAGAAGTGTCTGGGTTGATCTGGGTCCATGCTCAGTTCATGCCATGACCTTGGCAGATGGGATTTGCACGTGGAAACCCTCCCTTGCACCCAGTGCTCTTACACCCATGAGTGAATTACTACAGGTCCTGCTCCCCTGCATGGCACAGTCAGGGCACAAGGGACACTTCTCTGCCACAAACCTGTGCTTTGGGCATCAGCTTAGGGAGCCTACAGGAAGCTGTTTCTCAATGCCTTTGAGCTACATCTCCTCAAAATTATAGAATTAATTAGTAGTAGCAATAATAATAATTAATAGTTTATGGTGAGAGCCTGGGAGATGCATTTTCTTCCTGCAGTTGATTGTTGGCCTAATTTCCCTGTGTGGATTGCGCAGACTCTTCCTCACCAGGCACAAATCAGCTTTTGAGGTTCCTGCTGCTCTCAGACCTACAGGCATCCTCAGCATGTGCAGAGCAACCTGGAGAACTTCCCTGGAACTGTGAATTCTGGAGCACAGCACAGAGGCCTGATCTTCCCTCTAACTGCAGGAAGCATTTGCTCCTGTCAGCATGAGAGAAAGCTTCATGTGCAGGTGGCAGAGAGCCACAAATCATTTCTTTATCACAATGTGGGAGAGGACCTTCCTTCTGCCAACTCTTTCATACAACTTGGTATTTTTACAACTTTGTGATTTCATTTCTCTCTCTGTGCTTAGACTTCACTTATCCTGAATGCTGCATTGGATCACTGTCTGAAATGATTCTGCAATCTCTACTCTTTGTTGCCATTCAAGGAGAATCCCACAAAGATCATTAAATTGTTACTAATTTCCATAGTGCAGCAGGCTGACACATGTGCAAATGAGGTTTGCAGTCTCCCTGGTAACCCACTGGAGCCATGTCTGCCTTTCCTGAGGGGAACTGGGGAAAGCTCTACTTCACATCCAGGAGAGAAGCAAAACCTTAAGGCTTTCCTGAGTGGCTCCCATATATATTTTTTCCTTCAGAGTTCCAGGTTAATTCAGACCATAAAGAAGTTTTGTAGAATAACATACAAATCAGAGTCACAGACATCTACTTTCACCTTCAAAAAGCCAGGAAAGAGCAAAGGATCAGAGCTGAAGAGCTGCAGAACAGCTAATGTATCATTCCTCAGCTGATTGGTTATTTATGACTGTAGTTCAATAGGAATTCCTAATATCTGCTTGCATATGAAGAAGTAATGAGATCTTCATTACATGTGATGTGATCTCTCTGTGATAGGAAACAATTACACCATGTGAGCCAGAATTTCTGCTGAACCTTTAGCTGTGAGAGAGGATCTGTAATTCCAAATGCACATGGAGTGTTCTGTCTCAAAGCACAGTGGCTGTGGTCTGACTCTGTCATTGGCTGTTGGCACCTGGGAGTCAAAAGAAACCAAATCAGGAGATCTCCTGAATGGGCACTGATGAAATGGTTGCTGGGGCTTTGAGAAGAAACAAGTCCTGTCTTCTTCCAGTGAGAGAAACTCCAATGTACTTTCTCCATGTTTTTTTCCCCTTGGTAATAGCTGCTGCTTCATACTTCAAGAAAAAGCAAGGTGGAAAATACATGGTGTAAGGCCTTATGAGAAAAGCCTTCCAGACCAAAAGGCTTCTGTACTGACATTCCCCAAGCCTGAGCTAATCCTCTTTCTGAGAGGGCCATGACAGCAAAGGGCTCACAGCAGACTTTTTGATTCATCAAAACAAGGAAATCATGTATCAATACAAATCAAACTCATCACTGAAAAGATTCCTTCCACATTTTCAGAATACAATAATAAATTCTCCTGAGATCTTCTGAGTAGACCTCCTGGAGTATCCACTTGGGGTATTGTTTGCCAGAATCTCACAGATAGTCAAACCATTTAAGTACATGGAGGCAATTTTTTCTATATTATTCCATTGTAATTGAGTTGAACTTTCACACATGACACATCAGTGCTGTAGCAGTTTGTATGCTGCAAAATCTCAGCATCCTTTATTTACTTCTTCAGTAAATCCAATGCAAGACACATCCCAAGCATCACCTCTGTTCCCCTGGATGTGCCTGTTGGCTCTGCCTTGCATGGAGGACACTGTTTCACATTTAGAAACCAGGAGCATTGCTGTTACTGTCCAGTAGTCCTCAGATATGATACAACATTTACTTCCTTCCACCTCCACACTGACTCCACAGACTCACAGGCACTGTCATAACTCTTAGATAAAAACAGTGTGTATCAGGGTCAGTGTGATCAGTCAGGACACTTCTGAGATGGGTGCATTGGTGGTCACATCATCTCTTCCTCTTAGAGAAACTCTTTGCTTAACATTTTTTCCAGTAGTTGACCAGTACATCCCTGAGTTACTCAGAAGTTTGTTATATCCAGAAGTAGAAGTGATGCTAAATGAAACCTCATTAGAGAAATTAGACTGTATCAGTAGCACAGCTGCTCAAAGCCCAAGGCACAACTTCCCTCTCTTTGTGCATCTTGAAGAAGTGAAGCAGTTTGGTGGGTGGAAAGTTCACTTCTTGGAAAATAAACTTTTCTAAGCTGTTTTATGCCACACTTTGAGAAACACTGTGAAACTGGTCCCTTTACTTCACCTGCCTCTTGTCCGGCAGAAATGTGCCCCAGCAGACAGGGCTGTCCATAAGAATTAAAAGAAACCTTGGGTGAAATACTGGAACTTGTTTTCTGAAATCCATGCAGAGTCTGACATGCAAGGAACTAAGGGAAAAGTCTGTGTTGTGTGAATTTTCTTCCTGAACCTCTGTGGAGAATTGTGTCATGTCCAAGATGCCTTTATAACTATGGTTTTGATGGCTAAGTAGCTCAAAAGAGACAAAGAGGTACCAGAATATGCCTAACTGTAATGTGGAGGCTCTGCTTTAAGAAAGTTTCAATTGAAAGGCTGTAAGTTGTACATAGTTAGAATTTTTCAGCTCTGGAAGCTGAAGAGCCCTTCCTGATCTCAGCTGTAAGGCAGAGGGCAGGGAGCTGAGTGTCCCCAGCTGTGAGGACATGGCCCCTGTGCTGGCTGCCTGATGGGGAATTTCTGAACTGAAAAGGCAGGAATGAGACAGTATTTTCTTTCATATTCTCTGTAGGATAATCTGTGCAGGTATCTGCCTCTGCACACCAAGGAGACTTTACAGCTTTAATTACAGTGCTGTAATTAAGGAAGTACCAGTCTGCCTTGCTGGCAACCCTGTGATTTATGGAAGCAGCATCTCTGTGCTTAATATCTCCAGTCAGAGGCAGCTCTCTGGCAGCCTCTAATTTATCTATGAAACATTTTATTTTAGTATGTCAAAGACCATCTAAGTCCACAAAATATTTTTACACTTTTTACATTTTTAGTTCCATTTTTTTTTTTTTTTAGTTTCCCTATTCTTCTCTTTGTGGATTTGAACTAGAAACGAAGGTGCACCTTGGCTTTAATGGCCCAGCCCTGGAGTGCACAGTGCACTGTGATGGTTCTTTTCTGTGAAGCTCTTACAAGTGACAAGTGTTTGCCAGGGCTAGCACTCTCCAGTGTGGGAGGTGGTTCCAAAAGGACCTAGGCATTGCCAGTCCTGAGTTCAGCCTCTGTCCCCTTTGGAACTAGGGAGTTACTCCTTCTGGCTGAGCAGGGCAGTTAATGGTTTGACCCAGGGCAGGCACAGGGGTGGGAGGAGTGAGCTTGGCTGGGTGATCCAGGTGCTGGGATGAGTCAGATACAAGAGGCTGCTGCATCCAGTTGAGACTCCCAATTCAGTCTCAGTGTCCCTTCTTCTATGTGAGTATTTCAGTCAGCAAGTTTCTGATTATTCTGAGCTGGCTTGCTCTGTTATAGACATGTTACAAGCTGTTTCAAATTACGTCAGTTTATTTCCACTGCAGAGAAATGTTTTAAATTTAAATTTACTTGCTGAGAGAGTATTTTTGTCTTTCAGGGAACCTGATGTTTTTCTGTTTCTTCTGTATTTCTCACATCTCTATTAAAAAGCCTTTTCATGAACTGTTGAGGTCTGTAAGGCTACAGCCTTACAGAGTATTTGTCCCTAATGTCATTTTTATTCCTCTCACTGATGAAATCAGATTGGTGCGACTGAAATGTGGAACAGTAGGATGGCAGCCACCATCTCTATCTCATGTCCATGTGTTATCATATGGTCTCACTTCAGATATTCAGGATATTTAATATCTAGTGGTAATGTGTATTATTTTTTTTCCAAATGAGACAGTAGAAAAATATACAACTTCATTTTGCTTAAAGCCATTTTTATTCAGTAGATATTGATTGATAGAGCTTGGCTGTAGTTTCTGCTGCAATGACAGGGAAGGGTGTTTCTGGAGTTCTGTCAATGTTTCCAAAAGAGGAAAGATAACTTAGAGAGGGAAGCAGCAGCTATGCTTAAGTAGCCTTTATAGGTGTATGGTGTGGAGAGAGCTTATCTCCTCCCTGAAAAAATCCCATGTAGTAAAACATTTTTCCTGGATTATCAGAAAGCCTGACCTGTGCTCTTAGCATGGAGTGAGATTCTGTGCAGCTGCTTGGTCAGCTGTGGAAACCACCAAAGGTCTCTGGGCTGGGGGTTCTGAGGAACACAATTAATCCCTCTTGATTTCCTCTCTTTGCAGTGCTCATGATCTGACCAAATGGGATCTGTTCAGTAACTGCTACAGATTGCTGAGAACTGGAATTGAACACGGAGCTATGCCAGAACAGGTACCCTTAACAGCATCTGCACTGCATCACTGGGGTGTCTGAGGTTCTAAAGAGTCTGCTTGTACAGAAATTTAAAAGTTCCGTGTGTGATTTTTGGGCTCCTTCCCTCACCTTTCTCATCTGTAAAGTTGGGAATAGCTGATGTTCCTGACTCTGAAAAGCAGTGCATCAGTCCTGATGTTTACACTGAAACCTAACATTGTAAGCCTTGGCTGCAATTAGAATTATCACAAATTATTATTGTGTATGGAATGTAAGATGAAGCTTATGAAAACCAGGAAACTAGAACATCCTAGTGGAGTTCTTTTGGTACACATCTTGGACTTTGTTCCCTCAGAGTTCAGTTTTTGTTTCTCATGGATGAGCACAGGAACCATCTCATATTCTCCCATGGTTCCTGTTTAAACTGCAGAATTCCTACTTCAACATTTAAACATTTTAAGTTTTGATTTGGTTTCAATTAGAAGCCAGTTGTTAATTCTAACTCAGCGTCATTTAGTAAAAAGAAATTCTCATGAAATTCTGAATAAGAATTTTGTAGAAAGAGCCCTAAGAGGAGGCATTGCCACACAGTGTGTTAAAGTTCTCTCTGCAGTTGCTGTTCCATGCTGGATTTGTGCTACCTGGAGGGACAGGACTGGCAGATAAAACCTGGCCATGCAGCTGTCAGCCATCCTCAGTTTCTGGGTCTGTCAGTGTGTAGTTCTCCAAATGCTCCCATAAGATTTATGGGAAGGGTCCTGAAATCTGAGCTCTGCTCAGTATTTCTTCCTGCAGGCCACCCTGAGGAGTTTGGCAGTTGTAGCACCTCCTCTGGATTTGAGCTGTTCAGGAGACACCATGGATGCTTTTCTGGGCACCAGGGATATGACCCTGGTCTTCTCCATGGGACAAGTTGTATTTTCTCCTTTTTTTTTTAGCAAATGTGCTACATGTTCATTTGCCAGTGGAACAGATTTCCATGCTGTTTAATAGTGAAGGCAGGTATAGAGATATTTCAACAGGTGCTTTTGACCTGAGAGATGTAGGTGTTGGGGTGTACTTCTGTCATGTACTTCCTCTCCTGCTGTACCCCAGTGCAGATTTCTGGTGTTTCCTAGATTTACACAGTATTTTTTGCCTCTAGTAAAAAATCTTTTGGCTGATTTCTTATTGCACCAAACTTGAAAACAAACAAGGGAAAACTTGATACCCTTGAAAATAAAAAGCGCTAAGAGCTGCTCCTGTCTTTTCACCACAAAATGCATGATAGATTTTCCATACACTTCCTGCTGTGCCTGCTGTTAGCAGCATGCTGAGATTCTGTGTGTTCTTGTGTTACAGATTGTTGTCCAGGCACTGCAGTGTTCCCACTACTCTATTCTCTGGCAGCTGGTGAAAATCACTGAGGGTTCCCCTTCCAAAGTAAGTGGCCATTTGATCAAACAGATTTTACTGACAGAACACAACTTACCTAGAAAGGTGTTACACCTGATTTCTTTGTAACTTCCATTCTTGCCATTGTTTCTTGTCATTTATAACATACAAAATGTTGATGTTCAGATTTGTTCCGTGTTTCAGGATCTATTTATGCATATGTCTAAGCAATGTAAATAGTTTTTATCAGGATTTTATAGCAGCTGATTATTATATTTTTATTGCTGAGGATAATTAACACACTTTATTGTGAGTGCTGCAATTTGCATGACTGATAAGGAACGTTGACATGAACAGTTGTGAGCAATACTGTTGATCTGTAGACCACAGATTGCTTAATCTTGATGTGTAGTTACTTTGCTTACTTTTCTAATTACACCCTTTATGTTGCAGTAGAAATGGCAGGGCACTGGCAGTAACAATTGCTAATAAAAAGCAAATGCACACAAAGTATGGTCAGGACAAGGTGACATGTGACTTTTCCAGGACCTTTCCTTAGCTCTTTTCTCAGTCAGAGGCCAGCATCCTGTTTTTTCAGAGCTTTTTCAAAAGTAATACATCAAACTAAAATTATATGAAAACTGAAGTAATAATTGTACTTTTCCATCAGCATCGAAAAGGTAAAGATGTTATATTAAAGTGCTACTCAAATAAGCACTTTATGCATAGAAAAGTGATAAAAATACATACTAAATTCTCTGAGTTGTTTTGAATACTGACATTAGCATTTAAAAATAGCTATTAGAAAGAAAGGAATAGTTGTCATTCCTTATTCTGGCTTTTGTTCCCATTTCCCCCTCTCACCCTCTTTCTCATTAGCATGCATGGGCTGCTGGTTCCCTGTGGAACCCAGTGCTCAGAGCACCTGGACACTGTCTGCAGCACCTTTTTTCAGTCTTCCCCACCTGCTCTGGGGTGCTGGGGCTCTCACCCACTGCTGAGGCCTCCAGCAGCCCTGTCCTGCCTGCCCTGGGGCCAAATGGCCAGACACAAAGGAGTGTTTGGAAAATTCTCATCACCCATCGCTGTATTTCTCCATTTTTTTTAACAAAATACAATAAATTCCTGTAGTATAGCACAGGTGGTACAGGGATAGCTGTCACATGGGATGGAGAATTCTGGTAGGGTTTCCTTCAAAGGGAATTATTTGGCTGCAGTTCAGAATTACTTGGTAATTTTTGCATCTTGTATTGATTCTGTGGTGGAGTCATACTAGACAGCCATAGGTATACACTGGGAACAGAGTCATTTTGGAATGAAGTTATTTTTTGTCTGGTGTTCAAGTGGCTTCCAAAATACAGCTCTGTCCTGAGAGACCTGCCCTTGTTTGGGAGCTGTTCTGGGCATTATGGCCAAGCCAGGGCACATTAATTGCTGTGTGAGGGATACCTCATATTACAGCTGTTGGGCATGTTCTGGATCATGGCTCCCTACCTGATCCAGCTGTTTTGGACTGGAGCCTCCATGTGTGTGGCAGGGAAAAGCTCAACTCTTGTGGTTTAAATCTAATTAGGATCAAGTCAGCTCATTGATTTCTTAACAGCACATAATTGACCTACAGCCAGTGCCATGCAGCTCCAGGATAACTATCAGCTCTACAGAATACAGGACCAGAATATTGGACACTTCTATAATGTTAATGAACACCTACAAATTCCAAACTGGCCCTTCAGCTGGTCACAGGTTACTGGAGTCCCCTCCCCAAGATACACACAAAGAGCTCTTGTTTCTCCAGGCTCAATATGTAATTCATATTCAATAGCTCAAAACTGATCCATATATTAAAGAAAAATTGTAGGTGAGCAATCCTTGCACAATGGGATAGTTTCTGATGCATTCTGCAAAGATCTGGTCTCTCCTAAAAAAAAGGGTCATTTTTATCAGTGATCTGGGAAGGCTCTGAAAATGGGGATGGTATAGATCAATTGGTGAACAAAACAAAATTTAAAATTTTTTAAAAGAGGCATCTTAATGCTGCCAAATGGAAGGTTTATATTCAGGGAAAAAAGAGGGGTGATTAATGGCAAGTTGTGGATTAGAACAGAGCAGAACTGTCTTAGGGATTCTGTAATGGCAGGGTAATGCAGTGGCACTATGGCTGCATCATCAGAAAAACTGCTCAGGAATAGGAAGGTGAGGGAGTGCACAGACCTTGAGTGTCCATATCAGCAAATCCCACTCATTCCACTGGAAGTGATGAGAAATTGAGAGCTTTAGGAACACTCTGGCTGCTTGGGCATGCTGGCAGTCCTGTGTTGTGCTGTGAACCAGCACAGGGAACATATGGCCCACAAAAAGGCTCCGCAGTAAACACAGAACAACGAGAGCTCGTGGCAGGAAGCACAAGAAAAGCTAAAACCAGAACTGAGACACATGGGCTGAACAGCCAGCATCAGTAAAACATTTCAGCAAGGAAAACATTGCATGGGCATTATGTAGGCTCTTCACATTTGCTTGGAGGTTGTTCTGCAGGACATTCTCTCTTCCATGTGGAAGGAAGCTGGAGGGATGTCCTGGAGGAAGGTCTGCAGAGCATGGGCCGGGCGTCCTGCTGCGAATTCGTCTCATTTCATTTAATGTTGAGTTCTTGTTTTCTTTCAGGTGATTGGTTCCTCATCACTGTAAAACTAAGGGACTGTTTCTGTATGTGTACTTTTTGAATAGCTTATTTCTTTCACAGCTTTTTGTTGAATGTATGAAATCATCACTATTTCTTTATTTTGCTTCCTCCAAGAAACCTCTTACTAATTTTTATATACTTTCTTTTTTAATGTTTATTCCAGGAGGATTTGTTGGTATTGAGGAAAACTGTGAAATCCTTCCTGGCTGTCTGCCAGCAGTGTCTATCAAATGTCAACACTCCAGTCAAAGAACAGGTAAAGGAAATGTCTGTCTCTTATAAAAATGTGAGTGTTAAATTGTAGTAAAACTCAAGACAACATTAAATCAAACTTAAAGTAAAATAATCTGTGCTCCTGTCTAAATAAATCTGAACAAACAGCCCAGAAGAGCCGCTGTATTAACACAACTTCCAAAGCACAGCTCATAACAGATTGACTTTTGATTAACAGTAAGGAAGGATTACCTGGATGCTCAGACTCATTTCCAGCCCTTGTGACTACAGGCAACCAACTCAGTCACCTCAGATGAAAGACTTTTCCTGCAGACATGGAATTAAAAGATGGAAATAGGCACTTCTGGAGGGTGACTGAGACCTCAAATGGGCTGAATCTTTTTGGATTTTTTTCCCATTGAATCAAAGGGTTTGTTGAAATAATTAAGTCTGTCTCTGCAGGACACAGTAGCTGGTTTGTTAGCTGAGGTTAGGTGAATATACACTGATTTATGTCAATGACATTTGTCTACAAATGGCATTTCTATCAGACCTCCCCAGCATTTGCAGAGTATAACTAATAACTGGCCTGTGCTTTTTGCCTGTGGTATTTAAAAGATAATACTTCTTAAAAGACACTTTTATTTCTCGGAAAGATAGCTCTGCTTGGCATTTACTCTCTGTTCTTCAGGTTGCTAAATATAAACATTAAATGCTCAGAAATGTCAGTAGTTCATGTATTTCTAAAAGACTTGTGTGTCATTGGCTTCCAGCAGGTTTTACTTTAGTAATTGTTTTTTAATATTCAGAGTAGTTACTCTTGGCACATTATAATAATATTGTATAATGTAAAAATATCTTCTAGCTCCATGCAAATACCTCCCAGCTTGAGCTGGACCTGACATCCTCCCTGCCTCAGGAAATGGCAAATGTTCCTTCCCATTCCTGCAATGGGTTTGTTCTTGAGGTGTATTAACATGGGTTTGTTCTCTTCTTACCAGTGGCCACAACGGTTTTTTCAGTGATAATTGAAACTTTCTTTAGAAGCTCCTTTGCAGTTCCCAGTTGCAGGGAAGTTTTCAAGCCTCAGCCAGACAAGCCCACACCCAGGCAGGCCCAGAGAGAGTGTCCTGGGCAGAGCAGGCTGGGACCCATTCCAGCTGACTCTTCTATGATTTTCTTTTGTTTTCTTCCTTTAAAAGTATATTTCTGTGAGTGCAGGACTACTACTTATTGCTTTTGTTTTACTGGATTTTTTTTGAGAATTTTTTTTGAGAATTATGTGCAAATTGTATTGTCTCCCTACCATACTTGATCCTTGCTCCAGACATTCTTTCCAGACAAAGTTGATGTCCATATCAAAGGAAGGAAAAACGTATGAAGTATTTAGAGAAACAAGACTGAAACATTTCAATGTTTCCATGAGTGTTGGAGGGAAATAAATATCCTGTGACTGAGCCCACTGCTGCCTTTATATTGGACAGAACTCAGCACCAACAGTGCATTACTCATCTGCTCTTTTTTAGAGGTCTGCATTAGGAAGAGCTTCAGTTCTATTGAGTATCAGGGGAGTTTAGAGCAGGTGAGATCATCACTGGAATGAATCACAGCCTTTTGGATCAAAGGGAGAAAAATCCCAAATAGCAACATCTGTTCCTAAGGTCTCAACAGAACATAGTTTACAATGATTTGCATCTGTTCTTGCCTGAGTGTAGCTCATTCAGATTTTATAACATACTCCCAGAAATAAGGGAGCCACTAGGAAGTTCAACATTTACAGATTTTACTTTGGAAATTTATAAAGTTTTCAGAACCTGAGGTTAAAAATAGAGAAGCTATGAATAAAAAGGCTTTGGAAAGGTGCTGAATGTGATCAAATTGCAGACAGCTGGCTGTGAGACACCAACAGAAACCATGTAGGGGCAAAACAGTGTTACTGCCATGCAGGAATGGAAGAAAGGAAGGTAGTGACAGCTGTCTTCTTTCCTGTCTCAAATAATGAGGGTAGAATAGTAGTGAGCATAAGTCATGGACAATTCTGCCCAGGTTGGCTTTTGTCTGCATTTGAAAGCTGTGCAGACAAACTTGGTTCTTTTTTTGCTAGAGTTTTCCATTAAATTCTGCAAGAATTTCCTTGCTGTGGCTGTTTGTGTTTTGTGGGGCTGGCAGTGACTCAGCTTGAGTTTTCCCTCGGTGTTGTTCATGTTTTTACTTGTTTGATTTTTTTTGCCTGTTTATCAAAAGAGGTGTGCTCTCTTCACTACAAATTTTGCTGCAGGCCTTGGATCAGAGGTAGATTTAGAGTTCTTTTCCTAGAGAAGAAATGGAAGTTTAATATGGGTCATCTGGGACATGGAGAAGGTAATTACCACAGTTCCTGACCTAGGAACCAAAGGCACAGCATTCCAAAGCAGAGGAAACCATTATGGATTACTTTTCACAGCACATAAACAGCTGCACCTGAGAACAGTTTAAGAAGCTGTTTAATAGTAGCAGGGGATATCTGGAAATTAGATCAGTGGTAATTTGTTTTCCTTTTTTGGCTTGTCACTGCATTTATTCTCTTTTGCTTTGCAGGCTTTCATGCTGCTCTGTGATCTCCTGATGATTTTTAGTCACCAGCTGATGACGGGAGGTCGAGAAGGGCTCCAGCCTTTGGTGTTCAATCCAGACTCAGGCCTCCAGTCAGAACTTCTCAGTTTTGTCATGGATCATGTGTTTATTGACCAAGATGATGAAAATCAGAGCATGGGTATGTTCAGCTTTTTTTTCATACCAGACACAGAAGAAAGGAGAAAATAGAATTTTCTGATCAGTTTGTTCAGATGTTTTCAGAAGTATTCCTACTTTTTGGAAGGTCACTACTCTGAAGTTTCTTATATAAGTTGTGGAATATGCTTTCATTATATAATAACAACTATATTTAAGATTTTATCTGTGTAGTTTATTTTTCATTTACAGAGTAAAGCCTTGCATAGAGACTTAATATTTATGGCATTGCCATTCAGTGTTAATGCTTCTTACAACTGGATTTTCTTCCTGTTGTTCAGAGCCATTGATTTCACATCTGAAAGTCCAAGGCATGCAGAAGTTTACTGGTGCTTCTGATTTTTCTTTTGTTAAGTATTTATAGCTTAGTCACATTAATGGAGCCTCTGTGAATGTCCTGTGTTAGAGAAGTTAAGCAAGAGCATTCAGCAAGAGTTCTCTGTGGCCTTTCACAGGATATAGGAAATAAATGACTCAGTTCCATGTGGATTATATCCAGGATTTCCTCGGGATTATGGAGAGCAGCCTTGGTCAGTGATGTGTCATGTTCCTGAATTTCCCTGGAAGTTTCCAAGTAGGCAGGACTCAGGACTTACCACCTTTCATTTTACAACAACAATCCTTCTTGCTTCATGTTCAATAATTGATTTTTTTCCTAAAAGCTCCCCTTTGATAATGTTGTTTTAGAGTTTAACAGTTACAAACATTCTGTTGTTGATGATGCTTTCAGAGGGAGATGAAGAGGATGAAGCCAACAAAATAGAAGCTTTACATAAGAGAAGAAACCTTCTGGCTGCCTTCAGCAAGCTGATAATTTATGACATTGTGGACATGCATGCAGCAGCAGATATCTTCAAACACTATATGAAGGTACAGGCCATGCATCCTTCTGTCCTGACTGAGCCCAGTCTGCAGTGTTAGGGCTTCTCCTGCCATCCCTGCCAGGACTGTGGTTACAGCCCAAACACTCCTGAAAGCTTTTTCAGCTTTATTTGATCCTGAGTGGTACTTTCTCCTCTCTAAACGACACGTGGCACTGAGCAGCAGCGAGCTCTGACCTCACCCTCTTTGTAGCACATGTGCTTTGTTTAAGGCAGCACCTAAAGCTGCTCCTGAGGTGCTGAGTATTTCCAGAGCAGCTCCACTCTACAGAGAGTTTCTTACCCTGCTCCTCAGATCCATCTCTAGAATCCCCAGTAAGTTACCTGTTCCATGCCATACTCCACTGTCAGTCTCCCAGGCTTGGTGCTTGCCACGAGGCAGCAGAGGAGGTTCTTGTCAGAGGAGGTTGGTTTAAACAGGACAGCAGGACAGAAAAGCTCTGTATGGTTGTGCTGTAAGTGGGTCACTGTGACTGAGTGTCTTCTCAGCTTTGGCTGCTTCCACAGAGCTTTTGGGCCCAGTGGAGGTCAGAAGGACCTCAGCTCCTGCTGCCCCTGTGCATGGGAGTTCACCTGCCAGAACAGACACATCAGCAGTCCTGCCACTGACCCCTCAGGCCCTGTCCCACCTGTCCCTGCAGGGCATTGTCAACACAGAGGGGACAATCCAGGGGGAAGAACTGGAAGACAAAGCAGATCCTTTACTCTAGACACTGTTGAAATGTTGATGTGAAACATAAAGGGTTTTACTTAAAATTCCCCCGTTCATCAGGCACACAGCACAATAAAATTCCTAGGACACACTGTAGCCGTCAGTCAGGGTTAGTCTTGCTTAGGAATTGTTTGCCAGAGTGGGAGTTTGAAACTGAAGCTGTCACCATCCAGGTGAGTTCCCTCCCTGCTGTTCTAGGTTGGGTTTCTCCCCACACCCCTCCTTCTCTTAAAACTGGGGAAGAGGGAGAGAAATTTAATTTAATTTAGTACCAAGGAAGGCAAAAGCAATATTTTCGAGGGAATGAAAATAAGTGACTGCAAATGCAGAAACATCCATGAGGCTGAAAGAAAACTGTTGGAAAAAAATATATATTCTCAGCTTGGAATTTGTAGTGATAGTACAGCTTTTCTACCCAGATGGGCAATACCATAGGCTGTGGCTTTCAGCAACCATTCTGTTGACATAAAGAGAAACAGCACTCCATGCTGACTCATTCTGTCCTCCACTTTTTGGCTTTAGTGAATTCCTTTCCCCTCAGTGCACAAGGAGCACACACCTCTATGCTGGTGTCTGTTCACACCTGCTTCTTAAGGGGGTGTAGGACCAGGTCATGTTGTTGCTTGGAACTGGCAGCCATGGGTCACCTTCATCAAGTGCTTAGTTTGGGGCAGGAAATGCTCTTTTGTTTGGTTTTCAACATGTTTGTTACAAAAGAAAATAAATACAGAAGTTCCTTACCTTATCACAGGGTTTGGTTTAAATTTTGGTACTGAAACACTGCCCCTCACACCAAAATCTGGATTTGAGCAACTCCTGCTTTTTCAAGTCAAGAATTACAAGTAATCTTTCTCTTGGGAAAACTGTAAGAAATTGTATAAGAGATTTGATTTAAAGTTTTTGATTTTTTTTTCACATTTGTTTTTAGTACTACAATGACTATGGAGATATCATTAAGGAAACCTTGAGCAAAACCAGGCAAATTGATAAAATCCAGTGTGCAAAGACACTCATTCTCAGTTTGCAACAGGTAAGAGCATTGATTTTTTTTGTTAGAAATGCCTCATTGCAAAAAGCCCTGGCCAGGATTTCCTCTGATGCACTTTACAGGAAAGCAGAAATGCTGCAATTCCTTAGGACATTTTCTTCATTTTCCTGCTCTCCAGTTCAGGCTGTCACTGCCCCTTTGTCTCAGTAATCTCTGTCTCCATAGGCTCGCACTGGCAAAGCTTGGGCAGATGAAAATGGAAGGGAGGGAGAGAAGAGCCTTGGGGGCAGTTTGGTCCAAGCTGATTCATGGCATTTGTTTATTGAGCCTGAGTCAACAAGAAGAACTAGGATGGCTTTTTCTTCTTAGCATTTGCTGAAGTAATGCATCTTCCTTATACTTTGTCTAAATACTGATGAATTTTTCAAATTTCAAGCTAATTAAGTCTTCCAATACTGTTAGACATGTTTTTTCCCAGAAAAATACACTTTACATCAACTGTAAATTACTGCCTGGTGATGAAATCTATCAACCAACAGCACAAAGTGCACTAAATACCACTTGAAGACCCTTGAAGTACCAGCCATAGCCATTGCTCAGAGAAATTACTTCTGCTAATTAGATGCTTTCAAATGAGCTGGATCTCCCAAAATCCCTTCCTAAGGGATTTGCTGTAGCAATCTGGAAGCTGAAGAGAGATCTGTGCAAACCTGAGAAAAACAGACGTACTTCCAGAAGAACCAGGGAGTGTCAAAGCAGCCCATGTAGAACTTGGAGAGGAGGGAGCAGGTGCCACAGATCAGTCAGGCTGACAAAATTCCATGAAAAAAGTAATGAGAGGAGCTCTGCAAGTGCCTCAGTGATAGGCAGCAGCCAGTGTGGATTTGTCGAGTAGGAATCCTGTCCAATTAAGCTGCTGTCTTTAATTACATGGTAACAGAGCTTGTGGAGATGAGAGAAGCAGTGGCTGTAATGGAGCCTGATTTAATATCCTGGCACTGTCTGCCAGGATGCTCTCAGCAACCAGTGAGAGAGATGGGGTGTAAATGGCAGTGCCAGGAGAGGTAGAACTGGTTGGAAAAGCATCAAGCACTTCAATAGTGTGCTGGGAGGGCCTTGGAGGCAGCAGTGCTGGGCAAACAGGCACTGAGGCTACAGTGGAGGAGATCTGATGGGTGATGGAGGTGCTTAAGAGAACAGCACGAGAATGCAAGACCTTCTTGATGAGTTGGGAGAATGGTAGATGGAATTCAGGGAGGGTGGGTGCAGAATTCCACCAAAATAACTCCACACAAGTACAAGGTGGGGGACAGCTGGCAAACAGCAGAGGGACAGAAGAAATTCTGGCAAGTGACAGGGACTCCGTTATGTCTCAGTGCAAAAAGTCATCACAAAGGCCATTCTCAGATGGAGCAGATTTAGAGCCCAAGTCTTTCTCAATAAAAGTGTTTCCCAGCTCACAGATGTCAACCTCTGAACTCTCTCTGCAGCTGTTCAATGAGCTTGTTCAGGAGCAAGGTCCCAACCTGGACAGGACATCTGCCCATGTCAGTGGCATTAAGGAGCTGGCCCGGCGGTTTGCCCTCACTTTTGGCTTGGATCAGATCAAGACAAGAGAGGCTGTGGCCACACTACACAAGTGAGTGGTGGTAAATAAATTAGATTTTTACACTACTTCAGATTAAAACTCTTGTTCAGCATTCCCTTTCTCAGGATACATAATCTCAACAGGCCATGGAATAATTATATATTTTTTTCTATTTTAATTTGAGGGGTCTACATGTATGTAGGTAAAAAGTAAACAAACTAGCTGCTACCTAGTTATTTCTTGGAATTTATTGGCATGGTTATGTTTGTTTATCTCAGGTGGGTTGTGTCTAACAGCTGAGGATGGTTCTTTGTTCCCGCACCACTGTGGATTCTGGAGGAACCAAGGGCTTTTATAGAAAGATTCTCTGAAAATATTTTGGAAATCTTTTAAAGTGGACTGAAAATTTTTATGCAACTGCTGCATAGAAAGTGTGGAAAGGTTCTGCTAAATTTGAATTCTGACTTTGCCTAGCCATTAAAAAGTTCAAATGCTAAGGTTTGCTGTCTCAGAGACTCAGTCCTTGGGACCAGGATCAGCATGGCTCGGTCAGGATGCACCAGATGCTGTCGTCAGCCAGGCAGGAGTCAGGGGACACTTGTCCCTTGCTGGGTGAGGGAAGGGACAGTGTTCTCTTCAGTCACAGGTGACAAAGCAGAACCGAGTGTGTCCCTGCTCTGGGGACTCAGTTCTCTGCTCTGGCTGCAGAGGTTGGCTCCTGTTGGATCTGACACATTCCATGGAACTCCTGCCCTGGGCAGCACCTGCCCAGTTCCCACAGTCCCCTCTTACAGGGACTGGCCAAGTGCTTACCTGAGGGGGGCCTCACAAATCCACAGGGAACTCTGCATTCCCTTGTCCAAAAGCAGCTGTTTGCTAGTAATGGGGAATTACATTGTGATGGGACCTGAGGATACAAACGGTTTCATCACAGCTCAGATTTGGAGTAACTTGTTTGGGTTTCAGGTTGGGCTTTTTGTTTGCTCTTTTGGTTTTTGGATTTGGGGTTTTTTTGTTTATTTTTTGTTGCAAATGTCTGAACATGTTAATATTTCTGTACTGTAGAGATGGCATAGAGTTTGCCTTCAAATACCAGAATCAAAAAGGACAAGACTATCCACCTCCTAACCTTGCTTTCCTGGAAGTGCTAAGTGAATTTTCTTCCAAACTCCTGCGACAGGACAAAAAGACTGTGTAAGTAATGCTCTGTTTTCTTCCCTGGGCTCTGCTAATCCCCGCAGTGTGGGTTTCAGCTTTCTTTTTTGAGGTTTCTGCAATCTAACCAAGGCTGCAAAAAGTCCATGAGACATTTCATGTACATACTTACTCATCCTTTTGTATTTTAAAGTAATAAAAATAAATGGGAAAAGAAAAATCAGACCCACTAATGAGTTGAGTTTGAGACCTCCCAAAACAATTTTTAAAATTTCTCATGGGGTATTGAAAATAAAAAGTCCTTTTTTAGGCTAGAAGAAAAGAAATTACACATTAGAAGTGCAAGGAAGTTACAGGCTGTCACCACTGCAGAAATATGTTTCTGTCTTTACTTACACAAATTGTAAACCTATATTTGTTGTTTCTTTTAATATATTGGAAGAGGACTCCAGTCAAACATCAGCCAAGCACTATGTGCCCAGTGTGGAAGTAAATTCACTGAATAACTTTATGACCAGTTTAAAAGTGCAGTTTCCAGATCTCCTGATTTATGGTTATAGGTGTCTTTCCAGTCAATTCTGTGACCTCGCTGAGTGTTAGTCAAAAAGATCAACTGGAATGACCTCAATGGACTCTTTCTGTCAGACCTTGCTGTGAAGGTTTGACACATGTTTTTCTGTGAAGACATTTCTTTTGAAGGACTTTTCTGTTAGGGTTAACAGCTATGAGCATTACAGTTTTATCTGTGCAGTAAGAAATGCAGCTTGGTTAATTTTGTATAATTTTTAATGTTACACACTTGAACCAATTTCACTTTTTCATTGTATCAATAATTTTTCAAGTCAGCAAACACTGTAGGACAAATAGCTAGGGAATGGGATGATCCAGTTAGGCTGTCTTGGCACTCCATTTGTGCATCTGCTCTCCATTGTTAGATCCTTGTCAGCCTCTATCCTCTTCTTCAGGACAGGACTTAAGGATAACAGGATTTTATGGCTTGCCTTCTTAGCTGAGCTGTAGGTTCCCCTACATGGTGGTGTAAGTGCCACTGGCCTGTTTCCTGTTGAATTTAGTGAAGTTTAGTCTTTCAGCAGAGTCACCCCTTCCACAAGTTTGCAGTGTCTGACATTTAAAGTTACATCATGCTGCCCCTGACAGCTTCTGTTAACCTGAGCCTTTGAGGGAAATTCAGTTCTTTGGGACATCCTGTTCCTTCACCTTCCATGTTGCCATTTAAATTCTTTCTCAAAGGTTCCCCTGCCCACATACACAACCAGTGCCTGCTCCTGCAGGAGTGTAAGGATTGCTGTGCTGGAATATCTGTACCTGAGCTATTGACCTCAGCTGAATCTGATGATCATGAAAAGAAATAGGTCCTTTAGGGCCTGATTTATCTGATCTGTGCCAGCCTGCTGTGTTGGGATGAGTTCAGCCCTGTCCCAGACCCCACAGGCTGTGGTGACCATGAGAAAGGTCAGCACAATTTGCTGACATGTAAGGAGGTGGCTCCACTCCTGCCCAGAGTGCTCCACTGACAGGACAGGAGTGGGATGCTGGATTTGCCCTTTTCTGTAGCTCCTCCAGTCCATAGGGACCTCTCCCCCACCACAGGGGCTGCCTGTGTGCAGGAAGGTCCATGACCACCATCTGCTGGAGAAGTCCCATGTTCAGGATCACTTCTGTGCCTCCCTGCCCAGAGGCCCTCCCCAGACTCAGCAGTGGGCTCCTGTCTGCAGCCAGAAGTGCTCTGGAGCCCTCACAGTCTCAGGAACACGTGGCTGCCTGACTGCCCAGGTTCTCCTGCTTGGCTTTCCTGCCTCAACCCCCAAATCATCCACCCGAGGGCCTGCAGGTGTCAGGGCATTGCTGCAGAACACCCTTCCTGGCAGGGTCCAGCACACACTGCTGTTCCACAGGGCTTCTGCTTCCTTCTGCTGGGCTGCTGGCTTTTTCCTCTGGGGCTAGAAAAGGGACAAGCTTCCAATATGGGAGTGAAGCAGCCACACTGATTTAATTTAGTTTTCCTAGCCTGTTAATCTGGCTGCTCATTTTATGAGTAACCTTCAGAAGTGGTGATAGCCATTTTTGGATTTATTCAAATCTATGGATTTCACATAAAACTGTTCTTGTAAGGTGCCAAACTCATACAGCTGGAGAAAAAGAATTTTTACTAACACTCTGTTAGAAACCCATTAAGGCAGATCCAGGCAGGGAAATCCTGAGGAATTAATGTAGGACAGAATAGAAGAGATTGTCCTTGGAGGCACTTATTTCCATTTATTTCTCTCAAAGACACAGTTGGCTTAGACTGGACATTGACTAGTGGGTTTCGTGGTGTTCTCACTTCTGGAAATTCAGAGTTGATAAGAACTGCCAGAGTGAAGCTACCCCAAAATGTTGTCTCAAGTTTGGCATCCAGGCAGTAAAGAGCTCCCAAGTGGTGTCATTTTCCTCCTTCCCTCTATGGCCATAAACATGCAATTCTCTAAATACAAACTGGAGGCAGAAAATTTCTTACTTTCCAAGACTCTTCTGCAGGTGGAGTCTCTAAAGCCATGAAGCACTCGAGTGGCACAGTTGGGTACCATAAAACAGAGAATACACAAAGAATTTCCCATTACTGCCAGGTTTGGGAGTTAATATACACATGAAAAAGGGAAGGAGGAAGCATTGACAATATTCAATAAAAAAGTAGACAGAAACCTGCTGTTTCTTGAACAAAGTTACACCATTCATTGAATCAAAAAACTGATGTGATTGTCACCCTTGCATGAGCAGTGTGGCTCCTGGGCCTGTTCTGGAGTTGGGCTGTAACAGCTCCGAGCTGCCATGAGCTAACAGAGGAAACCCCTGCCTTTCCATGTGGAATGTGTGGAGTTGACTCCCACTGCTGGCAACCTGGCAAGGTAGTATTAAAGGAAATTGTGACTGAGGGGTGCAGGAGGTGATGCTGAAGTACCTGAGTTCTCTTAGCAAACTTCTGAATGTTTGGCTCTGCAGCCAAACTCATTACAATCACATTTATGTAGATTTGCATGTTCATTTTAGATATTACTTCTGATTCCATAATTAAATAATCAATGGAAAAAGAAAACAGTTCCTGTGCCCTCCAGACCAGGAGGCAGTTGTTGGTTCCTTCTTTCAGTTAATACAGATGCACTGGACTTTTCATGGCGGTGGACCAGGTGTTCAAATTTTTTATGGAAAAATAAATGCCTGCATTTGACTAACCCATTTCTCTTGTTCCAGGATGCCAAAGGACATCCTGCACCCACTGCCCATTGCAGCAGTGGCTCTGATGGAGCCTGGCTGCTGACACAGTGGCCGTATCCAGGTGTCTGTGAGGAGATTGCTGCACCTCTGTACCCCCTGTCTTTCCTTTCCAGGCACACCTACTTGGAGAAGTTCCTGACAGAGCAGATGATGGAGAGAAGAGAGGACGTTTGGCTGCCGCTGATCTCGTACCGGAACTCGCTGGTGACGGGTGGCGAGGACGACAGGATGTCCGTGAACAGCGGCAGCAGCAGCAGCAAGGCCTCCTCCGTGAGGAACAAGAAGGGCCGACCCCCCCTCCACAAAAAGAGAGTGGAAGGTTAGTGAGGCACAGGCCTTTGGCATTCTGGACACGCAGGAGAGGGGGCTTTACCAGCTCATCCAGAAATACGTGATACATTCTGGATGTGGCAGAACCAAGGCATCTGTTCTGCTGGTTCTGTCAGGCCTGGACATGTCTTTAGGGGAAATACCACCACAGCCCCCTGTTCTTGTTTGTCTTGACCAAAATTGACAATCAGAACTGTTAAAAGCTGTTACTGCTGCTGGAAGAGGTGTTTGTGAAGTTGCCTGCTCTTTCTCACTCCTGGAATGCTGGATTTCTGCCTGTGGTTCTCTCTGGGGAGTTGTTAATTCTCAGGGATTTGGAGCAGATTCCAGGCAGAAATTCTGATAACACATCTCTGTTGTTGCAGGGCCACTGGGAACACTAAAAAGACACCATTTTTGTTTAAAATAGTACTGATATCTAGTGTTGTCTGCATTTACTCTTTCTGGGACCTCAGATGTGTTCATCAGGAATCTGGCTGTGATAGCAAATTTCTTACACGGCTGCATCTGTTCCTGGTCAAACTGTGTGCTGCACTGTGGCCTTTTGTGAATACTAATTTGCTGTTCCACTATACAGTAGATGTGAGTGGGATCTTAAACTTCAGGGTTTTTCCAAGTTCAGTATCTATGGCAGTAATCCCTCAGTAAGGAATCTTGTTCCTATTTGCCTGAATATACAGCAGTTTCCCAAAATACTCCTCAAAAGTTTGCCCATACAGCCAGCTCCATTCTCCACTGCAGCTCATGGTCCCTGCACCAAGTCCTTCTCACAGCCAGCCCAAAGTGCAGGTACATAAAATGCTGTCTCCTTTCATCAGGCACTGTTTTTCTTCTTTCAGGATACCAGTATTTTCACAGAATTCAGCTACTGAGGTTTTCTTCTTTCCTCTTACTGCCATTTTCCTTCTATTCTACTGTATTTTACCAATATCTTATTTTTTTACCCTGGGAGGTGTAGTAGCATCTTTGCCTCCCAGTAAGGCAAATCTCAGGCTTAAGATGCAGTTTTTAGGTTTTGCTTATCTCATACTCTTTTGTGTCACCCTCTTTCAGTGATCAGTAGAAGGGAGAACTGACTTCCAACACTTTGCATTTGAGAATCTCTTTTTTTTTCTTTTTGTTTCTTTAATTTCCACTCTAAAGGATCTAATAGGAAAAAGGTCACTGCAGAAATTACTGTGGCATCAAAGAACCATACCTAGTCCCCTCTAGTTCCTTTCTCACCTAAATCCAGCATGGACTGCTTTGGAGAACATTCCCTGTTGCTTCTGAGAGGAAATGTGCTCTGTGACATTCCTTCACAATGCCTTAAGGAAATCAATAGGTTAAAAAAAAATCTTAACATAAAAATTATTGAAAAGTAAAATTGACAATAAATAGGCAGCTTTTTAAACAGCATTTATGCCTAAAGGTTAGTAAAAGGCAATGGAAGAGTGAACAGATCTGTGGAGATCCCCATCTACTTTTCTCACCACACATTTCCTGTTGGTAAATCTGTGATCTTGTCATCTCCTGTCTTTCACTCCAGCAACTGAATTTTTTCCTGTGTCTCTGGCTGCACCCTTCCTGCTCTAACCCATTCTCAAGTCCTCCCTCTTCCCTCCTCTCTGCTTTGCTCCCTTCCCAACATAAGCACAGGATCCCACCTAGACCTTCAGTCATATTCAGCTCATTATTATTGCTAAGTGTCCCCTCCCTGCTCCACTCCACTGGTTCTGACAGTTCTAAAGATCTGGAGTGACCAGATTTTGGGGTTTGTGCTCCACCTTGTCTTAGTGTTTACCTGTATCTTGGTTGCTGTAGGTACATGAGATTAACAGTCTCCAGTTGTAAACTCAGGAATTGGGAATTGCCCTCGTTGTTTATGTTCAAGATACCCAGCAGCTCAGGCCGTGCTGCAGTATGACTTTGTTTGCAATGGGGTTTGTGTTTGTTCCCTTTAACTTGTTGTTATTGCTGAGAATAGAGGGTAGTAATACTTAAAAGAACAGAAGCTAAAATTAGAACTGAAAATCTTACCATTCCAAGCATTTATCCAGGTGATCCCTTAGTGCACACTTGTTTGAATGCTGCCTGCATGTGGTCAGAAATTAGCAGTGATTTCAGTGTTCTCTCTCTAGATGAGAGCCTGGAAGGCTCCTGGCTGAACAGGAATGAGAACATCCATACTCCAGGGACACTGCAGACACCTCAGCTCACCTCCACTGTCCTGAGAGAGAACACCAGACAAATGGGAGAGCAGATCCAGGAGCACGAGTCAGAGCAGGGATCTGAACAGGATTTTTTACACAAGTAAGTCTTGGAATTTCAGCATCAAGTACAGTCAGCCAGGCAAAGGAATTGCTTGTGCTTTATAGTGATATTGTTAGCCTGTGGCTCCAGAGATGCAGTGTTGATTTGCAAAGCCACCTGGAAATGCCTTGACTACAGCTCAGCAATACTGGGATTGTCTTTAGGTCCCAGAAGAATATGTTGTAATGGAATAATAGTAGAAATTCCTTATGTTAAAACTGTCTCATAGCATAGCCATGCAGTTCTGGTCAAATCATCCTAGTGCTTGTGTCCCAGGCTGGGTGGAACTGTTCCTTTGGAAGACCTGTAGTCTCTTTTCTTTCCCCCTGCCTGATATCAGAGTTAAGGATTTCCAGACACCCTGACTGATACTTTCTAAATTTCCAGCTGCTGAGCTGATTTGAGGTAATTGCCCTAAATTATATATTTTTTTTGTCCCTTTGCTCTCATTTTATCACCTCCATTTGGAGGGAAAACATTGGTTATTTTCTGTCAGTGGGTGTTGCCAGCAGGTGCTGCCAGGATGCAGCAGGTGAGCACAGGCTGGCTGTGGCTCAGGGGCTGCTTGGTGCCATCAGCAGTGCAGCCTGAAGGTATTTACACATGGGTGAGGTACTGGCCCTTAAGTTGATCAGGCTATTTGTGTAAAAACCATTTGTTTTTCACATTGTTGTGTGACATTTTTGTCAGTTACTAATTTGGATCCATTCTTGCTCATATTTTGCCTCATCTGACACAGTGAAGTACAATTTAATAATAACAAACTTCAGAGGTGCTCCCACTCCAGGTGCCCGCTCCTAATGAAGGAGCAATGTCAGTGTTTCCATACCTGCTTTTATTGCAACACTTAATTGATTTTTCTGTGCACATACAGTGAGAGGAGACAGACTGTGGAAGGGAATCCAGAGGAGGTGTACAATGATGGATGGGATTTAATTATCCTAATCTGAAGCATGGCCAGACACAGAACTTGGAGACAGAAACTGCCCCAGAAGAGGCAGCTCAGAACTGTTACTGCTGTTGATCCTAACTTACTCCCTGTGTCAGTCCCCAGATGCAGATCTCGTGGCTGGGCCAGCAGAAGCTGGAGGATCTCAATCGAAAGGACAGGACAGGAATGAACTACATGAAAGGCAGAAGTGGTGTAAGGCACGCAGTGTAAGTGCTCACAGGCTGCTGCCCTCAGCAGAAACGTGTGCAGGACACCAGAGAAATGTTACCTTTCCTGCTGGTTGCCAGGGGTTTCTGTGCCATTTCACCCTTGTGGTGAAGGCAGAGGGACAGTTTGTAGTGCTTGGATGGATCCAGCCCAGCACTGCCATTCTCTGACTGTGGCCAGACAGCAGGCCCAGTGACAGGGTGCAGTTCCCCATTCCTCAGAGGGGTTCCATGATTCGTGTGCTGCGTAATTCCCTGTGAGCTCTGCCCACGAGCCTGTTCCTGTGTCTGTGCTCTCCATCCTTTTTTGCCAAGGTGTCTCCCTGTGCAGTAATGGATAGAACACACGTGGGTGAACACTGAGGCACCACATGCTCTGTGCTGATCCCACTGAGTCCTTCAGCAGGGGGTTGGAATCCTTACAGCCTTCAGAACTGGGCTTGAAGGCACTGCTGGAGTCACAGGGCTTTACCAGTGATCCTTTACCAGTGACAAGAGGAGTTACTGCCCTGTTCTTGTGGGACAGCTTCAATTACTGGTCATAGTGCTGTCAGTGGGACTTGCTGCTTCAGCCTGGGCCAGGGTTTGGGGAGGGGAGTTTATGTGAGATTGTTCTCTGTTTGCTATTTCAGAGAGCCTGTTGGCTTTACCCTCAGCATCAGGGTTTGAGTGAAGGCATTAAATGATAGGATTTGAGCATTCTTTTTAATGACAAAGATCAGGGCTGGGAGTTTTTCTGCCTGGAAATGACTCTCTCTCTGTTTAATCAGACGAGGTCTAATGGAAGATGACGCTGAGCCCATCTTTGAAGATGTAATGATGTCCTCACGAGGCCAGCTAGAAGACATGAATGAAGAATTTGAGGACACAATGGTCATTGATCTGGTCAGTAAATCTTATCAATGGCAAGTTTAAAACAGTTGAAAGCTAATTTAAAAGGAATTTTAGAAGTATAAAGAAAAATTTCCAGCATTTTGAGTCTGGCCTCTGGTTGAGTGGAAATGATGTGGGCACTTCCCAGAGCCTCCAGCTGCAGGCACGAGCCCAGTGGGTTTGTTCCACAGCCACACAAGGAGCGTTGCTTAGTGCTCCTTCTTCCCAAGATTGTGTTCTTGGGCAGCTTCTGGCAGCAGCACCATCACACACCTCGGACTTGTCAGCCCACAAGGATCACGTTATGAGTTACAGGCTGTGCTGACCTGGCTCTTTGTTGCAGCCACAATGTGTCAGACTGGCACAGCCAAAGGGGTCCCTCTCTTTCCCTTTCCTGGCTAGTTTGATTTTGAGGAGGTGGGCTGGGCAGGGGATCCTTACTCGAGGCCTCAGTAGGTCACAGCCAGAGTCCTGCTGGCACAGCTCCCACACAGGCACTGGTGGGAGCTCCTTAAATAGGAATTGCTCCCAAACAGGTCCCATCATCAATGGCAGCCTCAGTCCCTTCCAGTTCTGCCCTGACTGGTGGGAGAAGTTCCTTGCAGCACTTGCAGCCTTAACTGGCCTCCCCTCTGGAATGACTCCTCCTTGTAAAATGGGATAAAGGAGCAGTTAGCTTTACACACCTCACCATTTCTATGCCTTTGTTTCTCCTTTCACATCCAAACAACAAGCCCTAGGTTATATTAGGCCTGGGCTACAGCGTCTTGGGAAGGGTGGCTGCATACTGAGGTTACTGTCAGCACTCACGTAATTACCAAGTAACATCCAAGGCAAGGAAAGAAAGGAATTGATCAAGCCAGTGAGGCTCACACCTACTCTTGTGTTCGTGGGGAAGGACACCACCAAGGGTTTAAGCCTCAGAAATATTTCAGTATCTTCCATACGCTTTTGTTGGTAAATCCATTTTTTACTGTGTCAGAGCTCATTTCACTATGAACTTAAAAGCATAAAGAGAGTTAAGAGGCAGTTTCTGTGCAGTCTGGCCTACAGCGCCAATACAGAAACATCCATAAGTCAGCAAGAAAACCTTGGGCAAGTCCTTAACTATGAGCACAGAGTTAGAACTAGAGTCCATCAGCTTTTACCCATTCTTTCAATAACAGAGTCGAGGGAGTGCTGTCCTGTTTGCCCCAGAGGTTTTGTGGTGCTGGGGGGAGGGTGGGGGCAGGCAGAGGCGGCCCTGTGGCGGGCAGGGCTCCTGTGCCCCGTGCTGTTCCAACTCCCGTGTGTTGCAGCCGCCGTCGCGGAACCGGCGCGAGCGCGCGGAGCTGCGGCCGGACTTCTTCGACTCGGCGGCGATCATCGAGGATGATTCAGTAAGGCCTGGCTTGTTCTGCTTGCTTTGAGCTCTGCTCTTGTCCCACCCCACGTAACCGCTGTCTTTTCCCCCCTTTTCCAGGGATTTGGCATGCCCATGTTCTGAAGTCTGGAGAAGACCTTTTACAAACTTGGAACTCTATTGTTTAGAGCTAGAGGCCTATATACTGTGATAGCTTGTATGAAAACCACATTTTTGATGTGATACAGTTTGATTTTTAACCAAATGATTGAGGTCAACCCCTTGGTGTAGTGACGGAGAGAAGAGGAGCTTCTTAATGACACACGGGAATGTTGGCCAATCCACTCACCTCAGAAGGGCTGACCTAAAAAATCATTTGTATCCCTGTTCTTGACTGTCCTAATACGGATTTTTTTTTTCTGGATGAGGAGGAAGTTTTAAATTGTTAAGACAGCTGTCAAAATAAACACTGTTCTACATATGTTTTCTGAAAACAACATTGAGTGAAAACAGAACTTTTTTAACTTTATTTTTCTGCTGTACAATTTAAAACAGTTTTAACATTTGCCTTTTTATGTTTTCAAAGCTAGCCATTTTTATTAAACCTATGCCTATCAGCCACTGACTAGCAAGGCTGCTGTAAGCAGGTCGTTCTGGCTACGGAAAAGTGTTTTGGAACACACTGGATTTGATTAACATTATGGTACGCTTATGTCCTCTCATAGGCATGGAGAAGAACACTCTCAGAGAAGAGGTTAGAATTCTAATGACGTGCATCTCTGCCAAAAAATTTCAGATTCTGATATGATAAACCCAGATTTTATACTCTTGAGAAGATTTATTTTTATTTATAATGGGACATAAAGTAAGAGATGTCCATGAAGCCACTTTTCCAACAGATGCTGTGTAACATTCATTTTATATAGCACATGGGGACACAAAACCAGTAAATTTTCTATTGGTACTTGCTCTGTGCATTTTTAGCAACTTATACCAGCAAATAAAGTATTCTCAGTAAAACACACAAATGGTTCTCAAGTAATCACTTTGCTGTTTTTACTACCTACTTCAAGCCTGCCAACACAAGGTACATAAACAGCAACTTTCCTATTAAAAAAAAATAGTTCAAGGGTGGGGGAAAGGATCACTTTAGCATACTAAAAGTAATTTTAACTGTACCATAAAACAGAGTCTACTTTCCATGCCGTAAATACCCTTTTCCGCTATTTTTGTAAATTAATTTTGCCAGTTAGAAGTACTGTATGTGCTGCATAGAAATTTGTGCTTAGATGGTGAAGTTCTTAAGCTTACAATGGACTACAGCTACATTTTCAGTGTTAACTGTGCATATTGAGAGTAATTCTTTGGAAAAAAATATGATTTTTCAAAAAAGCTAAAAACATTTAAAAAAATCAAAAAAACCCCAAAACATTCTCAGCTAATTCATTGTACTAAGATATTTTTCAATGTCTTCAATAATTTGGAATTTCATTATGCTTCGATTTTATGACTCGATGTAGTAGCTGCTCCTTACCCAGCCTGGCCTGGCACCAGCAGTGCTGGCCCTCCACAGCTCCAGATCTCCAACAATTGGCCTCAAAACCTTCATCTTTCTGCACTCAGCAGCAGTTGGGATACAAAGCAGACTGACCCACTTGGAGCACAGCAGTTTCAGAGGTGCTTTAGTTTTAGCAACTGCAGAATAATCCCAGAGCTTTTTTCTGTTTCAAGCTTACTGGACACCAGCCCAACCCCTCAGTGCCCAGCATGGGCAGGGAAAGAGCCCAGATTCGCCCAGCCCAGCACCTTACCCAGCTGAGCTTGGCTCTCACAACACGTGCAGTTCTCAGACACGGTTGCCAAAAATGTCTGACCAGGTAATTCAGCCATTCCTTAGTGTGGGTTGGGGATGTATTGATCCCAAGAAGTAGCTGGAACTTTATAAACCCCGTTACTTCCCTCTGTGCACCCCCACGGCCTGGGGGCAGGAATGGCTGCAGGACCTGTCCCAGGATCACTCTGTGAGCATGGTGGCACAACAGATGCTGCCCAGTTTGAGTCAGAGTCTCAGACAAACCTTGTGCTTCACAGTCCTCTGTGTGGAAAACTGATTCCTAATTTAACATTGTAGAATACTGTATAACAAACATTTATTATCATGGTACCTGCAATGGGTCTCCAGTTCAGTTTGCAGTCAATAGGTTTTTGTATTATGAGTGTCTCCTTGATTGGTTTTGCTAGTAATTCTGTAAATTGTACATTTACAATATGAGGTTTTTTTTCCTTTTGTACAATTTAAAACTGATGCTTCACCTTTCATTTAATAAACTATTGAAAATCATGAGTATGATGAGCACCCTCTTCACTATAGTTTTCTTTTAAGTGCTTGTTTGGACCATCACATTTTGTCATCCCATTTAGTAGTAGGAATTCAAGGAATTATTAAAGGCAAACTGACAGCTAGCTTTCATGTAGTCCAGGCTTCACAACCAGACCTGTACCCCACTCCCTTACCCACTCAGCCTGAAGAGTGATGGAAATCCTCTCTGGGCTTCTCTCTCCCCTCCACCATGGTGTGGTTTGGCTGGGGGTGGGGTGAATGTGGGATTGCTGTAAATCTGGGAAGGCCCCACACCAGATGCAAGAGCTGCACTGCTAACACTTACGATTTCTTGAAATGCCACAAGGTTTGAGAAGAATTTCTCTCTTCTGCCCTATGTGTCTGAAGTGACCTGAAGTCTGTGGGAAGAAACTGCCATGGGAAAGGCTTCAAAGTTCTACCAACCAGCTGGGTAAAATGAAGTTTCACAGATTCCTGAAACAAAATGTCCATGTTACTCCCATGTCTCAGGGAGCAAAGTGCTATTTTTGTCCAATCCATGAAATACTTCATCTCTGTAGTGCTAAGGAAAACTTAGTGCTTTATCACCTGGCCCACTTCCTGAGGAAAAATCACTGGAGTCATAAAAAGGAACAAGATGCAGCAGCTGAGGCACAGGGATGATTCAAAGTCTCAACTACTCCCAAGACAGCCTGAAAGCTCAGTCTCCAAATGCTTGTAAGTTATGGCAACTCCTGCTGCACTGAGGAACACAGTAAGTAACTTGCCCTGCTGCTAAGGAAGGGCTACACATTATTTAAGGGATTTTATTTTGTACCTCTTATTTTTTTAGGTGACTGGACTTCAAGGAAATTCTCAGAAACCTGGTCAGAGCAGCTTTCCAGCCTGTTTCCAGCATGTCCTGGAAGAGCAACTGCCTGTTTGGAAATGGAGAGGATCTAAAAGCCCAATTCTTGTGCTGCCAAGGGATGGGAGAGAGGATGGAGTCTGTAGCAATACTGAGGTTAGGAAACAACTAACAAAGCTGTACTTTCCTCTTTATGACAAGTGGGTTTCTCATGGATTGTCTCCTTCCGACTCTGGGCAAGCTGAAAAGCTGTGTATGTATTCCTTCACCTATCACAGCTTCTGCCTCTAAACCTGCTTTACCTTTGGAAAATCTTCTTGGGCATTATAAACCCTTACAGTTTTCTTACAGTTAACTAGTAACTGCCACCATGGCCGTGCCACCCACCACAGTAACATTTGAATTACCTTCTCCTGTTGCTGCAGCCAGCTCTGTTCCCTGGGACAGCACCAAGAGCTTTTTCATGCTGAGGCACAGACATGTGCCACAGCCAGGACAGCCAGTGTCTGTAACCTGAAGGTGCTGCCTCCCATGCATCCAAAAACCTGGGGAGCTGGAACTCCTACTTGAAATGCTCCTTTTGTATTGTGCTTTTAAATGATGTTTAGCTGTTGCTTTTTCCCCCCCCCCCAGGTAGAGGCTCCAAGCTCCACAGCTCTACTCACTGCACTTTCCTGGGAAGAGAAGCTGTCCTACCTCTCTCCTCCTTCAGGCTCGTGCTGGGGAGTGAGCAGCAGCAGCTGCAGTGCAGGTAGGGAGGCTCTGTCACAACAAATGTCAGTTACTCAGAGCAGCCAGGTGACCACAGCAGCAGCACTGAACGTGACAGTGGCTGTTCCTCACTGCCTTGGGGCTGGAGGGAAGTTGCAGCTTCTACTGAGCAGGTGAGCACAGGCCCAGAGCTGATCAGAGTAACACCTCCTGCAGTGGTTCCTGGTGAGGCTGGCAAATAATCTTAGAGAAAGGAGGCTGGAAGGGCCTTCTGGAGGTCTCTGTTCCAGCCTCTGCTGAGGGGAGAAGCCCTTTTTTGTCTGCTGTTCTTAAGAATGGACTGGCTGTGCCTCTCCTGTGCCAGAAGGGTTTGGATGTCCCACCAGAACTGCCCTTTTTTGTCTGCTGTTCTTAAGAATGGACTGGCTGTGCCTCTCCTGTGCCACCCACCTCTGTCCTGGGGCTCTGAGACCCAGCTGCTGCAGCCAGCAGGGCAAAGCTGCCACAGGCCAGACTAACAGAGGAACAGAACAACTGAGTCTGGGATCAGCAGGGCCTGGTCTCCAGAGCACTGAAACCCAAGCTCAGGATTTTCCTCTCTGAGTCAGTGGTGGAGTTAGGAAGTGGAGTCAGACTCCAAAGTCTGTGGCCAGTGGAATACCCTTGAACTCCACAGGGGTCCAACTTCTCAGCAGTGGGAGGTGGCTCAGGCAGGACTGAGCCACCTCCAGGGCCTGTGGAATGAGGGAGCCAAGGGATGTTCGACCTTGAGCAATTAGTAACAGCTCACCTGCAGCAGGCAGGGCAGAGTGTGTTGAGTATTAACCACCAAGAATGGGTTTACAGAGAGTCTGGTCAGACCCCCAAATTAAATATATACTATGATTTATTGATGATTATTGGCAAAAATCAAAATTAATAGAACTATTTCTATTGCCAAGCAGACCTCCATTAACCAGACAGTTAACCAGAACTCATATTCAGAATGTCTCCCAGCATGGGCAGCCCCTGCTCACCCTCACAGTGGGATGTTGGCATGTTTCTTCCAAGGACTGGACTGGGATTTACTGGCCAGTACATCAAGGTCATGGCAGATGCGTGTGCGGGTGGTCGAAGGCTGGATGATGTCATCAACAAACCCTGCAACAGAGTAAAACAAAAAAAACCCTCAACCTGACCAACCATGAAGTGTTTGCCTCCCAGCCTTCTGTATCTAGGCTAACCAATCAGTTAGCAAAATCAACACAATGGCTGGGATAAATAAGTTCACAAGTTATAAATTAACTGCATTTAAAATAGACTGACAAGGAAACATTCCTGAGTCAATTTTTAAATTCTGAATATAACTTGCCTTTTAGAGCAGTTACTGCTCCAAAACTGGAAGCAGAAACAGTGGAAAAACTTGCTCCTGAGAGTTCTGGAGAACATAACTCTCTTCAGGCCACTGCTTTGCATCTATGGCTGTATAACAGATTGTCAAAGCACCTGTTCTATAAAGAAAAAGGCTGAATTTTGAGACACCTTCTGCTATCTACACCATTGAAAATGCACTTTGCAGAGCAGTCCCTGCTTTTCACCAGGCTCTTTGCAGCTGAAGATGTGTCCTGTGTCCAGATGTTGTCCACACGCACAGGCTGTGGTTAAGCATCACCTTTCTAACTCAGACACAACTATCTTACCTAAAAAACTTAATTGTTAGCAAAAGGTTTACTCAATAGCACAACTTTATCTCCATGCAATGGCAAACCAAATGGAAGACAGTGTGGGAGATAACCATACCTCTTATGGCAGCAGGGAAGGGGTTTGCAAACTTATCCACGTACTCCTCCTCTGCATTTGCCTCCTTTCCTCTGAAGATGATCTGGACAGCACCCTGGGAACAGAAGGGCTCAGTCAGTGACAGTCCCTCAGGCCATGCCCTTCAGGTGAGGGCATGGGAGCATCCCCCCTGCCCACAGCACCAGGACAGCCCCTGGTGCTGGCATGGCACTGGTGCTGCTGGCAGGGCACTGCTGCACCACAGTGAGAAGGGCCTGGACTCACCTTGGCTCCCATCACGGCCACCTCAGCTGTGGGCCAGGCGTAATTCACATCTCCTCGTAAATGCTTGGAGCTCATCACATCGTAGGCACCCCCGTAGGCCTGTGACACAAACCCGGGCACCCACTCCAGGAGTGGCCTTGCAGCAGCAACAGCCTGCATTGCTCCTGCAGCTTTTTCTTGTCCAGAGACAAGCATCTGGGGCTTTTATCTGAAGGAGAGCATGAGCATCTCCACTTTGTGTATTTTTAGGAATAGACAACACTTCAACTAGAGCCCCAAAAGAGCAAGGAAGGGGGCTGCTGACCATTCTGCACGGCAGGCAGGGAGGGGTCAGTGTGTATCCAGACCAGCAGGCCTCAACTTGCACCCTGCACATGCACACAAACCAACCAGGCAGTGTGCTTCTGGAATTTCCTGGCCAGGGAATGCAGCACTCAGGCTCTGCAGTGCTCCACTCTGAAACTGGAAATGCTCCAGACAGCAGTGATGAACAGGTACTGCAAGACTGCAGAGCAAACTGCAGTGCAGTCCCTGTCAGGGCAGTACTGAACAGTGCAGCAAGGCTGAAGGATTGACAAGTACTGCATGGAAATACTTGGAACAATCAGAGAAGGCAAAGGAGCAGAAAGTTCTTTTTTATTTTTGCCGTGATAAGCCAAAAGAGTATCAGAAAAACAAGCAGATGGGGCAGAGCAGCAAGGAGAAGGCTAAAGTTGTAAGGTGTCAGCCCCAGAGCTTATGGCAGTAAGATGTCAGGTACCTTATGGAGAAAGGAAGATGAGGTAGAGCATAGCAGAAGTCTGGGGAGGAAAAGAAGCCACATGAGTGTTCAACCTGAAGACACAGCAGAAGACAGATGCAGCCAGTGCTGGGTTTGCAGAGGGAGGCTCAGGAAGCAAGATGGGAGAAAGCAGAATTGCTGCAAACAGATGGCATCTCCTTAGTGAGACAAGCTGGGTGACATGGGACAAGTACTTGAGTGAAGGCATTCCAGAGAAAAAGCAGGAAGCAGAAACTGGAAGTTCCAGAGGGGTACAGAGACAAGAGGAAGGAAGGAACTAAGGTAATGGTCTGGAAATAGAAGTGGCCTCTCGTAACATTATACAAAGAGGTGTTACCACATGGGACAAACAGAGATGCGACAATGACAGAAGGCATTGCTGGGACAGACAGACAAAGCTTGGTTTAACTAAAATTGCCACTAGTTCAAAGAGGAACTCTGGAAGACCTCCATGGAATTTGCCAGCTTACCTTTCTGGTGATGACAGTGATCTTGGGCACAGTTGCCTCTGCAAAGGCAAACAGCAGCTTGGCACCGTGACGTATAATCCCACCGTACTCCTGAGCCGTGCCTGCAAAGGACAGGGAATTGCTTCACTCCAGGGAATTCACACAATCCCATCATCCGTCACCAGGAGCAAACCTGACCACCACCACAGCCATGTTAATACCCTGGAGAAGATCATGCCAGGCACTGTTCTCTGCAAGATACTGGGCAACTCAAAAATCAGAGCAGCAGCTGTTTGTATGGAAGGTCACAGAAGCAAAGCTCAGCAGATGGGACCTTCCTAGGAACAAAATACAGTAGAGCATCTTCAAGACTCCAGATGTGACCAGCAGTAACAAACAGCTGAGAGTCACTTCTCCAGAAACCTCATCTTCCAAGCCTCTTTCCTAGACCACACAGAAAGCAGCTTGGCTACTCTACCATACTGAGGACCTACCCTAGTTGTCCTTCAAGGCAGCCCAGAATGATGGACCTTAAAAGACAGAGCATGAATTCCACAGCAGGTGCTTCTGGAGAATGATCATAGGCAGCAAACAGGAATGCAAGCCATCCATGTGACAGGATATTCAACACCCTTCTGTCCCAAAGACAGGCTCACCTGACTGGACTTGGAATCAGCAATCCCCTGTAATTTATTTTTAGGACGCAGAATTTCAGACCACTGGATACAACTCTTCAATAACTTCCTAGCAGTTTATTCACCTCCTGACTTTAGCTTTTAGCACATGGAAATGGGTTTTCTATGGATTTTTTTATGTAAGTAAAACTTCTTTTGTGAGATTGAAGAACTTACTTGGTAGTGTGCTTGCTGGCTTAACATTACTGTTTCCCCTCATGTGTCAGTTGAGTGTCTGAAAATTTCTGCCTACACTTAAAAATGTCTGCTCTCAGCTGCAATTTCACTTCTGATTCTTGCCTTTCCCTGCAGCTGGTAGGACCTGCCAAGCTCACAGACCCTTCCTACAGCAAGAATCAGAACAGCCAGGGAGATTCATCCCCAAGGAGCAGCCTGAGCCCAGCTGGGACACCCAGCCCAGTCCCAGGAGCTGGGGAGCACTCCCAGACCCTGTGTCTAATCCACACCTAGAACACAGCAGCCAGTCACTTAATGCTTCCAGTGTAAGACCATGCAGGTGTCTGAAGTATTTACACTGCCACCCATGACCAATTAACATAAACTCTTTTCTGGCCACAGATTCAGTCCCAACCTTGTTCTAAATATGTATTTTTATCCAGTTACGGGTTATGAACACCTTAAATGTCATCTCTGTGCACACCTGTGAAAAATGGGGCTACTCAAGTGTTTGGGTCACTGATGCTGTGAGCCAGTGTGACATGTGCTTTCATCTCCTTCTGTATTGGACAGGGAGAGGGGATGAGGATGCCACCCTCAGAATTTGTTATTTAATCTGAGATTTCTAATGCTAATGGGCTAATCTTGCCAAATCCCTTAAAACACAACAGTTTTTGGATCATAATCAAACCTCAGGTCTCATCTCTTCAGGTTTGTCTTTTTTATTTTTCTTCTGTTTATCTGCTTTCAAACGAACATTTTATTGTGCAGTATCAAGTCACTACTTTGAATTAGCTATATGGAAATAGTTCTTAGATTCAGAGCAACTGCTCAAATCTGGATTGCTGGAGCGTCTGCTTACACCAAGCCACTGCCTGGTTCGTACCAGAGGAGGTGGCTGAGCCTATACTGGGGAGACAGGAGAGGAACTCCTGGTGAAAATGAGCCAACTCCATTATGTTAAAGCAGGAATTGGAATGCTGAACAGTCACATTCTGATGCTTTGAGAACTGCAGAGGGCTCAAGGTAAACCATGGTTTATACAACAGTATTAACATTAGATTTGACTGTATAACATTTATAGTCCTCTCTCCACCTGTTTTGTAATGGGTCGTTTTAATATTACCCGCTCAGAGAGCCTGTGCTGAAAGCATGCTCATCACAGCCCTTTCCTCACTGATGTACCTCTAAACACAGGCATTTTCCACTGAGAAGAGTCTTGGAGCATCAAAGAAGCTTTAAGAAGCCTGACCATGAGGCAAGCACATTGTCCTTTACCCTACCTTTATCTTGGAGTTTTACATCACTGGAACCTAGGAGCTGGAAGCTGGTTTTCTGTATCTTTTCTGTCTTTCTGGTTTTCTCCCCCCCTTCTTCTAACTCTCTTCTTACAGAATGTGACATTGAATGGGTTTACGGGTTTTCTATGTTCAGCGGTCTAAGTCTGTGTTGTGAAAAGTGATGTTATGTTGCACTTACTCTTTTGTTAATGTTCCTTAATTTTCTATAGTTTTTCAGTAAACTTCAGAGGGTTTTATCTCTTGAGACTATTTGGTTGGGATTTTCTCCTTTGTGTCTACCCAGAGCAAAAGAACCTTGGTTTAGCCCTAGTTCTGAGTGACAGGGCTGTAACAGCCCCTCTGGGCAGCAGGTGGAGGTGGCAGGTTTTCCTGCTGCAGCAGAGCCTTAAGAGCAACACGTGCCAGGATCAGCTGAGGGACTGCACACATGAGGGTGGAACATCCTCAAGTGGCCCTGGGTGCCACTGCTCCCTTCCCAGAGCTGGCAGTGCCAGCTCTCCCCCCATCCTCTGCCTCCCCTGGCCCAGCACAGCCTGTGCAGCACCTGCTGCTGCCATCCTGCCCAGCAAGAGCTGTGTAGAGCAAACAACATCTAAAAACACAGCTCAGCATTTACTTGGGTATAATGCAGCCACCAGTGTCACTTCACACCACTTACAACAAGGGCAGCATCTCCAGGGAATGCAGGTTTTTTCCTTGCACAGGTCACAGTCACAGCTTTTGGCAGGAGGACAGAGCTTTCCAGTGCATGGTATCCCCAAGCCTGACCCTGGCAAACTGGCATCCCAGTGCCTCTGCCAGGCTGCTGGAGACTGCAGTATTACCTGACTGTGTGATGTATCTCTCTCTTCAAGGAACTCCAGCAAAGCCTTGTGACTCCTGAACACACTTGTTAATTAGGCACTATTTCATTTTCCTATAATTTTTTTGCATGTTTCACTATCCTTTAGTGATGACTACTGTAGTTAGAATACAGAGTTTCTGTCCCAAAGAGTGGGATTTTAAAACCTGGTTTAAGTCTACTGCAGCAAAAGTCTCCTCAGAGTTCTGAACATGGGTTTTTAGCACCAACACCACCATGCACCACATGAACTCTAAGGGTAAGGCATACCTGGCAGAAACCCAGGAACATCCACAAACGTGATCAGGGGGATGTTGAAGGCATCACAGAATCGAACAAAGCGGGCTCCTTTCACAGAAGAATTTATGTCTAAGCACCCTGAGTTAAGAACACAGGAAAAGGGGTTAGCAACTCCAGGGATCTGCAGTAATTCAAGGCAACTCAAAATCACACTGTTTTAGCTGTAGTGTCTTCTTAAAACAAAGGAAAAGCTTATCTGTAGATAATGTGGAGATAATCTGCCATGAAGCTTTCCTGGCTTAGAACTAGAGATCACAGAACAAGCTACACTCAAAGGCTCATTTCATTTTTCTGACCCCTCTGTGCAAAGACTTTATATCCCAAAACATAACAGTTTAATTACATACATGTAATTTAAAATATTTTTTCTGTAACCTTCTCTTCATTAGTATTTTTCAGATAGTCATATTGAAAGGTTACAGAGTTCCCCATTAAAAAACCCCAAATGTTAAACAGTCCAATAATATTTTGAGAAAGATCAGCACTTCTGGTAGAGACACTGCAAAGTGTTTCTGTTCTGTTTCAGTGCTATTTAGAATTATATTACGCACAACTGTATTAAAACAAAACACATTTTGTATCAAAGCCTCTATATGAAACATTAAAAAGAGCTGTTAAAATGCTAAATGAAGGTTCAATTTATATTAAAACCTTCTGTCTAGTATCTTGATGGTCATATCTTGTGGAGATGAAACGAATGAAACACCATACTGGATCATCTCATTTTCCCAAACAAAGAGATACAAGAATAAAAACAAGGAGTAAACCAGAACATTCTGATTGGGGAAGCTCACTTCAGAAATTACAGAGTAAGAAGAGAAAGCAAAACCCCCAGACAGTTAAGAAGGGTGATCTCAGCTAGAGCTGCATGTTGTACCTTCAGATCCAAAGCATGTGAGGTCAAGAGCTCCACACTTGAGTATCTGAATGCTTTGCACTGTTCAGGTACAGTGAGATAACCAAGTCCCCTCACCCTACAGGTGAGTTTTAACGATTTTACTGCCATGGAAGGAAGTGTGCAGTCTCTATGCTCTGATTACCCCAGTTAAGTGCAGGCTGCTGCCAAATGAATGGTGCTCTTCTCCCTGCCCCCCCACCCTCTGTGCAGCTGCTGCTCCTCTTGGGCTGGATGCAGCACTGATTTAATCACCTGGGAGCAAGATCACCTTGTTAGCCACTTAAGAAATGGTTTGCAGCTTGTTTCACAGCTCACAGCTACATTACAGTGAGGTTCAAGACAAAGCAAGCAGTGGAAAAACATAGAATGAGTGGAGGAGCACATAGCATAACAGCTCTGACCGAACACAGCATGCACAGAAAGAGACAGAGGCAAGGCACTGTTAAGAGTCTCACACTGGACTCTAACCTGAGGCTACTTTGGGCTGGTTGCCCACGATCCCAACGGTCCGTCCGTTCATCCTGGCAAATCCAACCACGATGTTCCTGGCATAGGCCGGCATGATCTCAAAGAATTCCCTCTCATCCACAATCTGCAAAGGAGAGGCAGGCAGAGCCCATATGAGGCCAAACAGGTGCATAAATACACAGGCAAACACAAACTCAGTTACCTTAGTATTGCAACTTTTAAAACAGTTCAGAACTTGCAGAATTTTGAAGGAAAGAATGGGAGGGAAACCTTCCAGTCTTTAGAGCCTTCGTTGCAAGAATTAACTAGTCCTACAAAAACTACCAAAACTGTCAGTTAAGCGTTCCATCAGGGAACACCTTTATGACTGAAGGGAGCCTTTCTTCCTGGCTTAGAACAAAATGCAAATCACATGTGAAGAGCTTCTTTCTCACATCTTCATTAGCAACAGACTTACCGATTTCCAGTGATAAAACAGTACTTCCTGGAGCTCAGAAGCTCCCCGTGACACATTTGATGTAATCTCTCTCTCTTGGCAAGCTTAGAGCCCTTTCCTGGAGCAGCCTGCACAGCCCTGCTGCCACAGGGTCAGTGCTGGGTGTGCCCCAGGGAATTCAGGGAATACAGTGCCCGTTCCATCAGGGAACACCTTTATGACTGAAGGGAGCCTTTCTTCCTGGCTTAGAACAAAATGCAAATCACATGTGAAGAGCTTCTTTCTCACATCTTCATTAGCAACAGACTTACCGATTTCCAGTGATAAAACAGTACTTCCTGGAGCTCAGAAGCTCCCCGTGACACATTTGATGTAATCTCTCTCTCTTGGCAAGCTTAGAGCCCTTTCCTGGAGCAGCCTGCACAGCCACAGGGTCAGTGCTGGGTGTGCCCCAGGGAATTCAGGGAATACAGTGCCCAGCCAGCATCCATCTGGAACCACACACCCGGGTGGCTGCACTTCCCTCGGGCTGGAGCTCAGTGTGTGCCCTGCCAAGAGACAGCCCTGGTGCATGAGGCACAATCAGAACTCAACACGTTCCAGGAGATCAGAATTATCCATGGAGCAGTAGCGACACCTACACACGGCTGCCTGGGCTTCCAGCAGGATTCCCCAGTTCCATCTGTTTATGGCAGCTGTTCCCATATACACTGCAGTGTGCCAGTCATTTCATTAGCCTCAGTTTTAAAAAAGTTGTGAAAAATGTGAGCAGTATAAAAGTGGTGTTATTTCTTTCCTTTATACTTCCCAAAATCTGTGGGAGGGCTTGAGGGTTTTATCCTAATTCACCTAATGATTTTTATTACATGCCACCTTTTAAATTTCATTACACACAGTGCTGAAAATCACAGTGGAAGAATCCAGGGATTAAACACACCCTGAGCTTGCTTTCACCACTAAAATGAGTCTAAATGCAGCCAGTTGCAAACTTTGTAATTTCAAAAAAATAGACATGTATTTTCTTGTACTGCATATGTACATAACTATCTCTTAGTGTAAACAGGGAAGGGTAGATCTCTGCATTCTGGGTACTTTATTACTTTTTTACAAAAGTGCCAGAATCCAAGACAGAAGCACCATGGTTCAGGGAGGGGCCAAGCAACAGAACTCAAGGGGGATTCTAACCCCAGAAAGAGCTAAATTCCAGCATCCTTCATCTGTGTAGTTGTGTGTACAGCCTAAGATGTATCCTGAAAACCAATCTTAGGATTCTGTTAAATTTTTTTTTCCCCTGCATTTTTTGTTGCACATTCACAGCTACTACACAGGTGGAAGTAGTCACTTATAAAGACTGAAATCAATAAGTAACAGTATCTATATCTTCAGTGCCATTCTACTTGTTTCTGTCAATCATTTAGACCCAGAATGTAATAAATGCAACTTTAATCTGAACACTGTCAGACTTACGGAGTGTACGATGTCCAGCATATCATAGGCTTTGGCTGACTCACTTGGGACAATGGTGTCCAGCTCTGGAACCAGACGGTCACTGTGGAGAGCAGGTAAGTGTGAGCAACAACGTTTAAAGACCAAATGAACACCAAGACCAAAAACTCAAGTAAACATTACCACCTCTCAGAAACTTCAGAACCTCCTCAAATATGGAGAAAGGAACTGATTTTTTTTTATCTCTGGCAGCCTCCTCCTGAAGGAGACCCCTGTTCCACAGACAGCTGTGCTTGGGAAGCCCTGAGCAGCACGGCCCGGAGGCGGCCGGGCTGCAGGGGGCACTGCCGGCTCACGGGACAGACGGGTGTGGCTGATGCCTTAAGTTCTAGCTTTCATATTTTTCAGATTCTCTACTGCCTTAGTCTGTGACTCTGAACTTCATATTAAGTGTTAGTAAATTCTCTTCACAGGGTAGCTAGACAAAACAGTCCTTTTCCACCTTGAGAAACAAGGACAACTGTTACAGCCTCAGGCCCAAAAAGCATAAACAACAGCAAATTGAGGAGAGCAAACCAGGAGATGGGACTTCATAAGCTGTAAAATTGACCCTAATATGTAAATGGACCAAAACTTATAAAAGCATGAAAAATCATGACCAGCTGTCCATCTTGGCCAGAGCCACAGCCAGGCTCTTGTACTGCCCAAAGTGTATCCTTTTAAAGCCTTTTAATAAATACCTATTTTATTCCTTTAACTCTGTCTAGCCTCTGTTCTGGGTCAGCCTCTCAAGGCATCATGGGGACACAGCCGGGCTGCCGGGGACACGGGGGCAGCAGCAGCAGAGCCCAGTCCCTACAGCTGGCCAGGCAGAGCCCTTCTCCCAGGGTGGCCCAAGGCTCCCTGTCACACACCAGGACCTCAGGAACTGCACACTCACCCTGCCCTGCCCATGCTGTCACCCAGGGCTTTGAACACACTGAGCTGCAGGAAACCTTTCATGCTCATTTCCCCTGTCCCAAACAAGCAGAGAGTGGGGAAAGCATACAAGAAAACATATCCACACTGTGTCTTCCCTTCAGAGGCTGTTTAAAGACTTTCCTGTTTCTCCGCTTAGAGTGACACATTTTCACGTGGAGTTTTCCTGTAACAGAGATCCTGCCATGCCATCAGCAGGGACAGGATCAGTTCCCCAGCTTTGATCACATTACCCTCATTAGGGATCCACTCAGCAGGATTCAGTGCGGGGGTGTCAATTTTTATGAGTCACCACTGAGAACGTTTCAGTGAGTATTTTATTTGTGCTATTCCATAAAAATAGTGATCTCTGTAACAAATGGTGTTTCTATGGGACTTCTTACTGAATTAATATTTTAACAATGCCATGATTTAGTACATTTTGAATCAGACAACACAAGGCTCTAGACACAATTCAAAACTGAAGAAGGTGATGTGCAGTTTGACAAAATCAGACAAAAGTTTCAAGTGCAGCCCCATGGCTGTCTCTGTGCTCCCTCAGACACACGGGACAAGGCAGGCACAGCCCTTTGCAGGGAAGGGAAGAGACACAGCTATTTATAGAACAAACCTGACAGCAACACTTCAAGTGCTTTTTCCATACAAATACAAATATTGCATACAAACACTTCCATAAAATGGTATAATGGAACTATAATCTGAAGAAGTTAAACTTGTTTTCACATACTAAACCCTAAGATAAAAATTATTCTAAACTTTCTTGAGTGTAAAGTAGATACAGATGTGCTCCAAGCTCTGTCCTGTGACCTGTGGTACCCAAAGGATAGAAGTGAATAAATTACTGCTCCCATAAATTCACAGTGCTGAAGGAAACTTTAACAGCATTAAAATAGCCATCAGCAAAATGAAGACATTATCCAGGATACCACGTTTGAAAATCTCCTTCAAACGCTTACAGACACAGGACATCTGGAGCTTGCTGCTGCACTCACTGGGTTTCAGAGGTGTTTCTCACAGATCCCACTTAGTGGCACAGAACTGCTGCTCATTGTCAAAGCCTGTGACAGCTGGAGACACCCTCACCAGATGGACACTGGGTTTCACTCAATGCAGCAGTGAAACTGCACTTGGTTACCAACAGCTGGCAATAACCTCCTCCAGAAGTTTGCAGAGACACAGAGAGAGGTAAAATCCCACCATGCCATGCAGCAAATGCAATGCATCAGACACCTCCCAAAGGCTGGGGACATCTCACCAGGGACAACTGGGTACTGCAAGAAACTTGTAAGTCCTTGGAATCCAGGCCACTGACAACACACACTCACCAACACAAGCATCCTCGGCCAAGGCTGGCATTTTTCAACACCAAAAATAACTTACCTAAATAGAGGGAAAAACAACCAAACAACCCCCAACAGGACTTGAAAACAACCAAACAACCCCCAACAGCCCCAGGACTTCACAATAAAAGCGCAAGTACGTTACATTTAATTTGCATCATTTGTGGCAATTTTTGGTGTGGTGAAAACAATGCAATAAGAAAGCAATTACTCTAGAGGAACAGACTGGGACTGGAGCAGCTGTAAGCATCAAACACATCAATCCCAAGCAGAAGGAATCTATTAAGATGTCAGTTTGTCCAGATGAAATAATACCAATCTGTACATTAGGAACATAAATGGGAGAACTATTGGAGATGCTGCTATAAAACCAGATAAATTTAACAAACAGATCTGCCTTCACGTGTATAAAGGCTACTAAACTGAAGTTCTTAGTACAAATTGCATTTATTATATCTCATGCCTTGTAGAAGATTAGTTGTTTTTTTCTTAAGGGACACAAATCTCCTATGCTTTAGTAACTACACCCTCACTGACCACTTCTCACAAAAAAAAACTGCCTGTTATAAAGTACATTGATTTAAAAAATGGACTGTTGCTTCTATAGTGAAAATTAAAATACCAAAATCAAGTCCGTAGAAATCAATTATCCCAGTATAACTTGTTGAATGCTTATAAAGGTCATGATAACCTCAAAGATAATCCCCCAACTCAGCAAATAATACAAGAGATTTGCTTTGGTTTTGTCACTAACAAACCTGAGCAGTCAAGAACAGAACAGAACCAGATCAGCACAGTTTAATGAACTCCTGAAGATCAACACCTACCTCAGAAAAATTAAGGACTAGTAATTAATTGACCTGTCTGGCCATTCTCTGAAAGAAAATGGCAAATTTATTTTTTAAAAAGTGAGAAATGTATCTCAGGGACCAGCCCAGTGATTTGTAAAATCAATCCAAAAGCACCTCCCCAAACAAACTGTTACATAGTCACTGAAAAGCACAGTGAGGGATAAAGAGAAAATAACCTTCCAGACTCACATGTTAAAATCATCACACATGAAGAGCCCCAAGACATATCACACACATGTGAGGAGCTAAAAGGAACATATTCAGGCACCACTCCCATGCAGGAGTGTGCAACAGCCTCTTGAGGGTTCCCTAGGGAAAGGGCTGAATTTCAAGTGCAACTGGAGTTTGGGTCAAAATGCTTTTACTCCACTGACATTCCCTGCCTTCCAGCCTTACCAAGACTCTCTGCTCAGTGTCCCATGCTGTCTCTCTGGCTGTCTCTCAGCTCCTGGAAAAATTCCCTGATAAAAGTCCAGACAGTTGCCATTTTTCCCCTCTTGAAATGGCTCAAGTTGTTTCTGGATTATGTTGCCAACTCCACAATGAGCCTGAGACAACTACGTAACACACAAAGCTTTCTGCCTCCTTGTTGCCTGCCCACCTCTAACCCTCTAACGAGCAGAACTCATCCAACAGACACAGCTGACAGAACAGGGCAAGTTCTCCCCACTGCCACTCACTGTGCTATTTCCTACCTCTCTCGCTTGTTCCAAGGGACTGGGCAGCCCACCTGGACAGAGATTGCTTTTCCCCACATTCTGCACACAGCCTGGACAACAGCCCTTTCAGAAAACAGAATTAAACCTAACAGCGAACACACACATGTTGGAACACTTCCCATATTCACATACCAGAATCATCTGCCAAGATCCCAGGCACAGAACACCCATGTCTCTGTGCCCCTTAAGCCAGAGAAGCCATGAAATGCAGTGCTCAGAGAGCACCAAGCTCAGCCAGGCTCCCCTTACCTGGGATCATGGCACTCACAGACTGGAGCTGGGTCCCGGTTGCTCAGGGGTAAATAATTAAAGAACTCTCGGAGGTTCAGCAGAGCATCGATGTCATTCTCAAAGGCTCTGTGTGCAACTCCTGCACAAACACAGCAAAGCAGGTATGGAAATCATTGCGCAAGCTTTCCTTTCCAAATAGATACCAATAAAGATAGAAACAAGCAACAGCAAGACTCTTTAAACTTGAGCTGTTAACAATCAGGAGTCTTAAGCCATCAAATCTCACCAGCTAAAAATATCTAGAAAACATGTGCTGTGTCAGACTTCCTCCAGAACAGGTCTGGATTGATGACCTCATATTTAAAATAATGTGAAGTGGTTTATCAGCTGGCACAGCCCTACCTGGACTCCAGCCTTCTGGAACTCTGATCAGGTTACTGTGCTGCACCCAAGTGTTGGACTACAAGTGCTTTTTATAAAAGGGCTGGATCTGGGCAGTACCTGTGTGTGTGGTTTTCGTTCATCATCAGCTCGGTCCACACAGAATTTGAGATCCTCAGTCATTTGAATCTTGAGAAGATTCATGACTCACAGACTCAGACATTTTCACAGAGGGGAAAAAAGGGTCAAGAAGTGCTTCAGCTCACACTGCCACTTGGTTTACAGTTAAGCAGTTCAATCGATCACATTAGTGAGCAAACAAGGGACTGCTGAGAATCTTTCAACTCATGGAAATGTCTGGACAACAAACAAAAAAACCGCACCCCAGGCTGACTTCACTAAGCCCTACTCCCTGACAGTATTCCCACTTCTAGCATATTTTGTGGGTTTGTTACTTTCTCTTCCAAATCCCAGAACTCTCCCACATTCCCACTCTCCTTTCATTGTGTTCTGTTACTAAACAGGAGCTGCAGGAAAGCAGATGCAGAGTCAGATCCTGTGCTTAGGCAGAGCTTTGTCCCTTAGACTCATCTGGATTGGCCAACGGGCTGTTTAGCCAGAACTACTCTCATTTACTCTGAGCACAGTTAGCATGCTCAGTAAAGCCCCCAGCTCTCACCAGACACTGCAGTGTGTGTCTTTGCACCCCCAAGCTGCTCCTGGGTGACATCTTCATTGGTGACAGACTTTACCACGTCAGGCCCGGTGATGAATAGGTAGGATGTGTCCTGAGGGAAGGGGAAAAGCAGAAGCAGTGAATGCCAGTGCCAAGCTGCAAAAGCACCTAAGGAACAGCCACAGCCTCTAGAGACTTCCCCTAAAATAAGAAGAGGGACAAATTTCTTTAAAAGGCTGCATTGCATTAAAAATCCACTGAAAATGCAATTGTCCACAAGTTATCTGGGAAAGTTTTTCTCAACTTTTCATGCAAAATAAAAATCCAAAGCAGGAGATCATCTTGGAAAATACCCCTTCCCATATGGTCACTTAGTGTGTGATCAATGTCACCAGCAGCAGCTCAGGACAAACCCTTACCTTCACCATGAATGTGAAATCAGTTAAGGCAGGAGAATACACGGCTCCACCAGCACAAGGACCCATGATGAGGGAGATTTGAGGAATGACACCAGAACACAAAACATTTCTCTGAAATAGGAAAAAAAAATTGTTTTACCAAAGAAGTGTGTCATTAAATCTGTGCCCAGATTCTGCAAGAATTCACCATCACAAACAGGACTGTTTTATCTACTGGCAGACAAATATCTGGACAGAATCTCTTGATGCAAATTGAACCAAAATGAGTTTCTTATTTCTGTTCCCGTACAGCTGATTCCCTATACCATGCAACGACTGCAAAGGAGAGAACACGAGCCACTTCAACAGATGCTGCCAGGGCACTGCACTGAACCTGCAGTAAGAAGGAGTGGATGTCCCTGACATTTGAATGTGTAGGTACACTGTGCTCAGAGGTAGAAGTAAGCTTACTGACCAGCTGGGGGAGGGATTTTTTTAAAATCAGGTTTCTGCACTGGCTAGAATTTTACACAAAGGTGAATGGTTGCTGTCCAACATGGATGGTGTGTTGTTCACAAAACCACTTACACTGCTTGTTGCTCAAGCGGGTCACAATGACTTCTGTAACTCTTCCTCCCAGACTGTACCACCCCAAAACTGTCAGCATCTGACTGACCTGACATCCCACCTGCTTTCCTACTGAAGGGACAGTGTTCTGTACACGCAATTTGATGCAAAGTATCTTAGCCGCATACAAAAGAATGTCATTTCTGTGAAAAAATGAGCAGCAGTGCACCTTGGGGAAAAATTCTTGTATTAACCCCAAAAATCCTCCAGGACATAAAACTTTCACCAGAGCAATCACCACTGGAGATCCCCATTCTCACTACACATTGGATCACAGAGCTTTACAGAGCTCAGCATGACCCTTGTTTAAGACATGGGTACATTTCCCCAAACCCAAGAAAAGAACCAAGGTCTGAGTCTGTTTTACTCATTGGTTGAAACAGAACAATAACCTTAACATTTACTTACAAACACCCACTTGCATGTTTTGTCCACCTTTGAGGACGCCAAACTCCCTGTCCATCCAGCAGCCTACTCACCAAAAATATGTCTGCATAGCCTGCCAAGGACTCCACTCCCTCCTGGATACGGGCTCCTCCAGAGTCATTCAGCCCAATCACGGGTGCTCCAACCATGGCAGCTTGATCCATGATCTAGTGATGAACACAAACTCCTCAGTATTGACCCAGCTACGCTGAACCCCAAAAAATATCTGTCTTCCCAGGTGGGCATCTCCACACTCAGCACTGGATTTGGATAATGCAGTGTGAGTGACACGGTCACAGGAAAGGGGCCTGTGCAGCTGAGGGCTCCCCCTGCTCCTAAGGGGCCTCAACTGTACCTCAAACATCTCCTCAGATATGTCTCATCTGCTCTTCAAAGTTTGTTGCAGTGGTGGCTGTGGAAACTCTTCAAGCTGTATATTCTAATGCTTGATTACCCTTTTTAGAACTTCTTTGGGAGGATTAAATTACATCTTTCCTCCAGAAATTTAAACATTACATTTGTCTTGATACAGAGCAGTGAGGGAGAGCAATTAGCTATTCTTGGCCTTTACTTTTGTGAATATTCAAGTACCTCAAATCTCTCTTCAGCTTTCATATTCCTCTTCATGTTTCTAGGCTAAGCACCATCAATTCAGTTCCACATCCTGTTTTCTCGGGCTCTGATCATTTTGGTTACTTGCCTCAAGATCATACACAATGCTGTAATAGAGCCTTAAGTAGGAGGACTGAATTCCTTACATTCCTTGCACAAAATATTCCTGATTATTGAATTCCAGTAAAATGTCTGCCATTTTCATAACAGTTCAGCACTGGCATGTTATGTTAAGATCTGTTTTAACATCAAGTTCTGCTTTAGTTCCTAAAAATTTTTTGTAAAACATCAGTTAATCCCCATTTTGAATTTTGAAGTTGCTTTTCCCTGCCCTTTCAATCATTGCAATAAAATTATTTCAGACAATCTTTAACTTGCTAAGTGATTTACAATTCCAGTCCCATCTTTCAGAGTGCTTGTAGCATCAGCCTTGAATTTTATATTGCCTAGAAACACAGAAACTACACTTGGTGCCACTCAAGTCAGTGGTATCTCAGAGGACCCAAAACTCCAGCCCAAACAGGAGCTGGTGGTAACTACTTCTGTACAGTCCTAGAATTCACTGGCATGTTCTGCTGTTTTCCAGGGACCTGGAATATTTATGGATTTTTTTTCCAAGGTTCTTCCAAGTTCTTCCTAAAACACTGACAAAGACTGAGCCCCAAAGCAACTGATGCCCCTAGAGCCTTCCAGCTTTGGAGCTCACCAAGAACAGCACCAACCAGGAAGGACCCATATATTTTCTAGTTCTGTGATCAGACCCTGCTGCTCTAGAAAGAAGAGATCAAAGAAAGCCCACCAGCAAGCATCCCATCATTCCAGTGCCATTCCATCCCTCCCCAGTACAGATACCACAAAGCTCCAGTGTGAAAGAGTAATTCAAGTCCTTTCCAATATCAACACCTGCTAAAACCAAATAGTTGTTATTGAGCCCAAAGTCTTCATGTTCTAGTTTTATATCCACACACTCCTGAGGAGCTTATAGCAGAGTAGTTATTTCCACAGCATAAAAGGCCTTGCGCACCAAAAATCTTGTTTCTGATTCCATGGCAAGAAAATTCAGGAAGATTTCCCAGTTCACACCACTCAACACTCATCCATGAACGAGTTCTTGTCTCCCCAGTCCTGGGATTCAAAAACTCTTCTCGCAAGACAAGCAGACAAACAGGAATAAATAGCCACAAGTGTCTGATAAGAGAAACTCTCAGGGTCAAGGTGACCTCAAAGTTGTAAAACTGTTTATCTTCAAGCTGTTTACTTGTTACATTTGCTTTCTTTTTAAATATTACACCCTTTCACAGCACACTGTTTAGAGAAAAACGTTTCTCCAAATTCATTCATCTTCTCTTCAGTGGACAATGAGTAGTTAATTTATATTTGTACTTGGCAAGTCTCTCATCCTTTGCAGTAGAGTAGAAGACATAATTTAATGTAACGAAGTGTGTACTACCTGGAAAAGCTCACTCACACTCAGAAAGTTTCCAGAGGCACCACCCTCAGGCATGGCACACATCAGAGCCCACTAAAGCCAGTCACCAAACATTTTCTCCAAAGTCATTATCACAACAGCCTGAAAAAAGGATGCTGACATTTTTTTTTTTTTGTTTTCTTCTGTGCCACATTACCTTGCAGATCTTCTGGGCATGAGCTCCAGATAAACTGCCTCCAAATACAGTAAAATCCTGAAAATAAAGCAAATTTTCAGATTAGGGAAATAATAATTTCAGTAAAATGTTGTCAATTATTGCTAGTAAAAAACATAATCCTGCAGTGCTCTATATTTGGATGCTGCTTCAAAACAACTGACTCCCTCAGTGCAGCCTGCAGAGGATGCCAGCTCAATCCAAGCATCCTTTACAAGGAGGAAATACAAACCTGGACACACATCACCATTCTAGACTCATGAGTTATGTCCAAGGGGTGCTGTAGGGACTATGTCAGTCAAAATCTCTAACAGGCCCTGGGACTGCTCCAGAAGAAAAAGAGGATATTGACACCTCCTGGCACAAACAGAGCCCAGAGCCAGCTCCCGAGGAGTTTCTCTGCTGCATTCCCACCGAGTCTTACTCCCAAAGAAGCCCCAAAAACTGTGTGGACAGAGACAGCATGGCTATGACTAACATTTGAACCAAAAAGGTTCAGCATCTCAGGAGGCAGCTCAATTTGGAGGGGAAAAGGTCTTTAAATATAAAAACGGAGGGATGTATCATGAAGGGGCACTCTTAAATTCTACTAACACAAAAACTGCCCCCTACTTGTGTTCTAAAATGAAGGTTTGTGTTTGGCTCCTCTCCACATGCTCAGGCCCATGTAACGGTGACTCTCCTTGGAAGGAGCACACATCCAAGACAAAAAAGGCAGAGTGTACGCCTTGCTCCAAGGTAACACAGCAACAGCCACTTTGGCCATGACAGCAAATGGAACAAAGGCTACTTTGTGGCCCAGAACAGAGCAGCACTTAGTAATGATCTGAAAGAAAGCCTTTCTTTCACAGTGAGTGACCAAGATAAGTCTCTACCTAAGATATTTCCTCTGAAACACTTTTATTTTAATATAAAAAATATATTTTAACATAAAAAGTATATTTTATCTATTTATATGCTATCTATCACAAGTTTTTCTGCTTCTTGTTTGAGGGTGCCCTGCTTCCTCCCACAGGTACATTGCTATATGGCCACGCTGAACTATTGTGAACTTATCCTTTGAAATAAGTTCATACTACTTAAAAACAAGTAAAACTTTACCTGACTGAAAACATAAGCTAGTCTCCCATTAATCCGTCCACGGCCAGTCACCACACTGTCACCAGGATACTGCATTAAAAACAGATAAATTAACTGAAAATAATAGAAAGAAAAATCAAAGCAACTACGGTGTCTAATAAAATTTCCACAAACTCCTACTAAAACAAAGCAAAGACTGACTTCCTGGGAGGTCTCATCTTCCATGCAGTGGGGGCTCCACAAAGATTTTCCCCAGCTGTGAAAAGGAAAACTTAGAGGTAATATCACATAATCATTATGTATTAGAGTAAAGATCATTGAACTTAGCAGTTTCCCTTCAAATTTCGAATATCTGAAATTAAGACAAATCACGCCCTCAGAGACAGGATAGGATGTACCTTTTATCAGGACTAGCTGATGTTTTGGAAGAATTGACATAGTGCAGAAACTCCTGAGGTGTTGATACAGGACAAAAAACAATCCTGGACAGGTCCAAAAATATAATTACAGTCACCTCAAATACTTGAGCTTGACCTGTCCCACTTTTCACCCTGTAAATAAGGGAAGAAAGAACTGATCAAGGAAATGGAGCCTGTGAGTCTTAAAATGTGCTTCATCTATATTGTATCGCTTTCTAGTAAAAAAATATACAGAAGTCTTTCAAGACAACAGTAGGAAAGGAACTTTTCTGGGCTGTCAGTAAAAAAGGGAATTTCACGCACTGAAGTGCTTTTTGTTGTTTGGTATTAAAATTAAAAAAAAAAAAAAGGAAGGAAAACAGGGAAGTGTGTGCTGCAGGACCCACCCTAAGGACCATTTATGCCCAGGTGATCTGCTGTCAGGAAGGTCACACTTGTCTGGTGCCTTTTCTCAGGCTGCACACACAGCACTGCTCTCAGCCCCTGGCACACAGAACAGCAGCACACACCTGTATTTCAGCCACTGGCACGTGAAGGTGACTCCCAAAAGCCTCAGCAGCCCACAGAGCGGCCTGGATGTGAGCACAAGTTCTACCCTACCCTCAGAAAGTTCCAGGGACTCTGAGAAATTCAATGCTAAACTAATATTCCAGCTCAGTAGCCACAGTTAGGTCATCTGCTGTGAAACTGTGCTCTGTAAACACAATCTGCAGCTCCCTGAAGGGTGAATTCTGAAGCACAAAGGAAAAAATTAACCCTCTTGTCACACTCAGGACTCTGCTGCTCCTCCTATTTTCAGAAACAGCAATTTGTTATCAACAGTGTGATATGCAGCATGGAGTAACTCGATGAGAGGCAACTCAGGCAGTTATTTGAGTTTGCTGGGGAACAGAGTAAAAAAAATAGAGGAAAAAAGATGATTACTCTGCTATCCCCTGAGAGGGGAAGAGGTCTAACACAACATCCTTCCCAGCACCAATGTCATCAGCCTCCCATCTGACCCAACAAACAAATCCTTCACCTTTGTCATTCCCAGCACCCCTCCCTCACGCACAGGCTGATGACAATTGCTGGTTGCAATCCTACAACCTGAAGGACTGAAAGCCAATGAACTGGTTAAAGAACTGCACAAAGAGAAGTTATGGCCACTGTGTGCAGCACAGGGCACACATAGAGCAGCTCCTCGCCCTACACCAACAACCCACAGCAAACAGCCTCTGGCTACAGCAAGACTGACAGCGAACAGGCACATCAGCACCAGGCACTGACATCCCAGCAGCTCACTGGTCCTTCTACCAAACCACAGCAGAAGACTTTTCCCAGGTAGAACATGATCAGGCATCAGTTATCATGAGAGACTCTGGGGAGTCCACGGATTTTCCCTGTGTGTATGGAACTCCCTGTACCAGGCTGGTTTAGGATACATGGCCACATGTCCAGAAAGTGCCTTAGCAAGCAGGGTGCAAATGGCTAACAAAGCAGTACAAATGCTGGGACTTCCAAACATCCAGATCAGATCGTAAAGCCCTAAAGGATTTTATGACTGTTGTTTGGCAGGCATAAATGTAGATCTGAGTTGCTTCATCCAGTAACTCTAATCCTACCTGTAGGGAAGCAGAAGTATCTATCTTGATTTTCTCCTCGTATCTGATCTGACTGACAAAATTGCACCAACAAAGCTCTGCAGCCTCCTCTACTGTTTAAAATGCAAATCTAAGACAATTCCCAGGAAGGTATTTGAACCAAACAGGTGACCTTATAAAAAAGGTATCAAGTTTAGACAACAAAAAACTCTGTAAACTCTAAAATGGAAACTAAGAGCAAATGTACAATACAAAATTATACATAAAAAGAAAACAAATAGTAAAAATCACATGTGAAAGAAGAGCCCATTTTCAACCAGTGGGCTGGCTGCACAGCAGAGGATGCTGAAATGAGAGTTATATGAAATAAAACTACCTTATTCTTACTAGAGTCCATCCCAAAGTCAGTACATCTGTGTTCCACAAACATGTCATATTCATCAAAACTGTCAGGGTCCAACAGCAGCAGAATTCGTTCCCTTGCTGTCAGCTTTCCCTGAAACACAGCAAGCAACAATTAACAGAGCCATCAGGTGATTCTGGCTGTTTGCTGACCCCCAGAAGATGCAGTTTAATCAAGCAAAACCTCACCTGATCTGCTACGCAGGGTCCATTAAGCAACTGCAGGCCCCCAAAGCTGGAAATGGCCTATGCAGTAATTATCCTCCTCAAAAACAAATCTAATGCAACCCAGACTCTGAAAACAAGGGTGACTGTTGGAGCAGCACTACCACAGGAGAAAGGAAACAATCTCAGAGACTTTTCAACAGGACATAAATGCATCACAGCTACTTTTGCCTAACATTTAAATGCTGCTATTAAGGCCTTTTTTCTATTCTTAACTAGGGAACTCTTCCACAGCTAGACCAGTCCTCCCCAACAGCTCAGGGTTCAATTCACCACACTCAAATATTATTTGATTGCAGTAAATAAGAGGGAAGTGTGACAGCCTGCAGGGATCTTCTGACAAAATCCTTCTGGTTTTTTTTCCCTGCTGGACACTGTTATGGACAAAAGTAGGGTAAGGGCCAAGAACAGAATGAGTTGACCAGATATACATGTTCCTTGCTCAGTGTTATGTAGTAAAAAATGACCGCAAAGTTCTTTATATCATAACCTACCAAACAAGTCTGTTCTTTCTAACCATGGTAAGCATCACTCTGCAAAGGGCAGGGCACCTGGGTTGTCTCCTTTAGGGGATGAGGTGACCCTGCATCAACATGACATCATAACACAGCCCAGATTCTACAAAACATCTGACCAGCAGGCTAAAATCCTCATGAAAAGCAGGAAATGCAGGGAAGCCTAATGTAAGCCAGAGTTTTAGTTTATATAAAACATAAGCTGTTCAAGGCCCTACACATGCAGAAGTGCTTGTATATTGGTGTGCCAGTGTCCTGAATGCAACTCAGCAAGACTAAACTCTCTTCGGGGGTTGTATAGCTGGGGAGGGACACTGCTGACAGGTAGAGTGATCACTGCGGGAGCCTTCATGGGAATCGCCGTTCCCACCTCCTTGATGCCTACAAACCACCTTGCACCACACTGAAAAGGTCTCCCTGCAAGAAGCAATAAACACAAACAGGAAACCTCTGCTGTCACCCCCATCAGCACTGCCTACATTCTGAATGAGATGCAGGAGACTAAAAATCCACCTGTTATCATCCCTCCAACCTGTCTTTGCCTTATTTCCACTCTTCTAACTCTTTGCTCTCATTTCAGAGATCAGCTTAAATTTGCTACAGCGGTGTAAAGATAAAGCTGTTGCTCAGAAGTGTTAAGCAACCTAGAACTGACTTACCATTGACAGGCAGAAGTTGCAACTTCTGTCTACACTACCTCTCATACATATTGCAGCCAACCTCGGTGACCACTCTGAGGTAAAGGAATTAGTAAAGCAATTGTTTGGTTTTTTCTACCCAGAGTAACAGTCTTAAGCGCTGCTTGAGGAAACCTTCCCGCAAAAGGGCGTCTGCAGGTGCCACGCGAAGCCGCGAGTCCCCAGCGGAGCCCCGCCGTGCACGGCCTGCCCTCCCCGGCCAGCGTGCGCCCGGCGGCAGCGGGACAGGGCTTTGTCCCGGCCGGCCACCTCTGCTGGGCTCACCCGCTTGTGCTGGGCGTCGATGCGGGCCTGGCCGCCGCCGAGCAGCGCGGCGCGGCGCTTCTCCTCGATGCGCTGGGGCACGGGGGCCGAGCGGGCCCCCGAGGCGGCGCGGCCCCGGCACAACCCCACCGCCCGCCGCAGCACCCGCACGGCCGCCATGTCCCGGCGCTGCGCCTGCGCGCCCGCCCCGGCCCCGCTCCGCCGCCCGGGCGTCCCGACTGTGGCAGGGCGGTGCGGGGCACACGGCTCCGGGAGGCCCGGGCAGGGCCACTGCCAGCACCGGGCCCGGCGCAGGCCGCTGCCTGAGCCCAGCCCTCCGCGGCCAGATTGTTCATCGCTGTTGTCTGTGCGCAGAGACCAGCGGGAAAATGTATCAGCTTTTCCCCCGTTCCTGCGTGGCGGAGAGATTTATGGCGCTTCAGAATCGGGGAAGGCAAGCAGAGGTGTCAGCTCGCAAGATTAGCTGTCCTCTCCTTCTTTCAAATGCCAGAAAGTATTTATTAGGAAAACAGTCCTTGTGACACACCGGCACCGACTCCCTGCCGCCTCCTATGAAGAGGCACAGTGGCTCTTTTCACGGCACACTTTCGGACGGATGAGGAAAATCGAGACCCCTTAAGAAGGGAGTGGGTCAGGATGTGCGGGGAATACGCAGCGCACGCAGCGAGTGCCCGAGCTGCAGTGTATCCGCAATCCAGAGATCTGATGTCATCGCCTCCCAGGCAGTTCTCCAGTGTGCAGGCGCAGCCATCTGTGCAGCAGATCATTTGTTACCCCTGTAGGCCACCTCCGACACCGACCACCAGCAAACCACCAGCCAGTTCCAAGCAGGGCAAGGTGAGTATTGCCCTAAGCGTGCACATACCACACATTAAATGCACGAGCATGGCCCTGTAGATACCACAAGTCTGAGGAATCTCCAAGAATGGAAATTCTTGGATTACATAGCATGTACAAGCTGTTGTACGATAATTCATTTTGAAAGGGCTCTCAGGCTCCAGTCCAGCGTCCTACTCAGAACAGACTCAGCACTGAATTCATACCATTTTGTCAGCTGGATCTTAAAAGTCTGCAAGGACAGAGGCTGGCACACCTTTCTCAGTCTGAGTTCCAGTGCCTGACTGGCTCCATGGGGAACTGATTCACCCCAACCCATTCCACCCAGTAGCAACCTGCCTTGTTTCAGTTTAGGACGGCTGCCTCTTGTCCTCTGCCTGTGCACTTCAGCCAGGAGGGGTTAGTGAGCCACAGGCTCTCCAGTACCAGAAAGCAGCTTCTAGGGATGCCCCCAGTGTCCACTCCAGGCTAAGAAAGATAAAGCCCAGTCCCCCAGCCTCTCCTTCTGAGGCAAGTGCTCCAGCCCTTCAGCATCATGCTGCCCCTCCTCACCACGATGTGCTAGCCTGGACACAGCTGTATAGCAAGAGATCCTGTCAGAAATCTCACCCAGGGTAAGACACCTGACATACACTGCTCTTCCCTCATCCACAGAACCTCTCACTTTGTCACCAGAAGGCACTGAGGTTGGTCACACAATTTATTCCTGGTTAATCTATGCTAGCTATTCCCAATCACCTTCTCCATGTGACCACAAAAGGCAGCCAAGAACACTTGTGCCATGGCTTTCCTCCCAGACCAAACTGAGGGGGATCACCTGACAGTCCCAGGCTTTTTGTAGGTGGGAGTAACCCCAGGCTTTCCCCACCCATCAGGGATCTCCTTGATCTCCGTGACCTTTCAAAGATAATGGTGGCATCACTGCCAACTCTCTCCGCCCACTTGGGTCATCCTGTCTGGTCCTCCAGAATGTGTCAAACTGTCTCAATAGCTGCTGATTCAATCAGCTCCACTGCAGGAGCGCTCTCCTTGAGCCCTGCCTGCAGGCACAAAGGCCTGGGGAGATCTTGGCAGTGAGGATCAGGACAAGAAAGGCACTAGTACCTCAGCCCACACATTCTGAGCTGGAGGCTGTTTCAGCCCCCAGCCAGAGTAGCAGCAGGATGCCAGCAGCATTCCTGACCTATCTGTGAGATAGCTGCTCCTTGACAGCAGCCTAACAGGCATTTCACCCCCCCTACTCAGGAAGTTTCTCTGGTCACAAAACAGCCCAGGCAGAAATCAGACCATAGATATTTGAAGAAAAAGTCTCCACTATCCCCCTCAGGTGGGTTCAGCATCATTCAGGCTGCCTGCAATAGCTTCTTAATTAAAAATACACTCAAAAGAGCAACTCTGCAACTTCAGAAATTAAAATAACCACTATTCAGAACATGGGTCACATGCAAAAGAGGTTGGGAATCTGCATTCTGGGAACAAAGTGGTTTCAAAAAGCCCCCATTCTGCAAGACAAGGCTGGCATGGCAAGGGGAGCCAGCAGAGGCAAAAGGGCATTCTTTGGATAGTTGAAGTTCTGCCCAATAGAAGAGTAGAAGGGGAGACAGAATTGTCAAGAATTGCAGGTTACATGTTAAAAAACAGGGTGAAGACACAAAAAAATACTTTAAGGAGCAACTTCCTGGAAGTATGAAAACTAGTAAATTCTTTTTCAAATACTTGAGAAGAAGGAAGCACGTCAGAGATTCTGGCAATAAAACAAGCCAAGATTAAAGGGATTGCTCAGACTATCCAACAGAAAAAATAATTATTCTTTTTTGTTTGTTTTATCTGAATTCAATGTAAAAGAAACTTGAGAAGATTTCCGAGTTAAAAGCCTGTTTTTCTTGGGTTTTTACTTGAATGTTTACTGAGTACACTGAAGGTCCTGTTTCACCCCCAAAGAGTAGAAGGTTAAGTTATAGAACAAATCCTTCAGGACCAAACTGTTTTCACCTCAGTGTTATAAGGTCCTTCAGAGATAACTTGCTTAAATTTAAAGTCTCTTGCTAAAAAGTTCTATGGCAGGTGGCTAGTGCGATGTCAATTTTTAAGACAGGCATTAAGGGACCTAAGAAAACTTTAAACCTGTAAATCCAACATGAATTATGAAGCAAAATGCCAAAAAAGTCCACCAACCCACAAACCCCAGTACTAGCAAACACATAAATAGGACGTACTGGGGAGCAGTTGGCAGAGATTTTGTATAGTGATTCCTGCCATGCACATCTAGTGGCTTTATTTAGTGAAGTCAAACATATAAAACAGAGCTCCTGTTCATATAAGAACTCAGATTTCCAGAGGCCTTTGAGAATGTCCCTGATTAGGAGCTCTTGAAACTAAGCTGTCATTAGATTAAAAGGAATTCACCTCACAGAGCTCAGAGAGAAATGTAATTCAAGTGGATGTTAAGATGCACTGGGAAGAACCAAACCCCAAGAATACATCTGTTCACAAAAGGAACAAGTTCACAATAACCCAGCAAAAACATCAGCTCCATTTTCAATAGTGGCCAAAGAGTCAAAAGGTCCTGGACACATTAATGGAGAAGGAATCCACCTAGGAATACAAAATGAAAGGAGCTGCTAGTCTCTCTGTAGGTCCCTAAGAAACAAATTGCTGGAAGACTATGCTAGGAAAATATCACTATATGCTTACAGTATTATTACTGTTCCCTACATATTTGTCACTGCCTGCTTTTGGAAGTGGGATACTAGACTCAGCTCTGACAGTCATTCATACAGTCCAATATTGTTAGAATTGTCAAGCTAGAGATTGTCACAAGGATGCAGCAGAAACTGAAAATTCTCCTGGCAGTTTCTCAAGAAGTCCCCACAATGCAAATCAGTGAAAGTGTTTTGAGGCCAATCCAGTTACAAGAGGACTTTAAACCATGAGAAAACAGTCTTCTGATAGTCAATTTTTCCATATTCAGTCAAATAGCAATTTGTGCTTGGTTTTGGTAAACAGAAGTGGGGAATAAAACCCAGTTCCATTATCAATTGGTATTCCTGTAGGGAACCACCCGAGGTCAAAGTCAGTTGATCTGTTTAAATCAGAAGGGTAACTCAGGTGTGTAAGAGGCACATTCTTGTTGTATGTACGGTAGGATAATCCCTAAACCCAAATTAAACTGGAGTACATGCAGAGTTGAACCAGTACTTCTGCATTAGCAGTTTGGCTCAGAATCAGCTCAACTATTTAGTGCTAATCCCAGATCATCTCTATTTGCTCTGGGCTGTTCCAAAATGAGAGTCCTGTTCTGACAAAACTCCCACACTCCTGGAAGCACAGGTTTAGACCAGACTCACATCCCACATCAGAGATGAGCTGGGCACTCACCAAAGGAGCAGATCTCCTCCAAAACTGATACTAAGGCCAGAAGTGACTGCTGTGATTACATCAGACATGCTGTACAATGTGAGATTGTCTCAGCAAGATATTCTATGAATTGCATATTTTAATCAACTATCAAGTACTTGTATCACATTGTTAAAAGAAGAACTTCATATTCTTTGTTTGATACAGTGAAATAATCAGTCTGGTTTCTCAAAAAAGCCTGTCAGAACACCTCAGAGTGAAGATGAACAATGTTTGTCATGGGGTCACTACAAAGGACCTATTGAAAGATGTAGTTGTAGTCTTACAGCTTCAGAATAAGGAAAAGCACCAGGGGGATTAACCATCTCTTTGTCATCAGGCACAAAACTTCTCCCCACAGGACACCAGAAATGCTCTGGTTAAAAAAGAGGTGCACAGAGGACATACGGATCTAAGAAATCACCTTCAGGAAGTCAGTAATACTTATTTGTCTGGATTGGGAACAAGGCAGTTAAGGAAACAAGTAAAGCCACTGTTTTCCAGCAGCTCTTCTGTCCCACTCACAGGTAAGCCCCAAAAGAGATGGGCCAGAATATCCCTGCTTAAGTCATAACAGTAAAACAAACCACCAAGCTAATTTTTTTTTTTTTAAAGAGGGGCTCCCTGTGTGAGTTTCTGTAGTACTTCTCAACCTCACAGCTCAGAGGGCAGTAGGGAAGAGCACAATGCTCCTGGAAGTAAAAGTGAACAGCCAGCTCAATTATGCCAATTCATTTATGCAAATGCAGAACTTACTCACATGTCCCTCCCAAACCTGAGCTGGCAAACAGGTGTAGGAGCTACAGCACGAGTAGAGTGCTATTTCACCTGGACTGACAGAGAGCACAGGATCCTCCTGGCACACAGAAACCAACAAGAACCCCCAGCCTAAACAAGCAGCAGCTGTCTTTGGATTTACAACTCTATATCCAGAGAACAACTTTAATT